ACTCTCACAGTTTTGCGCTGACTAATAGCTTGTATTTTGAAAAAAATAATATAAAGTATCAGTGGTAAGCATTACTTTTAAATAAAAAACAATTAATTAGGTGAAAACTCAAAAAACTGTTGGTTTAGGCTTAACTATGTTAGGCCTTCATTTTATATGTTGAATGTTAGGTTTATCACAAATGCTCCGTAGTGCTGTTTTTTCATCAGCAGGCCTATCTGTTCATTGTCTTAATCAGATGTCCATGGGGAGTGACCTGTGGTGGGGTGGGAGAGCCAGGGGAGCCACTGCTGCACAAAGGGTGGAGGTGCCCATGGCAGGGAGCCGTGTCGGAGCGCAGAGAGGCTGAGCAGGAGTGACGCAGGTGGAGTGCTATGGGCTGAGCACAGTGCCCATTGCATGTTCCTGTGTGCTGCCTGGGGGAGGATACAGAAGGGAATGGCTGGGAGGAGGATGCTTTTAATTTGTTTTTAGTTCCCACAGCTCTGTTCTGTTATTAATTGACAATAAATTATATCAACCTCCCTAAACCTAGTGTTTGGCCTGTGATGGTAAATGCGTGTATTCCCGTCTTTATTTCAATCTGTTTGCCTGTTCTTCATCGTATTATTTCCCCTGGCTCTTTTGAGAAGTCAGAGAGCAGTGTGGTGGAGCTGAGCTTGCAGTCTGTATGAAGCACCACAGCCAGTAACGTAGAAGCCTTGTCATTTCCTTATTCAGCTATTGGAGTGCCTAACGAAGTTGCAGAGTAACTCTTGAGATTTTAATGAGGAGAGTCTAGTGACCAAATAAAAATATTCCCAAATCTAAATCACTGAATAAAACTCCTGGTTGCCTGAGAGTCTGAATCCTGTTTGTTTGCTGTATGTAGTCTGCTGCTGTCTTGGAAAGCATGTAAAATAACTTGTGGTATGGTTATCCAAGGAGAAGATAGCAGTGCTGCCAGCCAGGTGGAGAAAAATGAGTGAAGGAAGTGACAAAACCTTATTAAAGGTTCTGCTCTTTCAAGTATTCTTGCAAACGGCCTGTTGCAATTTGCATGCATGCCACTGAGACTGGTTCCTTCCTTCCTTTTGTTTTTGCTGCTTTTCTCGTCTCAGCTGTGTGCTTTGTTCCATTTGTGGTGATTTTACTGATGTTGGCCCTACAGAGCAGAGAGTTGTCATCTTGCATAGCCAATTTGAAAAGTATAGTTAAGGGACAAATAATTCTGAAGCATCATGAAGTGTTGGGGGGTACTCTACCCTCCACAATAACTGTCTGCAGACTGTTACCTGTCACACAGTAAAAATGCTGCTTTTGTTGCCTTTATGCATAAGTTAGCCCAGTCACACAGTATTTTATTACCTAAGATTCTCTAAAGAGGTTTTAGATATTATGAAAAGACAGTAAATATTTATGCAGTTGTGCCACAAGTGAAAAAACAAGCTGTGGATATAATCACTGCACAAAGAACAGAGCTTTCATACTTAGTGTTGAGAAGGGAGATTTTTTTGCTGGAGATCTTTTTTTTTTTTTTTTTTTTTTTTTTTTTTTGTCCTATATTTTTTGTGCCTGTCTTCCTCCAGCTTCATGGAATGTTAGACCACAACCACATCCTAAACTTCAGCTAGTGTATTTTGAGTACTGAGTCTGCCCAGTCCTCACCTTCGTATTATAATTGTTCATGAAATGCATTTTTTCTTCCTTCTTTCCCCAGTATCTGACAAATCTTCATTAGTCATATAATGTAATTTAGAACTGTAATTCTGATTTGCCGAGGTCCTGAGTCCTTGCAGCAATCCAGTTCCAATAATAGAGCCCTTTGCATTGAAACAATCACCTGCAATGCTATTTTGTTCTTAAGTTTTGTATAAAAATTGACTGTGTATGTTTATGGCCTCGTATGTTGGTGCTCTGAGTTAAAACTTGGACAGACAAATTACCATAAACTTTTTCTGTGTCTTACGTGGAAATTGATGGAAAACAGGAAGGCTTAGTGGGGCAGTGGTTGATCTTTTGTTTTTCCCTGTTTCCTCAGACTGCCCTGTCAGTTAGTGCGTCCAGTTTGTCGTCAAGGTTTCATATAGCGGTTCAAGAAGCAGAAAAAAGGATCATAACAGAGCATGAATTTAAACCGTTGGGGAACTGTAGTACTGCAGACTCTCAAGAAGCAGGAACAGTTCCAGTGGGATGAGGGAGAAGTCTTTCAGGCTGAAGGAGATCGTAATGTACAGGAAGGGCAGTGTATGAGGGCAGCCCTTGCTGAAAAGCATTTCAGAGGCATGCAGAAAAAAAAAACAACAACAACAAAAAAAACAAACCAAAAAAAGCCTGCTGTCTCTGCAGTCGGACTGTGCTTCAATATTTCCACATTCTTACCATTCTTTTCCTTTCTGGAAAATGAATTCTGCTTTTTTATACTGGCTTTTTGTGGTCTGACCTGAGAGTGGACTCACAGTTTAACACTGACATAGTTTTTTAAAATTTTATATATTTGGGGTGGGAAGAAGAGAAATATGTTGTTTTCATGTGCCTGAAGGATATGAAAAAGATAACTTTTTTTTTTTTTTTTTGGAAGAGCTGAATAAAAGCTATTAAACATCTCAGTTGAAATGTATTTGTCTGCAAAGGAAAGGAATACAACGCGTAGTATTTCTTACAAAGTTATGTGTGCAAAAGGAACAAGCTGTATAACTACTGGGAATTTTTCTCTGATCTGTCTCATGTAATATAAAGCAGGGTTGTCGTCAGTGGTGGCCTTGCACGCGTGAGTGTGGAATAAGTAGTTCACATGGGTAATCTGACCTGTTCTGGCCCTTACTGGCAGTTCTGTTCTTTTCTTGTTTATAAAGTATAAAGAATGATGATGAAATCAATTAGACTGTACCTTGTTTTTTTGTTACTTGAAAATAGGATAAGCAAACTCCCTTCCTGCCTCGATATAGTAGTATCTGTTACTTACACTTTTATTTAGGCAAGGAGGTGTTTCATGTGTCAATATGCAAAATGAATTTAAGGACATTGGATTGCTTTGCAGTCTGAGTAAAGACTTAATTGTCAGTATTGTTTATTTGGAAATATCATTTTGCTTTGACTGTACTTGAAAAAAGCAGAGTACAGCTTTTAGGTGATTTTTTTTGTTTGTTTGTTCGGCTGTTGTGCAGCAGACAGCAATTAAACTTTGATAATTTAAAGGGATAATATGCAAAACTTGGAAGTTTTCATGTTTGTGCTTGTAAATTTTAATATTACGTCTTGAACTTCAAGCATAAGCATCATTGATGCCATTGCAAACTTTCTCATGAGAAAGAAATCATTTCCTGTCTGAAGTGCTTCTGAATTGTCACAGTATTCCTTGATATTCTTTTGATAGTATTACTGTAATTCAGAGATTCTAGGTAACTAGAAGTTTCTGGCAAAATAGCAATTTATTTTATATCCTGTTATGTGGCTTTTAGTATTCCTTTTTTTAAGTGTGTAGTTCTTCTATTATGGTACTCAGGTTCTATGGTAAGGTGCTTATTTGATACTACCAAGTAACTGAGAATCTGGACATTGATATTTGAGAGTCTTTTCCACCAAAAAAAGAACTGATATGATTTTCTGTTATGCGAATTGTAAGATACATACCTAGAGGATGTTTACTAGGAAATGGCTTACACTAGCATTAGTATTTTGTATTCTAGTAAAGCAGGAAAATTGCACGTAATGTTCAGAAAAAAACCTGTTGATATTATCTGAAATTTATGTAGCCTGCAGTTGCAAGCTGTCTTGCAAGCTTTCTTATCTCTAGTGCATACAGATAATGATTCCTACTAAGAAAACTAGTCTTCCCTGGAAGGAGAATAACAACAGAGAGAAGTAGGCAAATATTCTCTAAATGTCATGTAGTCATATTTTAGGAAAACTCATCCACATCCCTTAAAACCAATGTTCATTACATTGTAAATGATTGGATACCTTATACCAGTTGAAAAGACTTTGCTGAAGCAGAAGGCTCTTTGCCACATCAAAAGAGAAATGAAAAAAAGAGCTCTCCCTTGTGTTTTTGTGCTTTGCTGTTGTGGTGGTGGGGGGAGGGTTGCAGATAGCCTGAAGGCTGTAAGCATGAAAATGGAGTAGAACAATAGAAGCCATACAGAAATTCTATGTATTGACGTGTTTTTTTGTTGTTGTTGGTTTTTTGTTTTTTTTTTAAATATTTATAAAAGAGATTATTCTTACTCCTTCGTAATTCTTTTCTTCGAAGATGTTACCTGGCCTCCTCAGAAAATTAGGTTTTGTCAGTGTTTTCAGAGCACAGTCTAGAGAGGGAAAATTGTGACCTAGCTCACTTCTTAGGTGTAGTAGTTCTGTCATCAAACTGCTCTGTCACGTAGACCTTGCTATTCCTCTTCTGCAGTTCTGAGTAACAACACCTACGTATGTTAGTTTCATCTGAGGACCAGAGTCTTGTCACGATATGGACTTGTAATTAATGTCTGTCACTTTGTTAACTAAGCACACCAAAATAACTAGAGCACTGGTACTATATGGATCTGCTAGGGTTTAGCAGCATTATGCTTTGCTCCTATGTCCAGTGTTAGAGAGCAATTAAGTCTTAGGATTGTGGGAAACTTGTGAAAGTTTTGTGTAATTAGTATTAACTTCTAATACCAGAATTTCTTTCATATGTTCACTGGGAGGGGTGTACCTAAACATGCTTGAAGATGTGCTCCAGAAATACTGAAGAGAGAGAAAATCCAAGTAATATGCTGTGAAAAAAAATTTTTTTGCAAATGTGCTTTCATCGTTTGTGGTTAAACTTACAGTGTTTGTACTTCCAAAAACAAAGATGCTAAGCTATGACAGTGGTTAATATCTTATTTTGCTATTAAATTTAAGCTTATTTTTTCTTAGCTCCTGCAAGAAATGTGTTGGTTTTACTCTGTTCCATTTGCTAGTAGCTGGCTTGTTTTATGTGTAAAAATTGATTGACATTGAAATGAAAACATGTAACCTTTTTCATTCTCTCCCAGATCCAGACATTTAATGTTGAGGCACCATGCCAGACTGTGGAAGATTTAACGAGTGGGGTTGTGATGGCTCAGGTTCTTCAAAAAATGTAAGAAATTATTTAATTATTTACATGCATGCAGATTTATTATTTATGAACAAGTCTGATGTAAATGTATTTTGATTCAGACTTGACTGGTATTCTGTAAAGGCATGACTAATCCTTCATTTAGACATTACTTTAACCTGGAACATGACAAATATAGTTATCCATAGCTTTCAAATAACTATCTTAAAGGCTGAAAAAAGAGAAGTTTTGTGTTTAGGAAGCTGTGAAGGCATTTATTCAAGTGTAATCTTAGTGAAAAGTGAATTGGGTTATAACTGAGGTCCCAAGTTACTGGTAATGCTGGAGTTAGTTTCACATGATAAAATTCAGTGAAGTAAGCTGTTGGTTTGATTGTATCCAGAGGTAATAACATTCTTGAGAGTAAATGGGGGAATAGTAGATGTTGCACTAGGTAATGGTTTTGTTTCCTTGAACTCTAAGGTCAAATAGGTTTGAAATGCATTAATTCAAAGCCTCAGTCTAATCGAGAATGGTGACTGTGAGTAATCATCTGAAGTGTAGCTGGGTGTGTAGTGGTAATCCAGTATTACCTATTTTCGCAGAATCACAACTTTTTCAAACTTGGCACTAGCAGCAAAATCTTGCTAATCTTAATGAAATTGTAATCAAACAGATTTAAGAGGAAAAATACTTATTTTAGAATCAGGGAATGTTTAAACATACGAAGCAAGTGTAGAACAGGCTTTTCCAGCTTATCCTTCTCTCTGTATTACCAGTACTGCTTCCCTCTCTGTCACAAGCAAAATTACTACATGGAAGAAAAGTTTTTCAGGTGTAGAAATAAGAGCAAGACAGCCGGTTCACAGAGCTCATTTGGAGAAATCTTGCACTGAAGTTGAATAGGAGCAAACTGGGCTACGTCATTGGAAACAGATGTCATTTTCAGTGAACACTTGAAAACTTAACCTTCAATATGAAAATCCCCCATCAAGATAATTGTGAAAAGACAAATTTATTGTCTAGATAATGAGACACAAATCCTCCTAAACTCTGTCATTCTTACTCCATTGAGAATTGTAGACTACTTTTCTTAAAAAGTGCGTTCCTTGAAATTTGATTATCCTTCAGCATGGCTGCCCCTTATTTTGGATTCTCCATAATGCATAAAAATAAAGGGAAATAGGGAGAATTGTAACAATTTTAACTGCATCTATAAAAGTTAATTAATCTTTAAAAAATAGTTCTTCCTCAGAGTTATCTGTGAGTGAATCAGAGAATCATAGGATCACCAAGGTTGGAAAAGAGCTCTAGCCCAACTGTCCATCTATTACTAATATTTCCTACTAAGCCATGTCCCTCAGTACAAAATCTAAATGTTTTTTGAACATTTCCAGGCCCGACCACTCTTTCCGAGAAGTTTTTCTTAGCATCCAGCCTGAATCTCCCCTGGCTCAACTTTAGGCCATTCCCTCTTGTCCTATTGCAAGATACATGGAAGAAGAGGCTGATTCCTACCTCGCCACAGCCTCCCTTCAGGCAGTTGTAGAGGGCAGTAACGTCTCCCCAGCCTCCTCCAAACTGAACAATCCCAGCTCCCTCAGCTTCTTCTCATAAGGCTTGTGCTCCAGACCTCTCACAGCTTCACGGCCCTTCTCTGAACACATTCCAGCACTCAATGTCTTTCTTGTAGTGAGGGGCCCAAAATTAAACACAGTATTCAAAGTATGCCCTCACCAGGGGCTGATCACTTCCATTCACCTACTGGCAACACTATTTCTGGTGCAAACCAGGATGCTGTCAGCATTCTTGACCACCCAAGCACACTGCTGGAGCACTCATGTTCAGCCAAGCATTGACCAATACTGCCAGGTCTGTTTGCTCTACACAGTCTTCCAGCCATCTGCCACAAGCTCATAGCATTGTCTGGGGTTATTGCCAAAGTGCAGGACCCAGCACTTAGTAAGCAAATGCAGTCATTGAAGAACTCAAATTGAATGAGGCAGAGTTCTAATGAAAACTAAAAGATGTTGGCCTTATCTGGTTGTCTGATATACTTCCATAGGAGAGTAAGGATAGCTTTGTTCTTGAAATTTTTAAGATTTACTTGAAAACTTCAGGATTTGAGTGTCTAAACTCTCTGTTGTTGTTGTTGTTGTTTTTTAACCTGCGCTTTCATGGAAAGAGTGTCCATTGATACTTATGAGGACAGGCAATAGTTGAAACAAGTTGAAGTTGACACTACTTTATGTTGAGGATGTTTCGGAGAATAAAAAAAATAACAAACCATGCCTTGTATCAGCAGTTGATAAGGGTGCTTGATGTATGTTTTTCCTCAGTACTTTTACTGAGGTAGTTGCTTGTGTTTGTAAGTAGAGACCATTCTGCAGAAATGTCAGTTCCTATAGCAGGATTTTCTGCAGGAAATTTCTCTAAGAGGCTGCATGAAGAAGAGGGAAATACACCTTCAGAAGCTATTCAAAAGCGTACTATGTAAGTTCATATGGCAGAACTGTGATTTATGTAAGCAAGCATGAGTGTTTTACTTACAGATTCTGACATTAATAAACAGGTCCTGGTGAAAACAGTGAAAGACACATTCTCTGTTTTTATCATAAAACCTTTATGTTTGAATTTCATGTTAGAGTGTGAATGAAAGTAATTCTCCAGTGCTAATGGAGAAGAATTTATCTGTTTCCTATTGTCTGCTGATATCCCCAGAATAGCAAAATTTTCCTTTTATCCCATTCTGGAAACTGTTTAGTGTTCCTCTTCTTTTAGTATTTTGATTGTAGCCTGTGTGTTGTGCCCCTCTTACTGAAATATTCATTTGTGATATTACACATTGCAGCATACTGTGTATGTTCTGACACATGTGAAATACAAAAGCCATGCTTTTAAGTGTTCTTTCTAGAGGGATCTTTTTAATAAACAGATATTTCTTAAAGCAGCTTGCTGTTCCACTGTTAAAGTGAGTAATAATCAGGTGTTATGCTCAGTGGGCTGGTTTTCTTTTCTTTCAAAGAATTCTGTCTCTTGGCATCTATGATTTGGAGAGATGGTTGCTTAAATAAAGGAAAATTTGCATACAAAATAAGTTGGATGTGGTAGAGCACTGCTACAAGTGGTATCACATGAACAGCATAAGTATCTTCTGCTATAAAGGAAAGTCCCAATTACCTGCAGTGCTATTGAGAGGCTATGCAGCAATCAATTGATATACAAATGTTTTTATGAATTTGGTAAGTGATCTAGTGCAGTAGATTCCCCAACTTTGGGTATAGGTTCAAGAACCTTCTCTGTTCAAAGTGCTGAGTACAAGCACGTAATCTCAAAGTAACAGTGGTGCTCCAGTGTCTGCTTCCTTGTTTAGTGCATATATCTTCGCACAGAACTGGTGGACTTTCTCATCTTGGCTGCTCAGTTCTCTGCTATAAATTTCTGTATTTGCTTGGGTGATGTTTTTCAAACACTGCTGTAAGAAATAACAGCATCTTTCCTTATGATGTGACAAAGGGAGACCAAGAGCTCTCAGTATGGTTGACTCATGATTACTGAAGTTTCAGCAGAGGGAGACTTCTTTGCAACATAAGTGGTGAATGAGCTAGCAAAGCTTTGGGAAGAGTGTCTGGAAACCCTTTTATAAAAAATTATTTCTAGAAATTTTAATGGAAAACTTTTGGTTACAGATAGTTAATTTTATTGGTTCAATATGGAGAAAAGTGCTGTTGTTAATGTTGATTCTGAATCTTAACAGGAATTCTGAGGGCAGAACTAAAATTATAAAAACACATGTGGAATAATTCTGAGGTGATGCATACATGAGGAAAGGGGTGATCATTCTAAATTTGCTTGATTGTTGATGCCAGCCTGGCAAAATGTTTTTGTAGTATGCATCTGATTATTGTGTAACACGGATTAAAATGCTCCTAAAGGGAACTGGTGACACTGTTTTTACTGCTGTTGTGATTTAGAGTGGATTGCTTACCAGGTTCTGGACTTTGGGTTCTCCATGAGATTTGTATACATTAAAATTAAAAACCGAAGACATCTGTGGAAAACGGCTACCACACTTACTTTAGATGTAATTGCCAGGCATCTTCTTCAAGTTTGCCTTATGCTATAAGAGTGTAGGCAGCAAAAAGCTTCATTAAGAAAGTAAGCACATTTGCATGTGTTACTTTAATTGCAGTAGTAACTGACAACATTTTTTCATTTGCTATTGATGTGCAGACATCCAGAGCTGGAGGTGATCATGAAATATTGTGATTCTTCCTCTGTTATGTCTTTATTATTGAAGATGGGGTATATAACATTACCCTAGTCACTCAGTAGGATTCTGCTTGCAGACAATTCTTTATGCTTATAGGAGTAATTATTTACAGTTAAAATGGTAAATCAAGAATTTGCTGTATTAATGGCACTGTGATGTTGAAGCAGCTGAAATTTGTTACCAACTATAATTAATAAAATAATAAGATATAGTCCTTAAGAAGGACCCAGTGGTCTCTCCTTTTTTTTTTTTTTTTTTTTTTTTTTTTGCTGGTGAGGCACAGGTACCTGCTTTCTTAGTGAGCTGGGCAAACATTTGTTAGTTGTGGATCTCTGAGCACAGCCTGCTTGTGATTGGCAGAGCACTAATCCAAACTACAATAGAGTCCTTTTTGAACACCAGAGTTCCAGTCGAAGCAGTTCAGATAGGTCTGTGTGTTTTCAGCTCACAGGCTTTTTTCCAAATGATCTTTTTGTAATTAGAAAGTTAAGGAAATAAAGACCTTTTGCAAAGTGATATGTTTATTTAATGTAAAACATGAGCATGAACTTTTCTCATCTCTGGTTGATCCAGTATGTCTTAAATTAATTTTATGCTTAGACTTATTGGTCTTTGAGGGCACAGAGGCCATTCAAAAGCTATTTGGAAAATGTCTACTTCAAAACAGATGAAACTCTGGCTAAGACATTGTTTTTTCTGTTTCGTACTTGTCACGGAGTTGACCAGATCAATCTATGTCCGTGACAGGGGTGACAGGCCTCTGCCCTTCCCTCCCTACCCCAGTCCCACACAAAATGGGAAGGAAGGAAGGGAGGAAAAGAACAGTGGCAACAATCTATGGAGGAAAACTTATTTTACTATAATATTGGAATACAAGATAACACAATATATACAATTTAATTGAAATTGAGATTAATAAATCAGACAAGATGAGAGAGAGAGAGAGTTCCCGGGACCGAGTCAAACCTGAACAGCTTGGAACGGCCAGGAAAGCACCTCCAGCACCCACTGCCAGGCAGCAAGAGAGCGACCCCCCCACCCAGAGGGGCCAGATCCCGTGACTGCTGTAATGTACAGGGATAGGTACCTGGGATTGGGGCAGTGACACTTTAATGCCCCGTACACTACATGATGTTTTGATGTGGAATACTGAAATCCAAAAACAAAAAACAAAAACAAACAAACATAGAACCATGACAGTACTTTTAGGTTTTGTTGTCTGTGCTGAACTATACTGTTTTTGAATAGGAGCAATTTGGAGTCATTGATTTAACTAGTAATTCCTTTCTTCCAGCTATATATTTGCAGATATAAAAGACAGATGTCATGATCTTCACCAGAGTCTGTAAAAGAATGTAAAAATCAGTTGAAATGTGTCAGTAGAGAAATGTTGCTGTTTATGATTTCTCTCCACTGGAGTATGTTGATGGAATACTTAAAGACCTTGGTACATTGCAAAGAAGACATTGTACAGAAAATGGAATACAGAAGAGGGGATGAATCAGGAGCAAGATTCTTCTTCAAAGACTGGGCCCTAATACAATCAGTGAGATAGTTGCTGATCTGCTGCATATATGATTGCAGAGATGTTGCTTGAATCTCCAGGCTTGCTGGGTTTTTTTGAGCTTTTGTCTCATGCCATCTTTCCCCTAAAAAGAAAAAATAAAAAAGGAAGGGTTCAACATAGAACCTTTTTATCTTCGGAGGATACAGCTGTATATCTAATAGTACTTTGCAGCAAATGCAGCACTGTAATTCCAGAAATCAGAATACTTGCTGTGAGACTCTAACCCTGCTTACCATGCTGACTCTTAGAAGTCTTAAAAAAAAAAAAAAAAAAAAAAAAAAAAAAAAGTTTTCTTCCCTGACTGCTTCATTTTTTAGTCTGAAATATGGGTCTTTCCTTACTAGGGGCAGGAGACTCCTATGAATTGCCTTAACCAAACAGCTAAGCGGAAGTGCCTGTAGGGAAGGAAGGAAATTTATGGAAATAAAAATATACATTACGAGCAGTGGCATTCTTCTTGTCTCTGTCTGTATCTTGATTGCATTGTTAAGAGAGCAGACAGTAGAAAAACTGATTTTTTTTTTTTTTTTTTTTTTTTTTTTTTTTTAAAAAAGGCATTCACAAAACTATTAGCCAAGGTTTATGGTGGAAAGAGATTTGCAAAAACTGATAGTATTAAACTGATAATGTTAAATAATAGAGAAGTGTGTTCTTGATAGAAAAGACTTAACACTAGAGGTACTTTTAAATTGTTCAGTGTATGCATAGAGCATACATTGTTCATTCTCAGGCTTTCCATTTACAAGAAGAGTATTTACAATCAGAATACAGCTGTAGGAATCTGTAATAAATGAGACACTAAATATTTTTGTACGCTTCGAAGCAGTGCAAACAAGCACTACTCCAGTGCTGCTGAGAAATAAGAGGAAGAACTTGCAGTCAGGGAGAACTGACGAAATACACTTGAAGTCCAGCAGCTTCTTCCAAAGCATGACCTACTCATGGCACGCAGATGGAGCTGTGCTGCAGAGCAATAGGGGTGGTCTCTGTATAGGCCATATATAGAATGCAGAGTAGGCAGGCATTTAAGTAACCTCAGTGTGAGATAGCAGCTTAATTGCTAAGGTATGTTCCTAGTTTCTGGAACCTGTTTTTAACAAATACTCTACTTTTTGTATTTCAGAGATCCAGTGTACTTCGATGAAAACTGGTTAAATAGGATCAAAACAGAAGTAGGAGATAATTGGAGGTTAAAGGTATTTTACTTATTTTGCTTCTCATATCTGTATTTTAGTTCTTAATATAATATTGTGTTTTAATAAAAGCATTTGTTTTTATATGTTGCTTCATCGTTTGTTGAATTTAGGATGTATTTTGTTGTACTTATTTTTTACACTGATGTAGCTTTGCACAGTTGAGTGAAGAAAACATTTTGTAAGTTTGTTTCAGTAATGTAAAAAAAATATTAAACTTCATGCTTAAATTAACATTTGAAAAACACAGAAATATGAAAGTTTTTTTTTTTACTATTACATGTGAAAGTAACTTTTCTTTAAATAAAAAAAAAGCTCTGAGAAACGACTGCAGAAAATAGCAGACCAGTAACCAATTGATTTTAATAAAAATGGGAAAATGTTATTTCATTTTACTTTGCCAGCTTTGCGCAGCAGCTGAGTTTTAGGAGAGGAGCTGATACTTGTGTGTGTGTGTGTGTGTTTGTAGTCAGTGTGCTTTGTAACAACAGCCTATTTGCTAGGTCATTTGCGTTACTTGGTAATGGAGTACTTTCTGTTACAGTCAACAGAATTTACATGGTGAAGCTTTGGAGTGTTTGGTATAAAACCTGATAAACATAGCTTTATGTGTGGATATTAGTCCATGGCTAGTTTTGTCCATGGGATAATACATGTACCTTTCTCAGTCGCCATTTCTAGCCTGATTTATTTCTGATTTTTTTTTTTTCCTGTTAGATGGAGTTTGCCATAAACACTTTTTTTTTTTTTTTTTTTTTTTTTTTTTTTTCCCCTGGCCTCTCAAGAGGAAAGGGCTGCACCTATGAAATGCTGTACTTCTTACAGGCTTATCAACACTTGGGCTGAGCAGAGGGGAGAGGCACAGGCAAGATCTACCTGAGGAGGGGATGAAGAGTATTGCTTCATGTGTGTTATCAGTAAACTTGTCAGTGCGGATCCTTCTGCCTGGCCAGTAATTTGCATGTCTAGGCTCTTGAGTGATTTGTCTAACAGGGTTGCCAGCAAAGATATGGAACATTGATAGGGATACAGTGGTAGTAGACTGATAGAATAAAATACATGGTTCCTTAAAAATAAAAAAAAAAGGGGGCAAGAAAAGCAGCTGTATTTATTCTGTGCTTATTACAACAATTAATTTAAGTTAGCTTTTCCACGAAGTGTGTGGAACTGCAAGTAAACATCTGATTACAAGGTTTAACTTTTCCCTAACATCATTTTGTGGCTTTTTTCTAAGGAATATTAAAATTTTGGCTGTGAAGTTTGGAGAAAAACAACATTTCAGTTGATTCAGATTTAAATAATGCAGTTTTTGTAACTCTTTGAGGGAACTTGAGGAAGGTTTTTTTCTTAATCATCTACTAATGTAGCAGGTTCTAAATCTTAGCAGGTGTGAATATAACAGAAAGACCAGGCAATCATTCAGTCCGACTTCATTGTGTGACTGAAATCTGTGTGAACATATCTCAAATTTCAGTTCATTGCTGATATCATTCCTTCTTGTCATTCATATTTCCATGTAAATAAGAACCTAAGACTGATTATGCTTCTTGATTCAAATAAGAGTATACTACAGCTTTTTGCACGGTTTTTTCATATTCATATTATGTATAATATTAAATGAGTATTGTTTTAACTCCCAGTTTTTAACTGTAAAAGTAATGCCATACTTTGTCATCTGTTCTTCTCTATATGTATGTAAACAGTAGTTGAGTTCTTCAGTTGTCAGTATGTCAGTGACTCGTAGCCTTGCTCGCAGGAGCTTTTTTAATCTGTAAACTTTGTTGGTTTGTCACTAGTTTTTAAATGTAGGCATCGTGTTTTTGTGTGCCTCCTTAATGTAACTTTTCTTAATATTTTAAGAAGCACATGAAAAATGTTTATTGGGTTACCTCGTTACCTCACAAGAGGGGATAATGAGACAAGGTATATTCTTACTACTAAGCATGGTTGTTGCAAAGCTGCATGGTATAATAGTCAATAGTATTATGTTCTCAGTATTATGAAGCTTATAAAGGAGCCAGTCTAGTAGAGGAAATAGGCTTAAAACAAAATGTGTGTGTAGTTCTACATCATAAAACAGTGATAAGATGGGCTGTATCATCCTGCATAAGGCGCTCCTATCCTCTTGAATAGAGGCATTAAGGAAATTATGTAGTGTCTAACTCTCAGATGGATGTCCGTCTGTGCAAAATGTTAGAACTCTGGGGGCTTGCAGAGTAGGAAGCAGTCAGCTAGCATTCTGTATGTTATAGCTGACTGGATCTCTCTATCTAGTGTATTCATACAGAAGCACCTTGTCCAGTATTTGGGGTTAAAATTTCTGGGGCACAGCATGCATCAGTTTAGTTCTGCAGTTTGTTGTTTCTTTTGTGTAACAAAAACCCCTCCTGGTCTAACTGCAGTTTTATGTATTGGTTAAGAAAACAAAAAAGTATAATATATATATAAAATATATATCTCCTGATATGTATCAGGAAAAGCTGAACGCTTTAGTATGCCTGGAGTTGAAACTGTGTACAGATTAGTATTTTATACTGAAGAGGATAATATTTTGAAGACAAAACAGTGTTCACTGAAATTACAAAATGGCGTAGAAAATAAATCTGTTGCAGAAAAAATTTTGCAGGAATGAAGAACCAAGAATAGTTCTGTGTCAAATAGTACAGAAATATCAGTAACAGAACAGAAATTTTAACCAGTAACTGTTTCATACATGTGTCAGTTATTGATTTTTTTATTTTTTCTTCTTTTTTGGTAATTACTGAATGTATTATTTGACTGAATTATAGGAAAACCACCCCCTTTCCATTCCCTGTGGGCTGTGCCTGCCTTGGAAACAGGAAATACTTTGTTGTGCATGGTCTCTGACTTTGTCTTCCAGACTTTTGCTTTAAGCATTCAGACTGCAGCATCAGTTTAAAATACAATTTTATCCATATTTCCAGCAGTAAGCTGAATTTGTTTGACTTCTGAACAGCATGTTCAAATGATTTGCTAGGTTTTCTGCAGTGAGTGCAGTTTGAATGCCTTGTATTCAATAGAACATTGCAAAATAGAATCGTAAGTGAAATTCGAGTGCTGAGTATTTAGTGCTGTGATCCAACTAACCTGATCTACAAGGTGTATCTTTGACTCCCTGCAGTAGTAGAATTATGGTTGTATTGAATTATTCCATAATACAAGCTAGGACAACTGGTATAGTTGTGGAAGCTAGTTTTCTGTGTACAATTGTCCTGATACTTTCATGTTCTCTGTAAGGAACAGAATACTTCTTCATGAGCAGCCTTTTGAGTTTTTTGTTGTTTCTATTTTTTTTTTCTGATAAAGATAGAATGTGCTGTCATGTCTGTCATACAGATGTCCTTCTGCATGAAAAGAGTGGGGATTATAGACATACTTACAAAAGACAGCTTTTATTTCTGTGAAAAAGATAATAAGCAACAGATACGTTTTTCTCTGTTCTTTTTTTTTTTTTTTCTCTCCCTCCCTTAACTCAAGGATGTTCTTGTATCTGTTCTCGTGATTTCTTTTCTCACGAAACAGGCAGGAGGAGGATAACCCATGAAGCTAATTGCACAGTCTCTCTCTGGGCCCCACTTAGAGAAGAGACAATGCGGTTTAAGGCAGAAACTTAATGTGGTGGAATCTATGCATACGCTTTTTTTTAATATGCAGCCAGGGAGTTTAGTCACATTTCTGTAGCTGAGTGATTAAGAATTCTCTTGTCACTGTAAGTCTGCCCTAGTAACACTTCCAGAGGTTATAAGGTTGTTGATTATAAGCTATGTGAGGGGAAATTCCTCTGTGCATAATTATCCAGGAGAGATACTGTAGAACAGCATCTCAGAACACTGGGGTTCCCATTTAGACACCTTGAACAGAAATGTACAAGGATAAATTAATTTACGTGGAGTCTTCATTACAAACAGAATTTCAGGCATATGAATGAAAGAAGGATGAATACAAGCTGTCAAAATACTAGAGAGTAAACGGGAGGTTAAATAACCCCTGACTACTTTCTGTCAGTAATCGCAAGCTGAACAGCATTTCCACCGTCCATTACATTAGGCTTTTCTTGTGCTGGTCAGCTATATTCCTAAGGAGAGAAATCTAGGCATATTATCCTTACAGACCTTCAATTTGGAAGTTGGAGATCAGTAAAAATAATAATTTCATGTGACAGGTGGGAAGAAAACCATTTCCACCTTTACCCACCTCACAACCTTATGCCTTGCAGTGTCAGATTTTGTGTTTTCTCTAGTAACCTTGAGGAAAATCATATCTGCTTTCATTCTAGTCAGTTTATCAGGTTAATACTGCAGATTTAGGGTAGGTCTCTATAGTGTGTAATAGCTATGTAATACTATACGACAACCAGCATGGCTGTAACTGACTGGTCAGTGATCATTTAACATAAGGAATGTCAACACAAATCTGCAGTGGGTATTAGTGAAATTGGTTAGGTTGCTGATGAAACCAAATAGGGATCCCACGTGCTTGTGAGCTGATCTCCAAGGGATTGGAAGACACTTTATAGTGACGATCTGTATTGGAAATAGTATCTGTTGTGTTCTGCCATTGTATGATTTAATAGTCTTTGTTAACGAGTTGTAGTTGTTCTTCTTTGTCCTTAAGAAAAAAAGAGGAAAGAAGAAAAACTTAAAAACCATCACTTGCTAGTATTCTAGAATTAATAATCTCTAATGCTTTCCTTTGCTTTTCTCTATTACTCTGTTGCTCATTTTCACTCATCTCTGTTTGAAATCTTTCTTAGAGGTTATGCTATGGTCTGGCAAGTGTTAAAAGATTGTCAGAGTTGAATCTCAAAACAGAAGGCGTTTGTGGTGGTTTGCTGTTCATTCTCTGCCTTTGGCAGTAGGACCATCTAAGCATATTCACTGCAGACAAGTAAAATGAAATCAAAAGAGAGAATTCCCCTAGCAGTACTGAAGATTATTGTTAAGTTCAAGCCAGTCTATAAAGAAGCTCCTTTAGCTTTATAATTGTCTGATTGTCTGCCTGGCACAAAGATGATGTAGTTAACTCCTGAAAGCAAATTATCTTGATACTCTTAATTGACAGTGGAATAAAGTGGGACCTCAAATACAACATTTTTTTCATTTTGTTTTCTTTTTCTGAAGATGCTGTCATATACAGTAGTATTCATGACAGATTTTGATCAATACTGATTTTGTTACATCATCACAGAATTAAACTCTATGAAAGTAATATGGAGGAAGATAAAATGTCTTAAAAGTATTAATTCAAACAAAGCTCACTGGAAAAGGGGAAAGCAAGTATTTTCTAGGGTAGGGCATTCCATTTTGTTTCTCATTTCTGGGATTATGTTCAAGTTCAAGGTTCCTCACAGTGTTCTCTTCGGTAAACTGGACTTAAATTCTACAACATGGCCCTTGGGTTTCTCTGGCACTTTCTGCAGCAGACTCAGGTAAACTACAAACTGGAAGATATTAATGAATCAAGTTTGAAAATTATTATTCCAATCGGTGCCGTATTCAATGTGGTGATTTGACATAAAAATTAAATAATTTGTGTTTCTTTAAAATCTTAAATCTCTTGTAGTCTTTAGCTGTAATTGTTCATAGCTCTGGAGATATGACGATGATTTCTTTGGTGCTAATAGATGTTTTGTGTTATCATGTGTAGCCTATTCATTCTCAAGTTTTCCATAGAAAATACATTCCCTGGATTTCAGTATCGTGTCTCCAAACTGTGTTCCATAGTGTTTTCTCAGATCTTTTGGAAGATAGATTCAATCCAGTGACAAAAGTTCTTTATTGGATATTTCAGAATATATTCAAGAATATAAAAGTAATTGCAGTTGAGGTTTGATATGTTTTCATTCTTCTTCCTCCGTTACAGTCTCACAGTTCGGCACTGTGGGTACTGTTGTCAGCAAGAGGAGTTTGTGAATCCTAATTCTTATGCTACTCATGTCTAAGATGAATAGAATTGGGATGTGATTATTCAGTTCTCTAGCCACCCTCTCATTTCCGCTCAGTCTTTACAGAACCTGTTTGTAGACTTCCTATCGCAGGAAATAATGCACTGCTTCTGTTATCTAAGTTTATATAGTTGGACATTCTTGGAATCTGTACAAATTACTTCAAAAATATATATATTTTTTAAACATCACCTATGAGCGATGTCAATTTTTATGGCTTTCTTCACAATCTACAGTACTTGATCTAACTGAGTTTTTGCCAAAAAAGAGGGCTGAAAGACTTCAATAATGAACAATTGTAGCATAGATTCTGTACAGCAAGAGATATGTAACTGATGCCTTTGGTTTTGCAGATGGAACAGAAGCTATCTTTGTGTGACACTGGAGGCATAGCTGAGAAGTGTGAATTTTGCCTTTGTAGTGCAAGGCAGACATTTGATTGTTAGGAACTGCATTAAAAGGAGAAACAAATACAAATTAAAGAACTGGGAGGAATAATTAATGAGAACACTAATAAATTAGGCTTACGTATGTTTTAAACAAAGGATGGTATTGAGCAGTAACTGATACTTGTTTGGAAGGAGAGGTTTACCTCTACAGAAATTAGACCACGGAGTACTTTAAGAAAAGAAAGAGGATTTTTTTCAATTTACACAAAAACAAAAGTATACTAAGACAATCAAGTAGTCAAAGGAAGATTCATGCTTCAGAATCTAATCTAAAGACTGTCTAAGACTGTTACTTTTCATAAACTTAAATATGTTCTACATATGTTCTATATATATTTCATAAAGATTTGTGATCAGATGGCAGTCTGATCACAAGGGAATACTGCGTAATTTCCTTAATTCTATCTGAAGATGTTTAAACAGAATTTTATAACGCAAAGAGATGATTGTACAATTCTTTTGCATGATTGTTCTGTGATTGCCTCTTTTATGATTCTGTCTCTGTGATTTATTGTTTGCACTTACTACATTCTCTTCTTCTTGACAAATAGGTAAGCAACCTGAAGAAAATTTTAAAAGGGATATTGGATTACAACCATGAGGTAAGAACAGTTCAGTGTAATTTTTGTGTTCTTTCTGTTACATGTTTGGTTAATATAAACTATATTATGGATGCATTGAGTTCTGACTTTATCTTTCAAAATGTTTGATGTACATTATGTGTCATTGCCTCTCCTGAGGTGTAAGCCTGCTTTATTTGTCACTTTAAGAGCTTTCAGAGCAATCTGACTTGGAAGTCTTGTCATAAAACAGTAGATGTCTTTGACTCTTCCAATGTTGGTCTTAAAAAGTAGTTCTGATATTACCTCTGTTACAGTTAGAGACTACCTCTTGCTTTTTTTTTTTTTCTTTTTCCTTGAGGAGAGAAAGGAAAAAACATTTCTAGCATCAGCTTGCATTACAGTTGTTAATGAAATATCTTAATCCTGAGATAGTGGAGTCAGCCCATTGTGTTCTGTGTTAGCAAAATCAGAATGAATTGCTCCAGAGAAGAAACAATAAAATATTTTTCAGTGGTGAATCTTCAGTTAAATTTTACTTTTTGCTTCAGTGATATTTTGAAGCAAATTGTTCAGTACAGACTACTATGTAAAATCCTTAATTTATACATCCAAAAATAAGGAATAACCCACTGTTAACACACTGTTAGTTGTGAATACTTTGGTAAGGAAGGTATTAGTTAAAAAACTAAGTCTTTAAAAATTAACAGATTTTGAAAGAGAGAACTTAGGCTGATAAGTTCATATTCAGGCTCTAAATTAATTATGAAAAATTGGTTGTGTGATAAGCTGACCTTGGCTGGCTGCGAGGTGCCCACAAGCTGCTCTTATTACTCCCCCTGCCCAGAAGAGCAAGGGGAGAAAATACCATGAAAAAAGCTAATAGTTTGAGATAAGGAGAAGGAAATCGCTCAGCAATTACCATCACAGTCAAACAGGCTCAGCTTGGCTAAAATTAATGTGATTTATTGCCAATTAATAACAATGTAGAGCAGTGAGAATGAAGAGGAAACCAAAAGCATTTTCCTCCTGTCTCCTGGCTTCCTAGGCTCTACTTCCATCTCAGTTGTATGTTCCCCTTCCCTAACTGGCATAGAGGCACAGGAAGTGAAGTTGTGGTCAGTCCATGATGCTCTGCCCTGTCATATGCCTCTTCCTCCTCATGCTTTTCATCTGCTTCAGCCTGGTATGCCTCTCACACCATGTGGTCTCCTGTGAGCCACTTTTCTTCAAAATCTGCTACAGCATGGGTCCATGCCAGACAGTGCAGATCTCAGAAAGCAAAGTCCTCACAGCAGATCATTTTAGGAGGAAAGAAAGAAGTTCTTTGTTACAGAAACTTAATATTACTGTGTCAAAGTGATGTCAGTTTCTTTTTGGGTGATGGGAAGACAGGATGATTAAGTTCTTGAAAACTTTACTGCTTCAATAGGTCACCAACTTTTGACCTGATTTAGATTAAGTTCTTAAAGTAGGTTTGACTAGATTTTTTATTTTCTTTTCTTCTCCTGATGCAATGTTGGTAGTGATAGTGGACACAATCTGGATTTTACAACAAATCCTTTATATTTTCATTAACCTGATTTCCTCCTCCTATCAGGCACCTTCTCCACAGCGTACATGTGAATGTGAATATATATGAATTTTGCCTGATGTAGTGAAAAGATTTGAAAACACAATATGTACATTTTTAGAATAAACAAAAAAAATAATACCACAGCAAGCAGGGCAGTCTTTCTATAGCAATTATACATTGCTGTCTTTGTCACATATGGCATGGAAGAGCAAGAAGCCAAAGGTACTTGTTTATGACTTGCATGCTTTGTGATGCCCCAGTAATTTCGCTGCAGGGCTCTACTGCTCTCATATGGAAACTTTCATTCTCTTTGTAGAAGTCTTTCATACTTTTTTTTGAATAAGTGGAGGAAGGAGCATTTTCCCCTCTTAAGATATTTATTTGAGATTTGGTTGTTATTTCATTGTTATTGCTGTATAATTTATCTCATGTTTATTGCAGAATTCTCTATTTTTATGCTCAGTTCCCATGTTTCGTTATGGTTTTTGCTGATATGCTTTGTCCCTGCACCATTTCTTAACAGCAATTATATTGTCATTAAGCGTAAAGCAGTTATATTATTGTTAAATTTGGCACTGCATTTGAAAGAAATTCAGGAAATACATATGAACACGTAAACACATACCAGGCTTAAATCATTCAAATAATATTGTGTTTTACTATGTTACTGCAGTCTAAATACAGTGGTAGATGTGTTCATAGAATTCTTGTTTTCTCACTAGAATGACCTAAAGAAAGTATTTTGATATAATTCATGCATTCTTTCCAGTATGCAGAGCTTTTAGTTGTGCTGGTGCTCATGCTTTGAGAAAGCTGTTAAGAATAATAATTTTAAAAAAATTAATATTAAAATTAAAAAGAAGACCAGAAAAAACAAACAAAACAAGAACAAACCTAGCCACAGCAAATATGTATAAGGCATAGCCCTGGCAAACTTCTTAGTGGCTTGATTTCTTTGTATTCTTCATATAAATGTAGTAGGATTTTTTTAAAATACATACCTGTACCTGCTTTTCTGTTGTTTTTTGTTTTTTCTTTTTCCTTGAGTGTTAAAGTCTAAATGAGTATTCAGCAAACAAGAGACTGATCCCCTCCATTGTTTCTTTATTTCTCTCTGCTTAAGAAATGACAGTTTCTTTTTATCTGCAATTAATGTGTCAGAGATACATTTGATTCCACATTTCATATTCATATTTTCAGCTCCCTGAAAGCTCTTTGAAATCCAGCAGAATTATTTAATTCCTTCTACTGACAATCATTAATGTAAATCCTTCTTAATTATAAATCAAATTACGTTAATTATAAGTCACATGTTTTCTTCCTTATGTTTTTCAGGATGGCTTTTTTTGTATTTCTGTGTGTGGGTTGTTTAATTATATGTTATACTGCTACCTCAAATTCTTTCCCATTAGACCAGCTTTTTCAGCTCTAGGACTTGCTAAATATGGTTGAATTTACTGGAAGTGTGGGACTGAGTGATCAAGTGTTTTATAGTCTCATATTTGTCATCCATCACTGCTAGATACATTTTGCATAAGTGAAACGTTTTAATTTCAGCTTTCCAGTGGGATGAAATATGAGACTAGTGTGAAGCGTTTCATGCTAGCTAAAAAGCTAAATGTAATGGTGGATCATCTTTTGATACTGCTTTTGTTACTTTCTTATCCAGAATAAACAAATCTTACAAAGTTTATAATGAGTAGTTTATTATTAGTTGGCACAGGTTTGTGTTCTGCCAAATATTGGTAGTACCAAAGATTACAGATGGTTTAATACTCAAAGATCTGTTATATAAGCTGGCATTACTCAATTTAGTTTGTTTTAAGGGTAGATTGAAGACTACACTGAAGTGAAAAGTGAGCATTTCCTGTTGATTCTGAATCATCTTTGTATGTTAAAGTTTATGCGTATGTATGTCTATTGATACAGATGTGTACTGGGTCTTTTTACAGATTCTAGGGCAACAGATAAATGACTTCACCCTTCCTGATGTTAACTTAATTGGAGAGCATGCTGATGCTGCAGAGCTTGGAAGAATGCTTCAGCTTATTCTGGGATGCGCTGTGAATTGTGAACAGAAGCAAGGTACTAAGGTTTGAAAATGTTTGCTTCCAGACGCTGAATGAAAAACCAGCTCATTGTGTAATCATGTAGGGGAAAATGATGTTTCTTAGGCTGCCATTAGAGACAAATTAATATTGTCAAAGATAATATTATTTTGTCTTTCAGATAACCTCTGTTCTGAGTTTCACTGGCTTTGCATTCTCAAACTGTGGAGCAGGTTTTGCTCCACATATGTATTTTCAAGTTTGATTTGTTGAGCCAAGAACCGCAAATTCTTGGTCCATCTCTGAAAGACAATTTTGATTCTCTTGTCTCTTATGTTACCAGCTGTCTATCTCACCTGCACAGTTAAAATGGGAACCCATTCACTTTACTGCAGATGCTGCAGAGGATGTGGTGGACTGTGCAGGCAGCAGTTCTTGACTCAAGTTTCTTGCTGTAAACTTGCCATGTGCTTTGGTGCATTATGTATTTGTTGTCTAACTACCCTAAATTGCACTTAATTTAAGCCAGTGTAAGATAACAAAAAACTACAGTTTATTCCTAACATTTAAAATGAGAAGCATGGAAACACGTGTATAAAATAGGTGGATAAATAAAATTATGTTTAAGTATTTACATCAAAGTTGCAGAAAAATTTGCCTCTTTGTGATTTAAGCCATTGCAGTTTCCTTTCTGCCAAAATGGCAGGTGGGCTTTCAGTCCCTTTTGTCTTTTTGTATGGTGGTGCATCTTAGCTTTCTGAACTGATTTACCTGTTTCAGTTTTCTGAGGTGTCTAAATCACTTTGCGCTCTAATCTGAAATTGTTTTTATTGTTCTTTTGATGAAGAGACAATCTGGCTTTCTTATTAATTAAAGTAGATTAATTTTCTTCAACAAATACATAAATAACTCTGTTGTATTAGGCCGCCTGTCCTCTCTGTCTTATGTAGGATTCTCTTTCTTCCTTTTAGTGATTATTTGGCACACTTGAGTGAGATGTTTTATTACTGAATTCTTTTGCTCTGTCAGTCTGAACATTAGAAACATAGTATAAAAAATATCTGAGCAGTCTAGTTATATGTATTTTGTATGAGGTTTGGCATTATGTAATCGGTCACTTTGAGATACTTATCCCCAGTATCTCCCACTTCAGCAGATCATTAGAGAATGTTTTTGAAGAAAAAGAATTGAATTGAAGAATGCATTGTGTGTAGATCATCATAGAATCATAGAATCGCAAGGTTGGAAACGGCCTACAAGATCATCTAGTCCAACCATCTTTTCATTACCACTGCTACCACAAGCACTAAGCCATATCTTGCAGCTCCTCATCCAGGCGCCTCTTGAACACTGCCAGGGACGGTGACTCCACCACCTCCCCGGCAGCCATTCCAGTGCCTGACCACTCTCTGAGACGAAAAGATTTTCCCTTATGTCTAATCTAAATCTCCTCTGTTACAATTTGCTGCCATTTTCTCGGGTCCTGTTTGTTGCCTGGGAGAAGAGGCCAATCCTAGCTCCCTCAGCCACTCCACATAAGACTGGTGCTCCAGACCCCTCACCAGTTTTGTTGCCCTTCCCTGGATACGCTCCAGGGCTCCTCAATCATGTCTGATTTGAAGCAGTACCATACTGGGCAAGTGATAAATCTCTTGACTTGGTCTAAACATCAGATGTTGTACTGCCACTGCCACATCTTGCAGAAGTACTTATCATGTAGCTCACGTGAACTTACAGGGGAGGGTGGGAAAATGGGGGGGGGGGAAGACTTTATTTGTGATATAACAAATAAAAACACAAACTAAGAATGGAAATGAAAATGACTTGAAATAAGGATGTAGAAAGGATGCTAATCTTAATCTGCAGAAAAGGACAGTCTCTTTTCACATTAGGTACTTTTATAGCCTGAATCATGTGAAATACAAGAAGGAATAATGTGGATGATGATTACATAGTTTATTTCATTGATGCATAGCCTGGGCTTGTCTGATCAGATTTCCTGATAAAATCTAATTTAATTTTTTGTGGCAACACTTGAACAGCGTTTATGCATTTCAGTGTAATCTCTGGCATCTAGTCATTTTGTAGGGGGAATGCAACTTCCAACCTCATGTTTTGTATATAACATTCCAGAATGCTCTTTTTTTTTTTTTTTTTTCAGAGTACATACAGACCATAATGATGATGGAAGAATCGGTTCAACATATGGTCATGGCAGCAATTCAAGAGGTATGCTGGAATTTCTACAGTGTGTAAAAGTTCAGCTTTTCAGTATATTAGAAAAGTATACTTTTTCATTAAAAAAAAAAAAAAACCAAAAAACAAAAACAACAAAAAAAACCCAGTTCTAAGTAAATGTAACAAGTGCAGATTTTGCCATTTTACTTTGAAAAATATCTTCTCAATTTTTCATGAAAAAGCTATTTAAGTATGCTTTATGTCATGGAACTCTGCTTGAATGTCCCACTTTTCTTTAAATCTAGAAGATTGAAACTTCTAGATATTTTTGATCCTGGGTTCTCTTTCCTTTATTTTTCCTACCCCATGTCTCCTGAAGTGCGCTAGATTTTATATGAGAAGCCAGTACTGTAAATTTTTTTTAAAAATTTCTACTTTGTAGTTGAAGAACTCCATGAACCGTTAATGTTTTCTTTACTGGACAAGAAAAGGAAGATAAGTGTTTAGCAAAGTATTCTTTTGTCAGATGTAGTATTGTGGATAGGTTAATGGAGGTATTTGTGAGGCACCTTTTTACATTCTGGCAAATGTTCTATAGTCTTGTAACTTGTATATCTTGTAAAAGTGCTGTTGGAAACTTTGTTTCTGAGACTGCAGTGGTTCTTCTTATCAAGCTGAAGAGGTGCTGTACATGGTGAAGGATTTCATAGTTAGCTGTCACTGGTGAATTGCATTAGGCACATCAGAGAAGTAAAGTAAACCAGAGTATGACCACTATTGCCATGAAGCTCTTGAATGACTTCTTGTGTGTCTGAAGTGCCTATCAGTCTTCGTGCATGCAGGTTTACTGCTTGGAAGGCAACTCAGAGAGGCAGGAATCTTGGTAATAACATTTCATCTTGAGCACGAATGAGAGAAACTACATTCCACATTGAACTCTTGAGCTATTTGACTTTTCTTTATTGCTTAAAGAAAGGAAGAATGCTCACTTGGCCTAAGGGAACTCCACCCGCAATTATTGCTTCAACCAATACTGTGTCACTGTAGTCTTCCAGTTGGCTGTTTGTGAACCCACATATATATAGTGTATATATATGTATATATTTATATATATTGCACACAATCCTAGATATATATATATATAGTATTGCAGACAGTGTTTCTGAAATGCTGTCAAAAGAATCCTGTTGCAAAATCATCTTCTGGTCAGTGCTGCCAAGAGCAGGCAACTAGTTTGCTTGAATTTTGCAGGTTGTTGGTTTTTTTTCCCCCTGAACTGTGAGGTAACGTTTTGGTGGATTTTCTCATATCATCTTTCATTAAACATGGCTTTCAGCATCACTTTATCCTGCGCTGCCTTAAAATAGAAAATACTCCTTCATCCTCACTCCTTCTCTGAAAAATCTCCTGGATACCAACTTAATGTGATAAAATAGCTGGATCTGAAGCAGTCAATAGTTTTGCCATTTGATGAGTAGGCATTGAACCTGTATGGCATTTGTGGCCTTTCTTAGATATAGCAACCAGAAGTGGGGAGAAATCACATGAGGATCTGTTCCTCTTGAACACACTTGAAATTCATTGAATCAAGATCAGAACTTACTATTCTGGACTAGTGTAGATCTGAGTGATTTTAATGTTGTCTTCCAAAAAATAAGATGGTTAGAATGTAAGGTATTCAGAAGCAAGTGAGGAGGATCTGTACCAGAGGAGGGTGCTTTACCAAGGAGGTCAGAAAGCATCCTCGAAAACAAGAGTTTAGATCTAAGGAGACCTTTCAGGGCTGCTTCTGCAGCCTTTGACTTTGGAGGAGTGATACTTCATTGTATTTAAGGAGTTTTTCTATTTCTTTACAACAGCTTTAAGAATCTAAATGGCTTGGACTAGGCAGTGTGTAGGAGAAACCGAAGTGAGGTGCCTGGGAGAGCAGCTATATATGCATAGCTGAAAAGTTGATATGTCATCAAATCCAAACATTTCAAAGTACTTGACAAGCAGTTGCTCTTTCTTCTATATTAGGTATCTAAAAAGACTTCTCTATGCTTTACTAATGTATTATGTAATTCATTTTTATGTATAAATGCCTTTTGATACTTCAGTGGTTTTCATAAATGATCTTAGTATGAAAACAGTTTTGAAAACAAATCTGCCATCCTTTTTTTTCTCATGGGAAAAAAAAATACTGGGCTTAAATGGAAAAAATAGCATTTTATTATTTAATAGCATTTAAACTAGGTGGGAGGGGGGGTAAGAAAGAAATATTAATTGCTCTGCCAAGGACTTAAGTAGACTGTTCTTTTTCACTGGAAAGCACTTCAGCTTGAGCAGGGATTGGAGCAGGTGGAACCCATGCCAACCTCAGACATACTGTGATTTTTTTTTTCTGCTAATATCTCTCAAGTATAGGAAGTCATAAGATAAATGGCAAAACCCACTGAAGAATAAAGGCATTATGTTTGCTGGCTGCAGCTTGCTTCTTTGACAGTAATCAACAGAAAGCAGAAATACCAGGGTAACCTCTAGTAAGTTGTACAGGCTATTGCATTGCTCCTGTGTTTGTTTTGGGAAGAGCTCATTAAACTGAAATTCTGAGAAGAAAGTTGCACTGTGGTCAGAAATTACATGTTGAATGTTGGGGCATACTACGGTCCCTTACAAGTGGTGCACAGCTTGGGAGATGCCAGCTGGAAGGAATTTAAAGGCTTAAAGTATAGTACTGACGTTGTCTGGGATATGGAGGGAATGTGTGAACAGTGGTGTTGGATCTGGAACAAGGTAAAGAGCATTTGGTTAGTCTTGACATTCCTATTAGTCATCTAAAAAGCCATTTAGACAGTTGCTAGATAGATGATGTAATTAAACTATATATTACATCACTAAGAAGAGAGCCTCTGTGATATTGAAGAAGGTGTGTCTTCATTTTTCAGGAGAACTCTGAGGCTAGGGACTTGCTAATTTCAATTCTAGAGAATCTGAATTTTGTGGAGAGTTTTTCATGTCAGGGTAGATTATCACTGTAAATGCATTGACAAAAGGGAAAGAATTAAGCAACTAGCAACAAACATGGTCATGGTTATCTGATGAATTTAAACATATAGCATGCATCTAAATCCCAAGTAGGGAGATGGAGAAATGGAGAGAAATGTAGGTGTATAAATATTTGAGTAGCATAAATGTCAAACGGAGATTTGCACTTGCACGTGGTGGTACAAACAGAAAGGATGCAGAGAAAACACAAGCTCTGTGCTGTGTACCAGAGGAACTTTGCCAATGGAGACTAATGCAAAAGCTCGGGTTTCTGGCAGGAGTAAAGGAATAAAGGAAGCTCTTTCTCTGGCAGGAGCAGCTAGCTGGGCAGGAGGCCCTGAGAATATGGCGGGAAAGGACTCTTGTCCTGATTTCAGTTGAATTCGGCTTCTTTCTTTTGTGACTTCTTTGAATGGTGCTTAGAAGTAGTAAAACATATCATGCGTGTCTGCAGAAATTTTCTTTCTGCAGTGCTTCCTTGTTAATTACAGTGCAGGTCTTAGAGAGCTGATCACAATTTCAGTGATAATAATAATAACCCTAACATATTTTCTGCACTTGTGTGGAAGAAGGTCCTATGGCTATAGTTTGTGTTACATTTGAATTGACTTCTAACTACTTGTAAAGACCTTGAGGGGCTAGAAAGAAACCTTCCTTTATTATCGGGTTGTTTTTTTTCTTTCACTAATACATATCACTTAATTTAGAAGACTTCCCTCCTCCCATTTGTCATCATAAAAGCAGTTTTATTTCTTGTTCTCAAGAATAGTATCTTTAGAAAATATATATTTTTATATATATATAAATTTTTAAAATATATTTTATATAGTTTTTATACATTTTATATAGTTTACATATTGCAAATTGTGTAAAACTTCAAAACACAGGAACTTTCTCACTGTTTTGCATGATTGGTTGAGTTAGACTTAGCCCTAAATTTAGTTAACTAAATAAATTCATATGAGCTTCCAAATGATCAAAAAATGAAAACCACTGGCAGAGAATATGTTGATAGCTACAATCATTCCAGTGCCACTTCAGAAAATGTTCTGCAGATGCATGCTAGTGTTATGCAAAGCACACCATAGATTACACTGTAGATGAAAATGTGCTTTAATATAGGAAAAAGGACATGATGTAATATTTATTTTATATATCTTTAAATTCTACTGAGAATTTCAGTAATTATTTCTGGATGACATATATGAAAACAAAGTAGAAAACTTCAGTTGTCAGAATGAAGCTCACAGAAGTTAAAATCATCTTAGTATTTTACTAAAGCTTGGCTTAAAAGTAAATATTTGCTTATTCTAATCCACTGTAATCTAATTGCAGTTGATGAGTAAAGAGTCTCCTGTCTCTGTTGGAGATGATGCTTACGTTGACCTTGATCGACAGGTATCTAAGATTAGATTTTTCTTCTCTTTCAATCTTAGAGCATCAGTGCCCAGTCATCTTGACTTATTAAGAAGCTTGTCTTTATCTAATCGTGAAAGGCCTTTGTGGGAAATTAACATAAGGAGTGGAAAATTAAGCTTCAGTATTTTGAATTATCTTGCTTTATAAATCAAATATTCTTATTTTGCAGAGAAAATTTCAGTTCCAGTACAAATAAACTTGAAGAAGTAAAATACGATGTTCATGTTTGGAAAAAAAAAAAAGAAATAGAAAGCTAATCTAAAATGCATCATTTTTAGTAATAGATACCTGTATTTTCATATAAATAAACAAATCAGGCTTGTTTTCTTGTAGCTGCCTTTCATGTTATCAGTGTTCATGTACAAACTTAGATGATTATGCAACTTTGAAAATGAAATCCGTAAAGAGGAATATGTGAAAATTTTGCACTGCTTGTAAGGTTCAGTGCCTTTTTTTCAGAAGATATTTGGATTCTCCATCACCATGTTAATTGTATTCTTATTAAGCGGGCTTCCAAGTGACTAAAGAGATTTTACCCTAGTTGTCCGTTGCCTGTATTCCACCTTCCAACCCTTTGTGTATTTTAAAAAGTAGGTTTAAAAACTGAAATTATCCACTCTTTGTATCCGTAAAGAAAAGTGGTATTGACAGTTTTTTCGTGTACAGAGTTGAAAAGTTCCTCAGGGTTTTCAGATGCTATTCCTAGACTAAATGTGATTATTGTAATGCTCTCTTAAGTAAGTTACTTCTGTCGTGCAAATTAAATAGTGTTCACATCTGCTTCTTTGTTCCTTTATAAGAGCAAGTTTGCCTTACCTTCAAAAAATGTAACATGTTACCTTAAGTTAAAATAATTTTATAGTGATGTAGTTCAGAATTTTTCTACTCACTTTACAGAGAGTTATGAAACTAAAAATTTTTGTTGCTTATGGTAGCTGAAGAAAACTACAGAAGAATTGAATGAAGCACTGTCAACAAAAGAAGAAATTGCCCAAAGATGTCATGAGTTAGATATGCAGGTGAGTTTTCTGTATTGTGCCTCTTTAATAATAATGGAGATAAAAATGTGTTAATTTTTAAACTTCTTAAGACAAGTAGTCCTAGGAATTTTTGAAAGGGAAAAGAAAATAGCATGATAATGTTTTTGCACTTTTATTACTTTGCTTTACTTGTGTGAACAGAATGAAATTCACTTTCCCTCATTTTGATACAGTATTGCCATTATTAAATGATTAATACTATCAAAACTTTTTTTTTTTTTTTTTTTTAAATTCCAGTAGAAAGGAATTGAGCTGTGTGGCTCAACACCTGAAGCAGAACTCCTAGAGGTAGTGCAACTGTAGCACTGGGTTCATAAAAGGCAGACTCTCACTGACCAACCTAATCTCCTTTTGTGACTGGGTCAGCCGCTTGGTGTATGAGGGAGAGGCTGTGAATGTAGTCTAGTCTACCTAGACTTCAGCACTTATGGCTTGGACATACACCATCTCTGCTGGGTCAACAGCTGGCTAAAGGGCTGGGCTCAGAGAGAGTGATGGTGAATGGAGTTAAATCCAGCAGATGAGGTGGAGGTCAGCCTCTTCTCCCATGTAATTGGTGATAGAAAAAGAGGGAATGGCATCAAGTTGCTCCAGGTGAGGTTCAGGCTGGATATTAGGAAACATTTCTTCTCAGAAAGAGTAGTGAGACATTGGAACAGGCTGCCCAGTGACATGGTGGAGTCACCTTCCTTTGGAGGTGTTAAAGGGAAGGGTAGATGTTGTATTTAGGGATGTGATTTTATGGGCAGTATTGGTGGTAGGTATACAGTTGGACTAGGTGATGGTAGAGATCTTTTCACAGATTGATTCTGTGATTTGCCTTTTAAATTGTGGACACATTTGGGTATAATTCAGCCTTTTGCCATGTTGTTCAGTAACTCTTAGAATTAATGAAGTTGTATTCCTTGAGTTGTATTCAGTGGTTGATGCTGGTGTATTTAATAATGCAAGCTCATACTGAAACATTTCCTTCTGTTGAGGTTCATATTTCTTCTTTAGCCTTCTTCCTCAACATGCTGATCTTACAATGTTTAATAATATACAAACTCATGCTTCAGCTTCTGTTTGCAGCTCTTTCATTCTGTACTGATGCTTTTTTTCACAGAGCTGTTGGAAACCATGTCATCTTTAAGATTGTCTTCCAGGTTCAAGTAATTGCAGTTGTTAGCAGTTAGTTGCTGGTCAAAAAAGTTTTTGGAAGGATACAGGCTTTCCTTGGATATCCGTTATGGAATTGATAAACATTGTTTCCTTTGGAAGTCAGTTTTAAAAGTTGTTCTGAGGTGCTGGTTTTACTTGTTTGTAAAGTGTGCAGACTTGGATATACTGGATTCATGAATTACAGTTAGGAATTACATTTTTGAATGGCAGATAATGCTGTTAATGGTGGCATATGCTAGTTACATTACATACCAATTGAATATCTATTAATGTTACACTGTGATCTTATAAAATGAGATTTGTGAAACCTGGATGTTTATTTTTTTAGATCGTGTTACTACTTCATAATGTGCGCAAAAAAAAATATATATATATGTGGAGTTGGATTGCTCCATTATTCTGTTTGCATAACTATTAAAACAGGTTGCAGCCCTTCAGGAGGAGAAGAGCTGCTTGCTTGCTGAGAACCAGATTTTGATGGAACGTTTAAATCAGTCTGACTCTATTGAAGATCCCAACAGCCCTGCTGGTCGTAGGCACTTGCAACTGCAAACACAACTAGAACAACTCCAAGAGGAAACATTCAGGTATGGAAATTACCTGTAACTTGTTTGTAGCTGACAACAGACATAACTATATATTTGTGTTTTCACTGGCTGAATTATTGGAGTTGGTGCTACTATGACAGTTGTGAAGTTTTTGATGATATTTAAGATTTTAAGATATACCTTTTCATACGTTGTAGTATCAAAAGTTGTGTACAATAATGAAATACTGTCTGCTTGTCCCCATTTACACTGTTTTACACTGTTTGGGAGCAATCATTTCATCAGTATTTGAGAATCAGTGGTGATGAAAGGTGGCATGCTTTCCTTTGTATAAATCATTCTGATTCTATTATGTTGGCATAGAAATTCCTAGCTGAACGTTTATTGTGGGTGGTAGTATTATGCAACAAAGTATGTCCTTCTGTTAGGTCTGAAAACAAAATATGTCATATCTGAGAGATGGAGATTTTGAGGTATTGAGCTCAACTCCTCATTTGCATTTCTTCACTGGGTGGAAAAATAGTTTCTCCTTATTTGTCCTTCCCGATCCTTTCAGCTGTTGCTTTCAGCCTCTCTAAGCCTATAATGCTGAGGAAAGGCAGTCTACTTCACTGTTGTCTTTTCATACTTATTGCTATATTTTCCCTCTCCTTTGTGACTGAAACTGTAATATTTCTCTCCTTTTTTTTTTTTTTTTGCCCTATTGCGTTTTTCAAATACTTTTGCCAATTGTCAAATAACTTTCCTTTTTTGTCTATTTTGGCGTTTTCCACTTGTCCTGCAAAGACTTTTTTCTGAGTGTTCAGATGCATCATCTCCCTCCAGTACCCTGAAAAATAATTAACATTTCTCTTTTGTAGCAGCCAATGTGTGTTTTCTTGTTTCTGTATGTCTACCCTGTGAAGGTATAGTACTGTGGTATCTCGTTAGTGTAAACCCTTTAACTCTGCTGAGTCATATCTGTTCTCTGAAGTGATTCACTGAAGTGAAGTACCTGAGCCTTTTGACTGTTTCCTATTTGTATTAAACAGATTTTTCTCCCCTTATTCAATGTCTGCATTACCAGTTACTCTAGTTTCAGGTTTTGGAGGGCTTTGTACATCTTTTTTACCTGAAGCCTGTCTTTCAGTTCTTTACCTCCTCTCGCTTCTTTCTTAGTATTTGCTATCTTATGTCTGTGTTTTTCTCCAGCTCTACCCAACCAAACAAGAAGTATGTACAGCTTAACTGATGTGAAGTGTGCTCTGGTGTTGTTATTTCAAACTTAACTCTGTGTCCTTCGACAGTTTGGGACTATCAAAATTCCAGCCTTTGTTGTATTTGGCTTAGCTGGCCTACTGATCATATTTATCCTCTATTCTTGCTACCGTTAACTTGCTTCAGTTTCCTACTGAATTCCTTTAATTAACAAAGTACTTTTTTTGCTTGTACTTCTTTTGGATTGTCTTCATTTTAATTTTGGATCATAATTAGGATAGTATTTTATGTTGCAACTTGTTTTCTGTTTCTGCTCTTTCAAGTGCTTTAATAAAATTTCTCTTAGTTATGCCCCCTGTTCACTGCCAGGTTAATGCAGCTTTGCCTATATATACTGTAGATGAGTAGTTCACCCCTGAAATTTTATTCTGTTTTATGTGCTGGTCAAAATACGTAGCTAAATTACTTGATTCTTAAGAACAAGTTAAGCTGTAAGAATAAATAAGAACACCTCATAGTGTTTTTTATTTATTCTTATTTTATTTATAGTACATCTGGCAATGGTACATCAGGTCAATGCTATTGGAAGTGTATGGAACTGGAACAGCTAAATGAAGTCCTGGGATAAAGTCATCATATTCAAACTCTATATAGCTCAAGATGAAAAAGATTGGAAATTTCTGCTTGAAAATCCATTTCTGGAAAAGTACAGTGACAAAAAAGTTAGATTGTCGTTCTATTAAGAGATCACAACCTTGTGATGTTCCTAATAGAAATACTGACATCAAATTAAAATAATCAGAACACTCAATCTGCTTCTATCCTTTTCCAATAAGCCTGGCATTTGGGTGTGTATGTGATGTTGCACATTAGAGTGCTGTTTTCCTTTCCTATGTATGTCATCTTAGGGAAAAGATGTATTCTGATAGAGAAGATGGTGAAGAAAGATAACTGTGGGTCAAGCTAAGGAATTGTTTTCTGTTTTACATTATTTCTACAGATTAGAAGCTGCCAAAGATGACTACAGGATACGCTGTGAAGAACTGGAGAAGGAAATTGCTGAATTGAGACAACAGACAGAAGAGCTTACTACGTTGGCAGAGGAAGCTCAATCTCTGAAGGATGAGATAGATGTACTGAGGTACACAGACCACCACAGTTTTGCTTAAACAAATGTTACCTATTGATTAGGCACTTAATGAATATTAGCAAATGTAGCTATGTTATACTGTCTTACGGCTGTAACAAGTCAAGTACTGATCTCTGAGTGCAGACTGTTCTCCACTTACTGTTCCCTTCATGATATGGGAGTTCATTCTTGTGAAGGAGATAGACCTCTTGTGGTATTGTGTTTGTACTTTGGTTGGCACTTTGGCTCATCATCCACACTGGAGAGATGTGGATTTGACAGCTGAACCACCTGGTGGATAAGAAATCCAGGCTGCGGACATAGGGTGGTGGTCAATGATTCTGTGTCCAGGTGGAGGCTGATAACATGTGGTGTCCCCCAGGGGTCTGTCTTGGGACTGTTGCTCCTTAACATCTTTATCAGTGACATTGATGATGGAATTGAGTGCACTCTCAGCAAGTTTGAGCACTCTCAGCTGATGACACCAAGCTGAGTGGTGCAGTTGACATGGTGGAAGGAAGGGATGCCATTCAGAGGGACGTCAACAGGCTTGAAGGGTGGGCCCAGGTGAATCTAGTGAAGTTCAATACAGCAAAGTGCAAGGTTTTGGACTTGGGCCGGAGGAATCCCAGGCATTCATACAGACTAGAAGGAGCAGTCCTTGAGAGCAGCCCTGAAGAGAAGAACCTGGGGGTCCTGGTGGATGAAGAACTAAACATGAGCCAGCAATGTGCTCTTGCACCTTGGAAGGCCATTGGTATCCTTGACTCCACTGGGAGAGGCGTGGCCAGCAGGGACAGGGAGGTGATTGTCCCTCTCTACTCTGCCCTCATGAGGCCCCACTTGGAATAACTGCATCCAGGTCTGAGGCCCCCGGTACAAGAAAGACAGAGCTATTGGAGAGGGTCCAGAGAAGGACCACTAAGTTAATCAGAGGGCTGGACCTCCTCTCCTACAAAGACAGGTTGAGGGAGCTGGGCTTGCTCAGCCTGGAGAAGAGAAGGCTGCAGGGCGACCTCATTGCAGCCTTCCAGTACCTAAAGGGAACCTGTAAACAGAAGGGCAGTCAACTCTATTGAAGGGTGGACAATAGAAGGGGAAATGGTTTTAAGTTGAAGGAGGGAAAATTTAGGTTGGATATCAGAGAGAAGCTCTTTATTGTGAGAGTGGTGAGGTGCTGGAGCAGGCTGCCCGGAGAGGTTGTGGATGCCCTGTCCCTAGAGTAGTTCAAGGCCAGATTGGATGGGGCCCTGGGCAGCCTGGTCTAGTATTAAATGTGGAGGTTGGTGGCCTTGCCTGTGGCAGGGGGGTTGGAGATTCATGATCCTTGAGGTCCTTTTCAACCCAAGCTGTTCTATAATTCTGTATGATATTAGCATGTGACAGCTGTTTTTACCACTGGATTTTAGAACCCATAGTTGTGATAACCAACTGTGCTGGGGGTTTATAAAGTGGAACAGCCCCTTTTTGCTGTGAAATGTAATTCTTTATCACTGTCTTCTTGCTACCATCAGTTATTCAGATTGTCTGTCACAAGGCTAACGTGACTTATTACAATACTGACTCTTCTAATTCACTGGATTTATTTCAGCAGCATCTATCTTTATGTTCTCTGTCATTCATGTTGGTTATGAGCCTGTGGTACTGCACAATTCCATACACTTTCAGTGTCACAAGCACAGATTCAACAACAAAGTCTTGCTCCAGAGTCTGTCCTTATTGAGGAGTTAAGAAGATTTTACTTGCCCCAGTGTCTCATAAATTGGTCACCAACATGGAATTCTCCAGATTTCTTAGGAAGCTGAGTATGTAAAATTAATTGTAAAATGAAGCTGGGATGGTGTTAGGAGCAGAGAAGGAATGGTCACTGTCTTCCTGGTGATGCATGCATCAGGTTTTTCTAATTTCATTATGGGTTCTATTATCTGAATTTTGTCATCGTGTGAGACAGAGGAGTTTGTTACATGGTGTTCAACTGCTGGAGATGTTGGACTTTGGATGTGCCATAGTCTTTGTCCTAGCTTCATAACTAGCAGTAATAACTTTAGACCTATTCTAAAATACAAATCTAACAGTTTTTAAGAACTGTTGCCATTGCTGCTGAACTTCAGAAGGGAATTGAGGTCATAATGCATAAGCTTTTACTCTGTTAATTTCTGGGATTTTGTGCGGTACTGCTTTGGGGTAATATTTTCTTTCTCAGCTTCCAACATATTTTAACTTGTTCATTTCTTAATGTGTGTACCATAGCCCTCAGGCGACTTCCAAGTAGCAACCATAATCCTGACTCTCTCCTCACTATATAGTTTACTTTTCTTTCTGTTAAGCAGCCTTATCAAACCGCCATATGATCAGTGCAGTTTTTCCCTACTGATTCAGTGAAGATGATCATATCCTATTTTTTATAAACTTTTGCCTTTAATGTTTCCAGCACGTAGTCCATATTTAAACTCTTTGTTAGTAATCTGACTAATAATGGTCTTTTTGCTCCCTAGTGTTACTTCACTTCTGAGTCACAGTAAGCACCTTCATTCCTGAAATTATGTTGGTCTGCCAGCAGGAGGCTTTAAGAAAAAAACAAACTGATTTTTGCTTCAGCTGGTGTTCTAAAGTGTACTTCCTCTACGTTCAGGAATACCAGGATTATTGTATTGATCTGTACTAGTGGATGGACTGAGACTCCATTATTTCTACCAACTCAGCTATTAGTGCAGCTTGCACATGTGGCTTCAGTGGGGAGCTGGCCACACTGAATAAACATTAAATGTGTACTGTGACCTTCAAGATGGTACAGACTTGTGGTCAAATAATAGTTTTAGTATTACTGTACCTTCCATCAGCGGCTATTTGAATTAACAGATGGTGGAAGGAAATTAAGTTTAGTGGTGAAAATATATGGTAGTGTAAGGATATGATCACTTCCTTGTGTTACTTGTGATGCCTTGGGATGTCTTTTACATTACTTCTAAACATGAAGGAAGCTTCGGGACATTTGATTTTCTTCATTTTCAGAATATAAATTTGATACAAATCTTTCCCTCCAGGCATTCTTCTGATAAAGTAGCCAAGTTAGAAAGCCAAGTAGAATCTTATAAGAAGAAATTAGAAGACCTGGGTGATTTGCGTCGGCAAGTGAAACTCTTAGAAGAAAAGAATACAGCGTACATGCAAAATACTGTAAGCCTGGAAGAGGAGCTGAGGAAGGCCAATGCAGCGCGCAGTCAGCTGGAGACGTATAAGAGGCAGGTGAGAAAGTCATCATCAACACAACATTTCTCTGCATTTTTAAACACTTCCTTGTCAGGAATACAGATGATGAACAAACACCTCTTTACTTGTTTTTTAGGTATTGCCTTTCTTATCTGTTCTTGCAATTCTTACATCTGTGTAAAATGTGTTTGTCAGCACGCACATCTTTGTACTTTACAAAAATCAATGGGTGTGAGAATTAGTTTTTTCAAACTCAGTAGTAAGGCTTGGGTTACAGCCTCTTCTTTAAGATATACTTAGAAATTATATACTTAGAAATTTACAGCAGCGAGGGATGTACCACAGTTGAGGTAAGTTACTCCCTTGTTTAAGTATCCTTTTTTTTCCAAGTTTGTCTGATATGTATGAAATTTCTAGTTATATACAGGTCTAAAGGAAGAATGATGTATACTGTCTAAAGAGAGAAGGACGTGTATACTGTCCTTGTTTATATGCACCCAGAAGAGTACAGAATTTTTAATCAGCACACTCTTTGGAGTGAAGGACGTCTGTTTGTATTGCTTAACAAGGCATTACATGATCCTGTTTCTGTAAAGAAGGAGGGTGTGCTAATCTCTCTGCTTCTACACTGATGTGACGTAATTCTTGGATTGTTGTTTCAGGGCCAGACAGAGGCTAGTTTGTTAGAGTGGTAGTGCCTGCTATGTATTTCTGCTTGATCTGATACTCCGGGTGGTCATGTTACCATGCTTACATGTACACGCCAGCTTACAGCAGAAAAAGAACACAAAAGCGACCACAAACTACAAGCCCTGATACAACGTGTGGTCTGGAGACTTGAAAACTTTTTCTGCATGTGGTCATCTTTACTGTTAAGACAACAAACTTCAGCCCCTGTGGGCTAATTGTAGATACAGTTCAAGTGATACCATGAGAAACAAAGAACTTGGGTGAGAAAAATACTGACATAACAGTCAAAGGAAAAAGTAAATACAGAAAGCAGTAACTGATCACACAGGAGTAGTATCATGTTTACTAGCAGTAAATATTCCTTGCCTTTAACAGCTGAGTACACAAATATAAGTATCTCGTGGGCTAGAGTGCTTGAAAGTAAGGGGGCTCGTGAGGGCTGAGCAGCATTTAAACAGCACTTCTTCCAAGCTCAGGATCAGTGCATCCCTAAGAGTAGGAAACTGGGGAAGGGAGGCAGGAGACCTGTGTTGAATGAGCAAGGAGCTTGTGGATGAGATCAAAGGGAAAAAGAAACTTTATGAAATGTGCAAATTAGGGCATGTCCTCTTGGGAAGAGTATAGGAGTGTTGTCAGGGCCTGCAGGGAAGCAATGAGGATGGCTAAAGCTCACCAGGAGCTGAAGCTGGCAAAGGAGATAAAGGGTAATAGGAAGGGTTTTCTTGAGTATGTTAACGGTAAAAGGAATACTAGGGATGATGTGGGTCTCCTGCTAAATGATGGAGGTGTCCTGGAACAGGGGATGCTGAGAAGGCGGAGATGCTGAACGCCTGCTTTGCTTCAGTAGTCACTTCAAAGACTCTTCCCTCCAGCGTCCAGGAGTCCTGAGGGTGAGAGTCTGAGAAATGGAGAGCTTCCCTTTGGTCAAGGAGGGAGTGATCCAGGAGCATCTAGGTGGGATCAGCATGCACAAATCCATGGGTCCTGATGGGGTGCACCCAATGGGATGCATCCACGTGTGCTGAGGGAGCTGGCAGAGGTGACTGCCGGACCGCTCTGTCATCTTTGACAGGTCTTGGAGAACAGGAGAGGTGCCTGAAGACTGGAGCATAGCCAGTGTCACTCTGGTCTTCAAAAAGGGCAAGAAAAAGGATGTGGGAAACTACAGGCCAGTCAGACTCACCTCTGTCCCTGGAAAGGTGATGGAACAGCTTGTTCTGGAGGCCATCTCTGAGCAGTTGGAAGAGAAGAAGGCTATCAGGAGTAGTCAGCATGGATTCATCAAGGGGAGATGGTGCTCGACCATCTTTGCAGCCTTCTCTGATGACATCAGTGGCTGGGTAGATGGGGGGAAAACAGTGGATGTCATCTATCTTGACTTTAGCAAGGCTTTTGATACTGTCTCCCACAGCATCCTGATACTGAAGCAGAGAAAATGTGGGACAGATGAGTGGACAGTGAGGTGGGTTGAGAACTGGCTGGCTGGCCAAACTCAGAGGGTGGTGATCAGTGGTGCAGAGTCTGGTTGGAGACCTGTGACTAGCAGTGCTCCGCAGGGTTCAGTGCTGGACCTGGTCTTGTGCAAAATCCTCATTGACGACCTTTGCGAGAGGATATTGTGCACCCTCAGCAAGTATGCCCACGATACAAAGCTGGGAGAAGTGGCCTGTGGGCCACAGAAGGCTGTACTATCATTCAGCAGGAGCTGGAGAGGCTGGAGAGCTGGGCAGTGAGAAACCAGATGAGGTTTAACAAGAGCAAGTATTGTACCTGTCCAGTCTTGCACTGGGGAAGGAGTAACAGGGTGTATCAGGAGAGAGTGGGGGCAGACCTGCTGGAGAGGAGCTATGTGGAGAAGGACCTGAGAATCCTGGTGGACAACAGGGTGGCCATGAGCAAGCAGTGTGCCAAGAAGGCTGTTGGGATCCTGGGATACATGAAAAGGAGTGTGTCCAGCAAGTCAAGGCAGGTGATCCTCCTGCCACTGCTCTGCTCTGGCCTCACCTGGAGTGCTGTACACAGTTCTGGGCTCCCCGGTACAAGAAGACAGAGATCTCCTGGAAAGAGCCCAATGGAGGGCCTCAAAATGGTAAAGGGCCTGGAGCATCTCCTCTATGAAGGAAGGCTGGGTGACCTGTGTCTGTTCAGCCTTGAGAAATGAAGGCTGAGAGAGGATCGCATTAATGTTTGTAAGTATCATTAAATGTGAGAGACAAAGGGATATGACCAATCTTTTCAGTGGTCTGTGGGGACTGGACAAGGGGAAATGGCCATACACTGGAACAGAGGAAATTCCACACCAGTACGCAAAAGAACTTCTTCATGATGAGGGTGAAGGAGCACAGAAACAGGTTGTCTAGGGAGGTTTTGGAGTCTCCTTTCCTGGAGTAATTCAAGACCTGCCTGGACATCTACATGTGCAGCTTTCTTTATTGGGCCTGCTTTGGCGGGGGGGTTGGACCCTTCCTACAATTCTGTGGTTCTGTGATGACTTTGTAACCTTTGTGTCTAGATCTGATTGTACATAACTGAGGTAAGGATTTTGGAAGGGGCAGTCCTGTCATTTGTTCTGCAAAAAGCACTGTTTCTTTTCAGTGCTCCGTGGGTGAGATTTCCAATATGAGGTGCTGATAATTTGTAGAGAACCGGTCCACTGTCTGAGACTGGAATAAACATCAAGTGCCCTCATGTGAGAGGTGATAGTTTGGTGATAGTTTCTTTCACCTAATTACAGTGTCTCAAAATGATCATAAAGCGTATATACCTTACGTGTCCTGTTGGATTTTTTTGGCTATGAATTGTGAACTGTCATTTCATTATTTTCTCTGAATCTTAACTTTTGCTGTAGAAGTTAAGCCAGTTTTAAAGATTCAGATGTTATACAATTGATCACTCATTTGCTACTGTAGAGCAACATGTCTTCCCTGATGTGTGGAGGAATCTAACCCCAGTTAAGATAGTAGAGTAGAGTTGTTGGAGATATTTATCTGGCTAAGAAAACTTGTGCTGTGCAGGTGAAGGTTCAAGCTGCTGTAGTGATCTGCAAGGAAATCTCATCAATATTAGTTTCCTTAAGATAGGCTTGGTGATGGCATGTTGTACTTGGAGACATAATAGCACTTATTTAGGAGGCGTTGTTCACTTTTCCGAAAGCAAGTGCAAGCATTTTCTGAGAAACTTTTTATTGCACCATGAAGAATTCAGATGTGCAGATTCCATGATTACTTTTGTAATTTTGATTCAGTCCCTTTGTGCTTGTGTGTTCTATTTTTAACAGTATGTCCCGCTTTTCTTTGCAAGGTTACTGCTTTACTCATTCCACATGACAGATAATGCTCAGTAAATGTTATGGCAATTCATTCATTTATTATTTTTTTTTAATCTTCTGCATTACCATGTAGCTGTGTATCTTTCTGAACACTCCCAAATGCTGATTTGGGGCAGTTTATTTCCTGCTGTGTTTTTCTGTATAACATTACCATAGCTTGAGTTATTACAGACATTAATGCATTTATTCATATTTATTCAGATAGGAATGTATCTATTTTACAAAGAGGGCAAAATCGTAGATGAAGGCCTTGATTCTTTTTGTATCCCTAGTGATGGAAGTCACATCTGAAAAATTAAATATTTTCCAATCTGGCATTGTAAATTTTTTCTGATCTCAGAAATGGCAGATGTTATTTATTATTTCATGTTTTTATTAACAAGAAAAAAAAAACAACAACAAAAAAGCACCACAAATAAAAAAAAAGAACCCAGTATCTTTCATTCTAAGACAAAGACCATGCAGATTTTCAGGCCTGGTTATTTTCTTATAGTTTTTCACAGTGAAAGTAAAACGTAATGGCAACTGCTAGGCAGTCTTATATAGGCACAGCTACTGTTTTGCACTGACAGATTGTTAGTCACTTCTCTGTAATCTGAAACCGAAGAGAAAGCCACCTTATGAATTGCTTCAGAAGAAGTTTTATGTCTTCAGCTGAATCATCATTCAGCTTATGTGTTTGCAGCTAAGTCTTTATTCAGATTACTTGCTTCTATGCTTTCTACATTATGAGTATTACTAATGTCTGAGAATGAGCTTTCGTTAGTAAAGGTTGAGAACTTTGGAAAGGCAAAACTTTGCTGATTTGCCTTCTGTTCACTGATTGTTTCTGTGTATTAAATAAACTCTTTACTGATCTGTGGTTAAAAGTATATACTTGACACTGTTAGACGTGTATTTCATTCTTAGTAAACTGATAATGAGCCTCTGGCCAAATCTTTATATTAGTGTATTAAAAAATGATTAGGAAAATCTCAGGTGAAGAGGCATTATCTGACTACATAAACTGGCAGTTGAGTTCTGAGTAAGGCTTCACAACAATTGTAGATAATTTCATCAAAGGTTTTTTTTTTCCTCTTCGCTTCTCAGAAAGCAGGATTTTTGCACTGCTCCTGAGCAATTTGTAGAAGTACATAGCTTTTTTTTTTTTTCCTGTTAGAGCTGGCTAAGCTTCCAGTCCTGTTTGTAGATATATTGAATGTATTTTACAGGTTTTGCTTCTTGTTTTTGTCACGAGACCTAATACTTGGATGCTGTTAGTTTTGCTGAAACACAGAACAACAAGAAGTTTTTGGAAGTCCTATAGATAAACATTTTGCTTGTTTTACAAAATAACTTGTGGTGCATGGTAATTGGCTACTTTTGTTTTATGTATTTTGTTTTAATACTAATATTTGCAGACAAATTATTGATTCTTGTTCTCACAGGCAGTTGAACTACAAAACAGGTTATCTGAAGAATCCAAGAAAGCTGATAAATTAGATTATGAATGCAAACGGCTGAAAGAAAAAGTAGACAGCCTCCAAAAAGAAAAAGATGTAAGTGCCAAGGTGGTGGGGTTTTTATTTTTGGTAGTAGTGAAAGCAACTTTGTGTCCTTTGTAACGGAGAGATGTCATAATAAAAATTAGCCATTTACAGCAACCTTTTTAAATTAGGAAGCCTTTTTTTCACTTATAATTTCCTCATGTATGTTTTATAATATACTTTTTAAATCTAAGAACTGTACAGCATAGAATTAAACGACTAAAATCATATGCAACACTTCTTAAAAATGAAGAGCCTTCACAGTTGAGATCTGAAATTGTTTCTTGCCCTTTCCTCATGAGAAGGTTAATAAGCGCTCAGCATAATTGTCATGTATTCTGAATGACTATTTAAAGTAGGTGTATTTGCAGTATCTTCCTTATAACTAAATTATTATTTTTTTCTTTTAAGATCTTTCTTTGAAATACCAACTGCATGCTTCTGTTTACGTAGTTGTGAATGCTGCAGCAAGAGGCTTAGGAGTCTTGTAGAAGGATGTTTCCATTGTTATAGTCTTGCCTTTCACGATAGTTCATTGACCTGTCTTGTAGTGTTAACATGGAATACACAGGACTGGTCTGTTCTGTTCCTCTCTGTCATTTACCGCTAATAATTCTGAGATCTGAGTTACTCTGTCCCCTCTTGCTAAGACCAGACTTTCAGACTTTTTCTTGCATACTCTTATTTCGCACCAGTTTTTTGTTTGTTTGTTTTTCCTAGGAATGCATTTGCAGTGCTCCTAAGCATGGCTGGCACTTTTGAGTTAGAAATTTCTCAAGCTTGAAGTATAAATCCATTTATTCATCAGGAAAGTTCTTTGTAGGCATTTCCTTTAATATATCGTGTTGCCTGTTAAATCCTTTCAAGAAAGGGCAGTCCTTACCCTTAAATAGTATCTGTAAGGTAGTAAATCTTCACTTATTTTCAGTTCACAGGTCTTTGATTTCTATATTTTGTTAATTTTTTAACTATTCTGAACAGTTGTCCTTTTCACTTCCATTTGTTCTTCAGCTCAGATTGGAATGCTTATAGTTATCATTTGTGCTTTGGCTTTCATCTCTGCTTCTTATTTAAAGCTTGTTTTTCCAATTTTATTATGTTTAACAGCAGTAAGATTGTGTCTGTGGCTTGTCTGTTGCTTGATAGACCATTTTGTCTTGCACAAAGGATCTGAATTGTAGGTGACTGTTGTACAGTTTTCAGTTTGCTACTGCCTGGCTAATAGCATATTCTTTTTACTTAGGTTGTTTTTCAGTACTTTCTTCTGAATTGATACGCACCTTTGAGAACTAGTTTGTAGTTGAAGATTCTCAACGTTTGTATTAGTGATACACCACCAATGTTATCTGCTCTCCCCAGTTATCACATACATATCACTAGCGTTGCCCATCGCAGATCAGAAGCCACATACTTTGTCAGTTACATTTTAGAGGCAGTTTTGTCCTTTTCTTTATATTCAGGCCAAGTGTGGTACAAGGTTTTATGTCTCTAGCTTTGCAGGTAAATTTCAATTCTGTGCTCTGTTTTTTGAGACGTAATATTATTGGATGAGTTGACTTTGTCTTCACTGTACAAATGAAGACTTTGAGCATTGTCTATTCGTTGAAATATTCTAGCATTTGATTAATTGGCTTAATGTCTTTTGACTGCAACAAACTGCAGAATCTTTGCTTTCAGCAACTGAGCTTGAACATTCCTCTGACCAGCCATTTTTCTGTATTTATAGTGAAGCCATTAACCTGCAAGACTCATGAAGTGGCTTGCTGTGCTAGCGGAATGCACACTGTATCCAGATGGTTGTGACAGTTGCACCAGAGTTCCCTGGTTAGGATTCAGAAATACAGCAGAAGCCTCTGCCACACCTCACCAATAAAGTCTTTGCCAAGGGTTTTCCAAGTTAGGGGTCCATTTAGGCTGAAATATAAAATACATCAAACTGTTAAAATGATTGGATTCAAGTAGCTATCAGTATTTCTGATATTGTATGTTGATATTGTATATTTCTGATACTGGAGCAAACTACAACTTAGATCTTTAAATAGTTGCTGTTCTCTCCTTTCATTTTTCACTGTTGGAGTCTTTCACAATTAAAACTTGGTGTTATCTGTTAATTCTCATTTTTGCCAAAAGGAGACTTCTGTCAGATGGGAGTATATTTACATGATGCTACTTTAGAGCCCATCTGTCTAGATCCCAAGATGGGCCTGTTCTGTTTTTCAGTTCTTTGGACTGAGTCTTAGGTCTTAGTCATCTTAAGTACCTGAGATGCTGGCTGGTGATTGGCAGGGCCAGTTGACACAAGTCAGGAAGGGGTTATGGAGCTGCTGCTCACACTTTCGCTGCTGAAAGAGAAACAAAACCAAGTTAATCAAGTTTGTCTTTTGTGTTGACTGTGTCTTTTATTTCACTCTTGGCTAAGTCTTGATTTCATGGTGAAGGAAACGCCTGCAGTGTCTTCTCACTTCCCTTCATCAGGGATTTGTTCCAAGGGAAAGTGAAGAGGAAGATGGCTTACTGGTTCCTGTACATACTGTTTCTTATGTGGTACCAGAACTTTATGTCACTAATAAAATGATGGTGTCAGCTTGTACCCTAATGTTTTTACTCCCCATATCTGTGTTAGCAGAGCATCAAAAATAACAGTTTGTGTGAAATACCTTAAATTTCTTCTTATTCTGTTGTGAAATAAGCTGAGATGCCTTAATTCGAAAAGCAGTCTCTGATATCACATTCAATTCTTTTGAAAGTGTTGATGCTATGCCTTTCATCAAATTGCATAGTTTAAAGATGGAATGGCAGTGCCAAAACTTATATTTATTCTCTTTCCAATTATTTAGAGATTAAGAACAGAAAGGGATTCTTTGAAAGAAACTATTGAAGAGCTCAGGTGTGTACAAGCACAGGAGGGTCAACTCACCACTACAGGTAACAAATATGGAGATTAAAAGCATCTTTTCTAAAGTTCATGAGATTTATCTGAACGGTATTGATTGTACTTTGGGAGAAAATAAATGTAGACTTCTTTGAAAGCATCAGTGAGAAGCTGCTTTTACTACTCATAACTTGCGTAACTTCTGATTTCAGAACTTTTAGACTCCTCACTGTGGTAGTTCTAGGATGTATTTCTAAATTGTTTAGTCAGACTGAAGAAAATTACTTATGCTTTCTCAAGTATGTATGGTATTTCATGTGTTGCAGTGTGTTTATTATGTTGCACAGCTTTTTGAATAATCTGTTGAGAAAATCACCACAAAATATGTTGACCAGATTGATTGTAGGCAGACATAGCAGTTGTTTTTCAAATGAAATTGTGCTTGCCTGTCCTCCTGTAGCTTGATTCTGTGTCATTTTCCATTCTATAGCATTACTCTAAAATACAAACTTGTAGAACAAATTTACTTCTGTTTCTTTAGAAGAAAGTAACTGGTCTGCTTGCTAAATGTTTTACTTTTTCTGACTCAGGATCGATGCTCCTAGGAAGACAAGAATCTTCAGACAGTTTAGCAGCAGAAATTGTTACTCCTGAAATAAAGTAAGCTAATACGTGTGCTTTGTTATACTAACCATTATGATGTACCAATAAATGAGTGGTTTACATCTTAATAAGTGCTGAAAAGTTTATGCAGTTAATGTTTTCCAACTCATTTTGGATTTCTGCACAGCAAAAGCTTTTATGCTTTAGACAAAGTTCGTTTGACCTCTCTTCAGTTTTTGTATTGTGCTCCAAAAGAAGGAAAAACAACAAACTTCACCTCAGACTGTACTTTTTCTGCAGAGAGTTCATGTAACTGCAGCTAGTATGTACTCTGACAGAATACCAGTACTTGCTGTTGTGAAAGGAAAAAATGGCTAACACTTGAAAGGAGCAATAGATTTTGTAACCAATTTTATATCTTAGTAAATGATTGATTTATGCAAGAGCAGAACAGCCATGGCAGAGCTGAAAGAGGTTGAAAGTTACGTTATACCAGTAAGCTCATTCATTATCACTATAACCTGAAAATTAAGTTATTGAAAGACAGTCATGTCTCAGATATGTGTTGACATATCTGTAGGCATTTAATTTTTTTCATCCCTACAAATACTGATACAGTTGTTAAAAATTGGAAAGTTCCTTTTGTGGTTAAAAGCAGTGATAAAGGAGTAACTTTTTACAAAGTTAGTCATAGAATACAGTTGACTTTCTTCTATCTCTGTTGATACACCTTAAATTCAAGAGCATTTCTTTCAGTTTTATTCAGGAATTGAAAAATAATGTTTTGTGGTAGTGTTAGTGAAGTATGGAGTTACTGATTAAACCTACAAGACTGAACAATAGAAGGCAGGAGCCATAAATGCTTTAAAGACCCAGAGACATTTCACCATCTCCTCACCTTAAACTGAAGATGAAATCTGGATTTTATGGAAGTGTGCATCGGTGCAGACTATTTACAGATCCTCAACTCAGCCTCCTTGCCTAGCACGCAGAGGCAGTCGCAGTAGCTGCCTTAGTACTAGAACTTCCTGATCTGGAGGTCTGGGCTGCTGCTTCCATAGGTAAAGAAGGAAGGCAGCCCACCCATTCAAGCAGCAGCTACTGTTCTCACGTTCCCCACATTGTGACAGGACATTAATCTGTTTGCAAGCACCTTTCTTCATCTCATGGAGGAAGCCAGCAGACTAGCTGGGAAATTTTTGCAGTCAGGCCTGTCAGTTGCACCTGTGTGAATCAACAGGAAACATGAGGAAAAGCAAACTCTGAAGCAGAAGTAGCTTCCCCAGGTTCTAGCAGTAGTTCATGTACAACTGAGATTACAACCTCCCTTGATGCTTGGCACTTAGTTCTAGATTTTCTGTATTCTACCTAATAAACATGTCGTGCTATACTCTGATATCTAATAGAGTGATTCAGGCAACTTTCTGTTGTATTACTTTCAAAAATTATAGCTCTTTTAACTGGATTTTAATTTGGGGGCTTGAAGACGTAATTGTGGTTTCATATGTCTTCCTTAAATAGGTAAAGAGAATCTTTATGCAATCTTTACACATCCTGTGGTAATCTGTTTACAATTTCTGGAAAATTGTGTTTCAAATTGTTTAGGGAAAAACTCATCCGTCTTCAGCATGAAAACAAGATCTTAAAATTGAACCAGGAAGGTTCTGACAATGAAAAGATCGCCTTGTTGCAGAGCCTTCTTGATGATGCAGATTTACGGAAGAATGAATTGGAGACAGAGAACAGGTAAGAAATATTGTCTTCTGCCCCCCAAGTTGCACTGATTTTATTCAGACAGTGCTGTACACTTTTGACACTTTTTGTCCAACACAAGGTTCTCCAGCACAATAAAAGCATAGACTTACTGTATTGAGTGAAATGCTGAAAGGATGTGATTGAAGTACTGCAGAACAAAAAGAATCTGAGAGATAGGGAGGCTGGAAAGAAGGCAGGCTAGAGGGAGGATGTGATTAATGTTTAAAAATATCTAGTGGAAGTGCCTAAAGGAAAGGGAGCTAGAGTCTTTTCAGTAGAGAGACAGAAGAGGCAATGGGCAAAAACTGAAACACGTGAAATTCTACGTAAATGTAAGAAAATACCTCTTTACTGTGAGTGTTGCTAAACACTGGAATGTGATGCCCAGAAAGGTTGTCTCCATGCTTGGTAATAGTCAGAACACAGCATCACGTGTTCTTTGATATAGATATCCATTGAGACAGACAAGATGCATCTGAGGATTCTAAGGTAATGCTAAGTAAAGCTGACTCACACTTGTGTGGCTGCTCTTCATTTAATCTTTGAAAGGTCTTGGTAATTGATTGAAGTTTTTGAAGTTTGAGAAAAGCTCAATGCCACACTCACCTTCAAAAAGACAAGAAAAAGGATCCAAGGCTGACTGAAATCTGGAATCTGCTTCCAGTCACGTGAGAGACAGGGAAGGTCAATGTGAATATTTCAGGCCTGACTAATAAAATTGTCTTCTACAATGAAATGAGTGGCTGCCTATGTGGAAGTGGCTTTGGCAAGGCCTTTGTCACAGTCTTTCATGGTATGTTTATATTCCAAACGGTGGCGTATAGACTGAGTGGTGAACTCAATTGTAGTGAATCGTAGTGCTAACAACAGTGTGGAAAAATTAGCTGGTGGGAGCTAGTTGAGAAGAATGGTCCTTCACTTATGATTAGCACTTGCAAGGCCACTTTTGGATGTAGCACGTAGTTTTGGATATATCAGTGTAGAAAATATGTGGACATACAGGAGTACTGAGGTGAGGGACACTGGAGCATGTCATGTGGGGTAAGACAGAGGACAGGGTTTGTTCAGCCTGAAAAAAAGATGACAGGAGAGATCATTCTGTGATATACATCTGCATAATGGGAATGTGTGAAGAAGGCAGCTGGTTGACAGTGGAAGTACAAGACGCAGTGGAAACTATTTTAAGTACAAGAGATTCTGAAGGAATACAAAAGGAAAAAAATGTCCAAAAGAAATTTAGAGAAGAGGTACAAAGAAATTGTCGGACCTCCATCTGTAGTGGTATCCAGACCTCAGCATTACAGTAGTCTGCTGTACTTGGACCTGCTTCAAGATATTTAGATGAATAAATTATATAATTATAAATTATACTTAGATAAATAAACTCAGGAGGTCTTTACCAGCCTGCAGGTTGTTAGGGTTCTGTGACTGCATAAAGGCAATACGGTAGTTGTCTTCACACAGAAAGTCAAAAAGAGTTAGAAACTCTTCTCGTGTATATATGGAAATAATTTCTTATGACTTACATGAAACACTGACTTGGAAAGGTATCAAAATGTTCTGGGAGGCTGCCGACTCTGACCTCTGGAACTGTTGTACTAAGTTCTGTTATAAATTCTTAGTGAATAAAATGCAGTATTGTATCTCTTATGTAGATCTGGAAACAGCAAACCCTAAAAGTCTCAAGCATCATCTTGAAATTTTTTGTTCTTTTCTGAAAAGTAAAATTTTACTTACTTCATAGATTGGTAAATCAGAGACTTCTTGAAGTGCAATCCCAGATTGAAGAACTACAAAAATCTTTGCAAGATCAAGATTCAGAAGCTGAAGATGTAAGTAGGAATCTGGGTCAAGCTTACGTTCAAGTAGTTGTAGTGATTTAAACAAGAACTTTTTGTAGAAGTTTCACCTTGTTATTTAGTAAAGAATCAGACTTCTAGGAATTTCTCATTGTTTAGCATATTCTTTGTTACTGCCTTAACACTAAATTGTTCTTTAGATAGAATATAAGACATTTCTGTAAGGGAAAAAAACCAAACATTTTATGCAGAGAAAGTATCAAATATGTTTTATTTGATTAAATTTTGTCTGTTCCAATACCAAAGAAAGCATTGTTTAAAATCATACAGTTAGAATAAAGAGTTTTGAGAGGAATTAAGGACGTGTTAATTCTCCACATCTTAATAATGTATCTGAAGATATTTTTGTTTCAGTAGTGGAATTTAAGGTCTTTCCTGTTGGTGGATGTCCTGTAATTTTTTTTAATGTATCAGCTAATGCAAGAAGCTTGGCAGGCCAAAACTGAAAATGGCAAATGATTAGTCACTTAACATAATATAGCATTTTCTGTTTCCACACACAGAGTTACTTTTGTTGTAAATTTGAGAGTACGCATCATGGCAGGTTAGCGTGAAGAACAACTTTCAGTTTTCCACTCAAAAAATGCTTTTGCCACCTCCTGTATTTGATACAAGAAGCTCTCTAAACTTTATTGAAAACAGTGATTTGCAGGATGTATCTATCTATCTATCTATATATACAGTGTGCACTCACAATACCAGTGTATTGCTCTGCTAATTGGCAACAAGGTGTAATGTGTTGCATTCTATTTTTGTGTTTTTATTTTAAGTGATTTATATTAAAAAATGACAGATCTTCTAGCTGCTTGTTTTCATTTAAGAGTTTTTAATTTAGTTTTTTCCATTAATTTTTAGAATATACTGCATGACTGTAAAGACCATAGTCTGGTTCAATTGAGGCCATTTCCTGAAGTAATTTAGAACGTGTTTTAGAGTTTCTTTTAAAATAGGTTCATGTTATCTTATGATTCTTATATTCTTTGCATTCTTGTTCATTTACTAAAATCTGATTTTCCAAGATGAACAAGAATATGAAAACGGTATTCTCAGGTACTGTGTATTGTGAATAGTCCCTATTTAATTGAATTCAGCATTATTTACTGCACTGGAATTCTGTTCCTTTTTAAAGCTCTAATTTGGGCTGTAGTTTAGGGCACGCCTGCAGCTTGTTTACAGAACTGATTGCAGCCTGTGAAGGCATAATGTGAGGTGATTATGTGAGTAGTAAAACAGCACCATGGTACACAGTGCTGTGTGTGTGCAGACGGGTGTTGCTAGGCAGAGCTGGAGTTTGTTCAATTAGCTGCTTTCCTCACTTCTGTATAGGTCTGACCAAGCCAGTGGTAATAGATACACACTAACCTCTTGGCCTGTTTTGCTGAGCTTAGTATGTAGGCCTTCACTTCTCTTAAAGAAGAAAAAGAATCACAGAATCACAGAATTATAGGGGTTGGATAGGAGGTTGGAAGGGACGTCCAGAGATCATCGAGTCCAACCCCCCTGCCAAAGCAGGTTCCCTACAGCAGGTCGCACAGGTAGGCATCCAGGCAGGTCTTGAACATCTCCAGAGAAGGAGACTCCACAACCCCCCTGTGCAGCCTGTTCCAGTGCTCCGTCACCTCACTGTAAAGAAGTTCTTGCACACATTTGTGCAGAACTTCCCGTGCTGCAGCTTATGTCCGTTTCCCCTTGTCCTGTCTCCACTCACCACTGAAAACAGTCTGGCCTCGCCATTCTGCCCCCCACACCTTAGATATTTGTAGACCTGGATCAGGTCCCCTCTCAGTCTTCTTTTCTCAAGGCTGAACAGACCCAGTTCACTCAGCCTTTCCTCATAGGAGAGATGCTCCAGGCCCCTCACCATCTTTGTGGCCCTCTGCTGGACTCTTTCCAAGAGGTCCCTGTCTTTTTTGTACTGGGGAGCCCAGAACTGGACACAGTACTCCAGATGAGGCCTTACCAGGGCAGAGTAGAGGGGGAGGATCACCTCCCTCGACCTGCTGGCCACGCTCTTTTTAATGCACCCCAGGATGCCATTGGCCCTCTTGGCCAAAAGGGCACACTGCTGGCGCATGGCCAACCTGTCGTCCACCAGGACACCCAGGTCCCTCTCTGCAGAGCTCCTTTCCAGCAGCTCGTCCCCCAACCTGTACTGGTGCATGCAATTATTCCTCCCCAGATGCAAGACTCTACACTTGGTTTTGTTAAACCTCATCCGGTTTTTTTCTGCCCAGCTCTCCAATGTGTCCGGGTCTCGCTGAATGGCAGCACAGCCTTCAGGCGTGTCAGCCAATCCTCCCAACTTTGTATCATCAGCAAACTTGCTGAGGGTGGCCACTATCCCCTCATCAAGGTGATTGATGAAGATGTTGAACAAGACCGGACCCAGCACCGACCCCTGAGGAGCACCGCTAGTTACAGGCCTAAAAAGAGTATAGAGTCAGATCAGTAAAGGTTGCAAGAACATCTGAATCAATGGACACCTCATCCAGTCTAACAAAGCATAGCAAACCTCAAAGTTAAACCCAGTGTCAAGGGTAATCAGGTTGTACTGAGACATCTTGAAGTTGTCCACAAGCCATCCTTAAAAAGGGATTCTTCAGATTTATGAGAACAGAGATAAAGAGGCACACAGCACGCAGTTCATTGTTTGACCAACTTTTTTCTGATTTTTACAAATTTTCTGCAACAGTGCATTGAAATCCTTGCTTTTGCATACTTAGCAGTGTAAATATGAACAACCTCGAAAACTGAAGGTCCTGTTTGTATTCTTGTTATTGTTTGTTTGGGTTTTTTTTTTTTTTTTGTGGGGTTTTTTGTTCTTCTAGTATTTTTTGTTCTCAAAGCTGAAGTTTTAGGCTTGCTCAAGAAGCAGTAAAAGTGTTTTTCTAACCCAGACAAATGTCATTGCCAAGATCCAGATTGGGACGCAATTTGATTTTTGTACTGAAGATGCAGTGGAAAGGGGATGTTAGGAAGACATCAGTGTGAATAGGCCTGTAACAGGCACTTGCACAGCATGTTGGGATTCATGAATAGTCCCTTCTGGGTACTGCATTACTAGCCAGGAAATGGCCTCCTTACTCTCTGATCTTCCAGACTGCCATATTAAGTGAGACATCCGTGGTGTGTTAGAATAGCAGGTTTGATTTGTTGTCTTTCGGAACATGTACATGCGTAGGGCTGTTCAACAAGAACTCCAGACAGCCTTATGTCATTTGCTTGCTTTATCACTCCTGTTCTTCCCACTTGTTCTCTCTTTTTCTGCCTACTGTAAATATAGTCCTAAATAAACAACTGACCTTTGAATGCTTCCACTTCTCTAGACCAAGTTCTGCTAACTCTCTAACAAATTGGGAATTTTTCATACTGTTACATAGGCAATCTTGGCTTTATATGCTATTGTTAATACACTTACTATGTCCTCCTGACTTAGCTTCTCCCTGAAAGGTCCCCAGAATTCTGTTGCCTGTTTGGTTTCTTACGAAGTCAGCAGCTTTGCTTATTACTCCTACCTGTTTGTGAAATCTGGCCATTCTGGTGCTTTTCTCAGCTTCTGACATTGTTAGCTGTTGTATCAGGCAATTTTCTCAAATCACGTGCTATAGTTTCTTTCATCCTGTTTAGTTAGTCTAACTTCAAGCCAGACCATAGTCATCTGCCTGCAGCCTTAACATACAGAACAAAGCCAAATTTAGACCCCAGAAAGGAGAAAGAATGCTTAAAAAAAATGGCTTATTTTTGCATACTCCCCCATTTTATTATAAATGTGTAATAAAGAAATGCAACTTTGAAGTTGGCTTACACATTGGAAGTTAGGAATCATAAAATTTGACCCAGGAGTGTGATCAAAGACAACATTTGGAAGCCTTTACCTTTGAAGCCTTTAACAAACCTAGCATTTGGGGGTGATGCACACTGTAATTGTTCCTACTGGTCAAAACATGCACTGCAAGACCACTGGAGGATAAACAGTGAAGGTTGCTGATGACAGTTGCTCTAGAATGCCATCACATTCTACAGCTCCTCTTCAGTTGGTGTAGGATAAACACAAAACAAAACGGAGAAAAAGCGCAGTTCATGATCACCCCAGGAAAACATACGCATCTCTTCATAGTGGTTGTAGTCCAATAGATTGCATATTTTCTCCTGTTGTGTTACTCGCATTAATTTTTTCTTACATAACTTTTCAAAAAGCAGTTGTTCTCCTTTGGAATTCTAGTTTGAATATTTAAAAATATGCTTTTTATGGTTTTTTTTAATTTTTCAGTAGTGTGTTTTAGAAGACGTTACAGTTTGAAGCAGTTGATGAGAACGGAGGAGAAAAATGCGCATGCCTGAAAATATGCATAGCTTTAACTTTTCTGTTCGTGTACTTTCTAAACAGTTTCTTCTGTTGGCTGCTGTTTTGCTTAATACTAATGATACCTCTGTTTCTTGGCATGGGCTTCTGCTCAAGGTTATTGTGAGTATGGCTTTCTATTTACTTAGCACTACTTTCAGCTCATAGACATTTACTGATTTCATTTTTTTCGAAAAGTACTCACTGTGTATAAAGTGAGTTTAAAGTTAAAATAAAATTTACTTTGAAGCTTTTATTTAAAGAGCTTATCAAATTGTGAATTAACCAGAAAGTGGAACACTGTAAGTTGTATGAATTTTTTTTTTACATGTCAGTACAGATGAGAAACAGAAAAGTCATGAGAATATCTGTTGTTCTCTGGTCCAAAACACTCTGTTGCCTCTAGTTTCTGTGGGAAAAGGAATTAGGTTCAAATAACTTATTACACGTCTTCATTCAATTGCTTTGCAGTACTGCTAAGGCGATTCTTCTAGTGAATTTTGCTGCACTTTCTATTCCAGGTTAATTTGTTAAGTCTGATTAAAACTGCTGAAGAACATTGTCCTTTATGGATCTTACTTATACTGATCTAGTTCCTGGGGAAATATCTGTGAAAATATGGAGCGTTCTAATTTCAGAGTAGTCACACAGCTGTTGAGGAAAACTACCACAGAGGACAGGTTTACAATTGTGGTCTAAATCTCAGTGAAGTAAAAAGGTGGATTTTGGTTAGAATGTCAAAATTGCATCTTAAAAGTAATTTTGAAATTACGTTAAAGCACCACAATATACATAAGTAACACATTTAACTTTCCATTTTAGTCAGTTCTTCTGAAAAAGAAACTTGAAGAAAATCTGTAAGTATTATGTTAGTCTTATTTTGCTTTCCATTTAAAATGTGTTTTCCATATGGCAGGAAAAGCAGACACTCATGAATAATGCATCTAAAAGATAAACAATTCAGAGAAACTGCTTTGCATGGGAGAGTTAGGGCATCTGCTATTTGGATATTATTTTCATTTAATAGAATACCCTTGGCAAAATAGTAAAAGCTGTAAGTGAGCCATCACTTTTGACTTATCACTATTGTGATAATTAGAACACATTGCCTAACATTGCATAAGAAGAGTAAGTTCTGAGGGAAACATTGTAATGTAAACAAAAATAATCTCTTTGCATTAATAGGGCATAAAAGAACCTTTTAGGAAGTGCTGTTATTTTGTTCTACTATTTCTACTTTCTGAAATATGAGGAGGTGCTCACTTTTTTATTTGCTAAGTTGTTCACATAGTTTCTGTTGCTTTGGGATTCATCCATTCTTTCATAATGTCATCTAAGTTACAACTATTCATTTTAGGCATCAGTTGCACAATTTACTGTAAGTTCTAAGATAAGTTCCTAATTTTGGACTGAGAATGAAGCTGCTTTTTCTCCATGTACTGTAATAATTTTCAGCTCATGTAACAAATATTTCCACGGTGACATTGATATACCTGCCTTTTGACCTTGTGCCCCATGGCAAAAATTGGTAGTGCCGTAAGAAATACATGGCTGTTTGAGTTTTCTTATATATCATTTAATGTTCATTCAGTCGCAGTAAGTACGCTGGGAAAACCATGTGTGCTTTTTTGATTTGTAACAGTGTGAAGCTCCATGAAGCTAATAATGAGCTACAGAAGAAACAAGCTATTATTGAGGATTTGGAACCAAGATGCAATAACAGTTGTGAGTTTACTGACATTCAGTCTATTCCTTTTATTTGTAAAGTATTTCATTTGTGAGGTCTTTAATTAGAATGCCTGTGGAAAGTGCAGGTTAAACAAAATGTGCATGTTAAATGGCATTGATAGTTGTTGTTAATTTCTTCAGAATTTATTGTGGCCAGAAAAATGCTTATAATACTCGAAATAAAGGAGATGGTATGTGAAAGACCACCATGATAATGACCACAGAAATAGCTACTCAGTATCGTAACTGTTGTTGAACCTCAGCTGCTCAGAACTGTCGTATCTCCTAGCATCTTAATTTTGAAGATCCCTAGGTTATTTTTACTGACAATACATATTCCTTCAGCATGTTTTCAGGTGACAGATTAGAACTGTGTTGTAATTTGAGAAAGCTTTTGGACAGTGGTCAACAAGAGTATCGGTTTTATATCATATGGACAGATGGTTTCCAAACTCCTAGCATCTAGCTGTTAACGACTGATTTTTAGTACAGTCATGCTATTTATTTCTTGAGAAATATTACTAGAGCTATGTTGTTGTTTTGAAGCTTACTCACTTTATAGAACAAGGCAAAAACTTGCAACCAATTTTAGTTTCTCTGGTATATGCAAAAAAAAATTCTAGTCGTGAAGAGATCCAAGAAGACAAATATAATTGCAGTATTCATTGCACGAATCCTCTATACAAAAGGGAATTTTGGTTGTGTTGAGCCAAAACTACAATATACGTTGTAAAACTCTGTCATAGCAAATGGTAGAACTCTTGGAATTGAAGATCAGGGACTGAAAGAGAAGATAATAAACTTAGGATCCTGTCATACCTGATAAGCCTTAGTGTTAAGTGTAAGAACAATTTACTGACTCTCTGACTTAGAGAAGTCAAGATGTGTTAAAGCTTCTGTAGTTGCTTTTTAAAAATCTGTTTTTTCCCATTTTCAGTCCCATTGAAATAAAAACACTGGTACTTCTTCACACTCAGGATAAAAGTTGTGTGAATTATTTCTTCAGGTTCTTTTAGGTGTCCTGGGTGTTTCCAAAAGGATTGGGTGTTATACAAGAATCATCCCACCATGAAAAATTAATTTTATAATCTTGAAGATCATTTAATTTGATTCTCTTATTGTTCAGTGAAGACTTTCAGCAGGACTTTTTCCTCTGGCATGCTGGAACGTGACTTGATCTTGTTACCAGCTTAGTGTTTTCCAAATGCTTCAAGAGAAAACTATAGGATAAACATGAAAGAGCATGACAAAATTAGGCTGCAAAACAGATTGTGAGTTGCCAGTTGTCTAATTTTGTCTGAGCCACACACCAGTGATATGTGCTGTTTGATACAGAATGATGGAATTGGTCTTTTCCTATGAAGATGTGTAGTTTATACAAACTGTATGTGGCTCAGCACATTTTTTTAATCAGCACAGGAAAAGACTGTGCAGTGAAACTGTCCTTCTGGTCAGTGCTGCTGTGGAAGAGATTAAATTGAGTACATTAATGTTGTGATTCTGGTAATTTTTTTTGTCCATTTGCAATTGAATGTATCTAAGCATCACACCTGTCGATCATTAATCTCACATAGAATAGATAAACTCATTTTTATCTCAGTTACAGTACCAAGATATTTCACAATCCATAATGTATTAAGAAACAAGTTTTGTGAGTCTGCTAACTAATTGCAGTGATTTTATTCCCTTTGTCTTTATTTTTCATAATTTTTTTAAAACAAAACTTGTGTATTTCAATTGCTTGAGATTATGGAAGAGTACACTTTTGTTCTTTTCCTGAGCTGTTCAGTAATTCAAATTCTGATATCCGTTGAATTACATTCCTTATGTATGCTTTTCTTAACTGCAGTATGTTCTGGCTGTGCTTTAAATGTCTGTTTGAACTTGTGAAAAATAAACATAATGTAATTGTTGTTTTCCAATGTGCTTACCTCCTCACATAAAGCACTCAAAATTGAAGAATTACAAGAAGCTTTAAGGAAGAAGGAGGAGGAAATGAAGCAAATGGAAGAGCGTTACAAAAAGTATTTGGAAAAGGCCAAAAGTGTAAGTATATTTGTTCTGCATTAATATTTCCTGGCTGCACCACATGTCCAGTCTCTGGGAATAAAAAATAAAGAAGTTAATTGTATATACAGTGGTAAGAACAAGAAAAGAAACGGTGAGTTTCTTTACCATCTTACCATTATGGTACACAATATTGATTTATTCTTCAGGTTTTACTTTTGTGTTCCTGGCTGTCCCCTTTTGCTGTCTATCTGTAAGCCCCTTCTGCTGTCTCTGTAAACATATATACCTATGGCAGCAGATTTCTGGAGTCACCCAGTGAAACCTGACTTGCTGAAGTCAGAAAATGACAAGGAGAAGTGTGCTAAGCCTTTTCAACTGTTGTGACAACTTATTTCTTTATCAAAATTCTTTAAATTTGTGTCTAAATTCTAAAAACTTGTGTCTCTGAGTGACAGAGCTATAGATTAGCTGAAGTCATGTCCATACTAAGAAGTGATATGAAATAGCTCCACTGTGTTTCACAGTCAGAGAACCACCTGTATAAACTAACAAGGGAAGAAAGCTTTACGAGCAAAAATATTTTTTAATTAGCATCTATGCTGGGACTTCTGGGAACTTCTGATGGTTTTCCTGAAGGCTATGCTTCTGTACACACAAATGTAGCTGAGACTTTGGTTTTGTTTTTTTTTTTTTTCCCCTTATGCCTTATGTTGCTTACTCTTTCTCAGGATATTCTGATGAAAGAGTGCTGACTTCCCCTTTCAGTAAGATTTATTTGTATGTACTGTGTTACTATGGGACATTTTATCCAACAGTAGTATTAGTTATTTTAGTCAGGTTAGGTTTTTGTGATCTTCTTACCAACTTCTGCTATTCTTTTTTTTGTGTGTGAAAATGAATACAATCATAGCCTTCCACTACTGAAACTGTATCCATGTCCAATGTTTATTTTCTTAGAAATACAATACATTAAAGTACTGTTTTATTTCAACATCTACATGTGAACCTGAAATGGGTAGAAAGACAAATAAGAAGTCTTTTCCCATATATCCACGTTTTGTTAAAAAGTTTTCAGTTTTTTTCTGTTAAAGAGTTAGGAATCTGGATGTTATGCTGTATTTCTTCTTGGTTTAGCTCTGTGGTTTTTAGCACCCAGATGGTGCCTGTAATGAATGCCATATATGAGCATACCTAAATGTACATTGTTTTATTAATAGGTAAACGTCCATGCATATGCCACAGCATGCTTCTTGACATAAGAAAGTTTTCTAGAAGCAATGCCATCTGGTGCCAGGTGGCATCTTTCCAGACTGAAGATATTTCTAAGCTGTAAAGGAGGAGCTGACAGGCCATAAGTAGGTAGACAAGAGCTGTAATGAGAAAAGATCTTGAGAAAAAGTTTCCACCACTGTGGCCCAAGGTAGTGCAACTAATGAAAGGATCTGCATATGTGGGTCTGAGATACTGAACCTCTTAGGTGTCACTTTTTCCCATTAATGGTTTCATTTTGTGGTCATGTAGGAGAGGCTCCTGTTTGGAGGCACTAACATGCTGCGGCTGATGTTCAGAGCGTCTGTCTTGCAGTTCTTCAAGATTGTTTTGCAGGATTCAGCCTGTTAAAACTGCACATTCCTCTGTTCCACATTTTGGTGTGTCTTTTCTTACTACTGATGTGCTTGAAGTTTTTTAGGGTTTTATTTTTCATTCCATTGGGTTGATTTTTGCAGCATTTAATTAAGCACAAATTGGTCTCATCTTACAGGTCATCCGTACCTTAGATCCTAAGCAAAACCAAGGTGCAACTCCTGAGATTCAGGCTCTGAAAAATCAGTTGCAGGAACGGGATAGAATGTTTCATTCACTGGAGGTATCAGTCTTTACATTTCCTTGTTGATGCGTATTTCCTTATTGTTTTTTAGATAAAGACTAATACTTTTATTATATATTTTTTTAATTTATGATTTTGTTTATTTTATAGAAAGAATATGAGAAAACAAAAAATCAAAGAGAAATGGAGGAGAAGCTTATTGTTAGTGCCTGGTACAATATGGTAAGAGACTCCAAAACTTTAAAACATGGGTTGTTCGTGAAATGCCTCATTTATTTACAGGTTGTTGTTGTTAGAAAAGTGTTTTCCAACAGGCAGGACATTTGTTTCTATGTTTCTTCATGTTTTGAAGTTCCTACTATGTAAGAGTTTATTCCTCTGAAAACGTTGGGGTAAGCTGGAAGCCTCTAGTTGCTGTCTTGTAGTTCTAGCCCTTCTGTATACGGACTTGCAGTGCCTGAATTTCTTTGATTCTGCATTGTCCAATCTTCTCGTCATTTCTAATGAAGGGGCAAAAAGAAACAATAGTCTACTACTGCAGTAAACTCTAACTAGCAACCTCTTTAACCTTGGGTACAAATTTAGTCCCAAGTGAAGGTGAATGTGGGCCTGGCACCCCCCTAAATTGTTCAGAGTATTAGGGAGCAGCTATGTAACTTTTGCTGGGTATTTATGCAGAGACATTTTTCACCTTTAACAAATGCTTTTCAGAAATCTCCTTGGTAGAATGTGGCTGCATTGAAGCTGCTGTTCTAATATGACCCAACTGACATCCATTTTTCATTCTTCACCACGAAGTTCAAATTCTTCCTCGCTTTCAGAAGAATTTCCTTCTTGATGTTCTATGTTCTTGTCATGTTCATGAATAGTAAGGCAAAAATAGTACTTAAGCAAAGTGTTTGAATCCTTTAAATATTGAAGGGATATTCAAGGGGCAGGTGTCCTTGACCAGATCTGTTGCATTACTACCACTGATGTGCAGAATACAGGGCTGAATAAAGAGATGTGGTTCAGCAGTCAATCACGACTGCCAAGATGAGTGTTGATGGTTTTGTGTATGTCCTTTCTAATTAGCCTTTATTCTGTACACAGCCCATCGCTTCTCTCATTTTCTCCTTACATTTGCTCCCACTGGAAACATACTTTCAATATGTGCTCCTGCTGTGGGCTAGTACAGAGATAAAAATAATTTCATTGTTTTCAAAAGCAAAGTACTTTTCTGGTTCAGCGTACTAAGGGGGGTTGGGTGATGAGGGGAGGCACTTCTGAAAGGGTTTGTCCAATTACTGTGTGCTTATGTGGAAAAGCAAATTGTCAGATGTGGGAATACAAAGGACCTGCTTCTCAGCAATTTCCTCCAAATTTGGACAGTAATTTGAAAAAATGTTGAGGAACTGTAATGGGTCAGGAAGAATGTCTTTGTCATGCCTTTAAAAATGTAATGCTTTGTGTTTGAAATTCAGAACAACTTAGCGTTGATGCAGATGATAAAATATAAATGAATGAAGTTGTCAAGTGTTGTGTTTTTGGTTTTTTTTTTTTGAGAAATTTGTTTTTGTCCACAGGGGATGACTCTGCATAAAAAAGCAGCAGAAGACAGGCTGGCAAGTACAGGCTCAGGACAGTCCTTCCTGGCTAGACAAAGGCAAGCCACGAGCACAAGGAGATCATACCCTGGTCATGTCCAGCCAACAATTGCAAGGTAGAGAAGGCCTAGCCCCTAGAAAGAAAATTGCCCTGTGATTCAGGCTATTTCTATTGCAAATTACTACGTTCAAGGAAAAGCAACCAGCATTTTTTTTCTCTTTTTCCCTTGTTACCACCCTTATTTTACAGTTCAGGAAAGGATTTTATTATGGTTTCTCATTGTTCTATGAAGCCCTTTTCTTATATTTTTGGGAGTCTCTCTCTTTCTCTCTCTGCATTTTTCTGAATGTGCCAAAGTTTTGAAAACATCTAGCTGTACAATAATGGAACCTTGTAAGTTTATATGAAGCCTGGTCTCTTACAAAAAGCCTCCTATGGGTTGTCTAGCAGTGTACATTTCCTGTCACAGTTGATATATTTGTGCCTACAAGAGTTGTCACACTTTACAAGACTGCCTTTGTTTAAAAGGAATTAGACCCTTAATAGTGTGCTAACCAGTTGCTTCAAAGAAGACTGAAAACTCGAAACAGAAATGCAAAATTAGTATATAAAATTATTGTAAAATGTTTGCATCTGAAAGGCTTATTGGCAACAGAAATGACCTTTGCTTTTATTTTTTTATTTTTAATCTCTTATATATAAAATTTCCTCTTGTTCTTGGTGTTGAGTAGGGAAGCAGGAAGATTTATTTTTTTTAAAGCTTTTGTTTATCCACTAGTGTTACCTGTTTGCTGGCAGAACTGAATATTTTCAAATAGCTTGTCCCATTCTTCTTGATAAGTTATATGCATAATACTTAGTATTAAACAAACTGAAAAATATTTGAAGTGCTTTAATATGCTACTGCATCTTCCATTTTAAAAAAGGCATTTTTATTAAAATTTTACTGTTTTGATTTACTGTTATGTACTTGCAGTACACAATGGATCAAGGCCTAAGTTAATGTTGTTGATGTTGCTGTATTTCAGTTGTCATCCCCTGCTAAGCAACTTGCTTTTAATATGTTGATTCAGGGTATAATTGTATCCGTTGCCTTACTAATGGTACCAGTGCCTTCAGGTGAGCATGTTGCTGACTTTGGTGAAAGCTGGCTGTGATTTGCTGCCTTCTTAGCGTGTAGCTGGTTGAAAATATGTTACTCAATATTACCTTCATATTGATCAGTCAGGTGGATGGTGACTCCTGTGATTAATTTAGGCCCTGATCCTACAAAATATTCTTTTTCCTTGAGTAATTCTGTGCTTTGGCTATCATTTTTTTTTTTTTTTTTTCCAAAGAATGGTCAACACAAAAGGCCTGAGTATGAGTGGAAAGTTTTGTGTAGTACATCTTATTTTATACATTTATAATTTAGAGGCTGTTTGTAACCTAGTGCTGCATGCAGTCTGGATTCTACATTTATTCTTTTAGCTTGTTTTAATGCCCTTCCGAGTGAAGACATTTTTCATAAATACCCATACTGCAATCTATCAACCATCTGAATAACTGTGTTAATCACAAGATAGGTGGGATGGGCAAAGCATCATTAAACAAGCACATTGGATTAAAGGGCAAGGAACAGGTGAATGACACTTGTAGGTACTCTTTTATCTTCAAGCACATCATTTGTTTTAATCTAGGCTAAGAATGCTTTCAATATGTATCTGAAAAAGCTTCAGTTCTGATCTTTTTCTACAATCATGCCAAAAACATAGGAAGTCTATTGTCTGCATAAAGATTTGTCTTCTATGCTTCGCATTTGGGAAAAAAATTGATTTCCTAAAAATTCTCTTTATTAGTTCAACATAAGAAAAATCTGGGCTATACTTGTAGGATAAAGCTGAGACAGAAAAGGTATGTTCCTGTGTGCAGAAAATTAATGATATAAATGCAGTTTAGAACAATTTCTGTCTTTTTGTGTCTCTTACTGAGATGCCAGATGCTAGCAGGACAAAAAAAGTCTATGTAAATCATGAAATCATAGGTATTACCTACCAAAGTGACCACTATTTGTGTGAAGTCTTACTGATCTTTTTTTGTGCAATCCATTATAGTCATTTGAAGAATTTTTTCTATCTTGAACCTTTTACTTGTCTCCTGTGTGAACGGAAGCAAAGTGAGGTTTTTGTCCTTGTTTGAGAGTGCAGCTTTTTATATCACCTGCAGGAAGAACAACAACAACAAAAAGCTAGAACTCCATCTTTATTTTAAAGTTATCAAACTGCCAAAGCAAACTTGTGAAAGAAAGAAACGTTGTGACCTTAGTGGGAAGTATTATCTTATAAATTTGTCTAAAAATTTCATTTGTTGTTGCTATTAATTAGATGCACACCTAACATAACTGTAATCTGTGCACTAGAATAAAACTACTCGCTTTTATTATTTTAACTTCTATTTTACCACTTTGCCCCCAAAGTTCTGATGACAGACAGATGCCTCTGATGTCTGGGAGATGGCAGAGCTTCTAACCAGTATTTGTACTTCAGCTTTTAGTTGTGGCTTCTTTCCTCTCTTCATGGATGCTGGCTTATTTTTCTACTCTCTGGGAATCTCCTCTTTTTGACTGGGCTTTCCTTTTCCCGTAAAATAATATGTTGAAAATACAGTGAAGTGTATATTCAACAGAACTTGCATTGAGTATAAAAATATAAGAAATATGTTACAATCCTACAGGTATTACTTCTAAAGATAATCTTTCTATCCAGTTCCATTAAGTTGCTTGTTTAGTCTTTTGACAGCCATCAGAGGGAATTCAATTCTTTGTTCTTTAGCATTTTCCTTTTATTGTCTATTGCATACATTTCTTGATCATTGAATGTGGATGGTTCTTAAGAAGTATTGCTGGTTATGGAGCTTTGGAAGTAGTGTGCTATTAAAAAATGAGGGCTCAGAGTGTGACTTGAAGAAGAAATGCAGAAGAGCTAGCAGTGAATGCTGTCTATTCTTCATATCATCAGAGAAAGAATACAGCCAAAAAGGGAAAAAAAAAAAAAATACAATTAAAATGGAGTCATCCTGATTTATATACTTCTAAGAAACTCCTAGGAAGATTTGTGATTTGTTCGGAGGCAGCAGACTATTGACATCAAAGCTATAGTGATAATTGTTAAAACATTATAAGTTGTCCTGATATATTACAGAAGCAAACAACAAAAAAATCCTGTCTAGTTTCAGGGTGCTCTTCAGGAGAGAGGATTCTCCAGGACAGTGGTAAAACAGCTGAAGAATCCTAAGAACAAGGATACGTTCCAAGAACTGTGCTGAGGATATGACATGGTAGTCTTCTTGGGACATTTCAGTTAAATAGAAGGATATCAGCTAAATACACAAAGTTGTTTGTTGTTCGGAGTTGAAGCGTAGTTTCTCGTCTCACAGAATGTGTGTGTAGTTTGGTTTCTACACTTCATGTTCAGTTGTTAGCATAAATGAGTGGACATTTAAAAAAAAAAAAGCATTCAAATTGCTCAGGTTTCTTACAGCATCAGTTAGCCACTTGAATCGTAAGGTGTTTTCCAAGAGCAGTGACAGCTGGAGTGATCTAGTGTAAGGGTTGTGAGTCCCACCCACAGTGCAAGGGGAAACAAACTGTCAGAGCGCGCAGCTGTGTGCTTTATTTAAATGAAGCAAATACCATATTGGCTACATCGTGTTTTTCAGTCTCTCTTTGGAAACAAGCAGATGGGAATCTTGTGCTATTCTGATGTGGGTAGTAACAACTCTGCAAGTGCTTTATTGCGTTTTATTCGTGTAAGCAGCACCATCAGTTTTTTCATTGCGTATGAAAGAATTAACGTTGACAATTTCTACTGCTGCTTTGATCATCTTACTAGTAAGTGCTGTGTGCAGGCTGTCAAGAACATTTAAGAGGATTTGTCAATTTTAAAGCCCTTCATATTTTGACAGGTGCAAGTAGCTTTTGCTTTTCCTCAGTTCTCCACTGTGTTAGGCTATCCACTTCATAGCTGCCTGGATGTTTTTTAGTGCATTTAGTTATCTTGATCTGTTGACATTTTCTGTAGATACAATAATTGGGAAATATTTTAATCTTACCACTTGATTTTCTTCTGGTTAGTGATTGACTGAATACAGTCCTGAATGTGGCTATTTTTCTTTTTTCCTCTGATGAAACAAAAAGGTTACTGAATTTTACTCATTTTTTAGAGATTTTTTTTTTTTCTTCTGGACATTTTGTCATTTTGCAAGGATTGATGAGGGAGCTATTTTTGCACTCAAGGTCAGATCTATACTGCTGACTTCTTGTGGGTTTTTGCACATGTGTTTTAGATAGAATATGTGGACTCTTGTTTTGCAGTAATGTGATGTTGATAAGCTTTGACATCTCCAAAATAAGTTTAGCAAATTTTGCAGGCATTTTCCTCACCTGTGTTGTGCAAATAAATAGCTGAAAGAGGTTCCTTTGACAGGAAGGCTCTGAAGTGATGTTTTTTCCACCTAGCAAAGAGCTGGTTGTACTTCAGGGGTATTGCCTGCAGAACAGTTTGAAAGCTAGACTGTGATTGATATATGATCTCAGGAAATCTCATGGTTATGAGGAAAACCTTTTTGGAAGTCCTCGCTTAGACCAACAGTATAAACTGATTCTGGCAGTGTGATACGCTTAGTGCTCTGTTGAAATGGAGAGGTGGATCATTATAAATGTAACAGTTTGAATGTGAAGATTGCATAGGCATGAAATTTGGTGAAGCTGTGAGCCACAAAAAAGCGCATGCAGCCTGGGCACATCCCCTCCCAAGTGAGAGCAATCCAACTCTCTTCTGTATTGGCAAGGGTGTTGCTTTCCTACTTTGTACCTTTCATCAGGAGAAAGAGCTAGACTCACAACACTGCGTGTGCTGTTGTAGGACCAAGAAATGGCAAAGGGTGAGACTTACTTGCACTTGGAATGACTTCAAGCCAGATCATTTATCTGAGGGCAGGCTGCAGGAAGTTCCCAAGCCGTATGTAGGATCCTAGCCGCATCACAGGCTGGTAACTTTGAAGGAATTGAGGAAACTCTGTGATGACTGATTTTGTTACTTAGTTGCTGTGATGTTTCTTGGCTTTGGAAGCTCAGACAAAGAGCAGTAGCCTGTTAATAGCTGTGCAGGCTGTAAGTGAAAATAGGAGTCGTTTGAGGGTGGAGGTGGCAGATGCAAACAACTGTTAAGGACAGAAATCTGAAGGACAAGATGTCTTTCTTAGTTTTGCTTTATGGTGGTAGTTTAAAAGAGGTGGAACCTGAGCCTTTGTAGCTAGCTGTTCATTTTTAAAATTAATTCTGAATCACAGTTGATTTAAGTATTGGAGGCTTTCCTTATTTAAGATAGAAGCTGTGATTATCGAACACAGCCACCTCAGACTTCTTTCATCTGGAATGGCAAATTCCTGCAGATTTTCTCAGCTGACAATCTTATTGCAGTGTTTGGAGATTCTGATGACTTGTTCTGTTTCCGCTTGACTCTGCTTTAGTGAATTCACTGAAATATTTGGCTACAAAGATGAGTTTTAAAATACATCAGCTCATTAAATGAATCGATGCATGAACTCGCTGATGAATGTAGATTGAAAATGAATGAATGACTGTAGATAGAGAAACCATAGAAAAGTTGACATATGTAATAGTCCCACAGCACATTGTACCAACCCTTGGCAGTATAGTCGAGGCAGACACCCAAACAAGTTATTCTGATTTGATATTTTATTGTGGGTCAGTAGGAGCTCATGCTAAATTCTGTGACGGAAGTCCTTATCCAGCAGTTGTTAGTGAACGATTTTTCTATTGACTTCATTACAGACCATGTTCTGATCTTTGCTTTTAGACCTTAGCAAAAGAATGGGATTGTCCTGAAGTAAATCCTGTTATTAGTTGGTTTTGATGTCAAACCAAGGATTTCTGTGGGTGCTGTTTGCTGTGTATATGCAAGATCATTTTGAAAACTGCTAGCTTATCCTTCAGTAGTGCTGTGTGTTGGTTTCAAACTGAAACCTGTTCCTTCTGTCAGATAAAATGTTCTCGTTGCTGTTGAATCTCAGAGAATGAGCTGTATTACATGAAGAACATTCCTAGAAGAAGGAAAGTTGGGACAGCATTGCTAGGACAGCTGGGACAGTGTTTCCTGTTGGTGAATTTGTTCATTGCTTCACACTGGAGAGATCTTTACTATCAGATGATGTTAGAGCCTCACATTTCGGAACGAGCAAAATGGTTAATTTAGTCTTCTCAAAAGCAAACGTTTTTCAGCACTTCGAAGTGCTGTTAACTGCTGTAGTGTGGCACAAATCTGAAATACTGCAAGAGCAAGTATTGCCATTGGTATAAGGATTGTTCTCCAAACAATTGGAAGAATTGGAATCACTAAAAATTATCTCTAACCTCAGGAGACAGGAAAATCAACATAAAGGCCATTTGTTAGCTTGTCATCATGCTTGCATTGTAAGCATGGTCATGAAAGAAAAGAAAATCCCAAATAGAGTAATGCAGAGAGAGTTATACTTGTGATGAAACCATTAGGCTTTTTGATTTGGATTTGAATAAAGCATCCCTTATGTAGTACAGATTTTATAAAGCAAAGATTTTAGTTCTTAGTCAGCAGAGTTAACAAGGAGAACAAAATTATTTTTGAGAGTATCAGTGGTTTTGAGAGAGACCTTAAAATTTGTATTTAACAGTACTAGTAAAATCTTTGAATAGTAATAAACATGACACTGTAGTGCCACACATCTTAGAGTTTATAGTCCACTTTGTATTCTGTAGTTGTAGAAATTATAAAAATGTGAACTGATGTTGCCATGGCTCTGGAAGATGATGTGACGAGGGACTTTTTAAAATGTCTAAAGGAAATAACATGGAGAAAATGTAGAAAGAATACGTGTAGGAAGAAAAAGAAACCTTAGTAGTAGTAACCAGTAAGTAACATTAAGAAATCTGCAGAAAGAGAAATCTGGGGGCAGTTAACTTAAAGTAGATGCTCAGCAGAAATATTTGGGAGGAGTCTGGTGTTAGACCTCAAAGTAAAGGTGCTCTTGGTGCTCTTCCTACTTTGGTGCTTATATTACAAAATACTGGTTGCAGACAGCGAATTGGTGAGGAAGCCCAATTCCCTCTTAAGACTCCAAAAGTGCACTGAATAGGAAAAGCATGGTTGCTTAGAAATAAGGTATGGTGGTTGGGTTTTTTTGGATTGTATTTGCTTTGTATGAGCAGTGTTGTTAGGGAAGCGTGTTGCTAACATGCCAGATACATACCAGAGCTGGCTGGTGGAAAGGGAAAGCTCCTGTCCTTTCTGAGGCTGTAATGTGCTGGAATCATCCCAGTGAGTAGAAGAAATACGGGATGACAAAGAAGCTAAGGAGGTTGTAAGGTATTGATTGACTGCTTATAATGAAGTACAGCTAATCAGTTCTCATGTTGAACACTGGGGGGAAGTGTCCCTCTGAGAAATAATCCACCAAGGTAACAGTGAGCCTTCAGTTATTTGTAACTGGAATATTTTGGACTGACAAGAAAATTAAAATCACTCCTTTGCAGACAAGTCATCTGCAAAATAATCCGACCTGGTCTGGAGACAGTGCAGAGGAAACAACAGGTTATGTTAAGGGAATGTACTGTCACGTTTCACATTTGTCATCTTCTAGAGTATTACTGTCTTCACAGGTAGATTCTGCAAGTATTAATTCATCTTCAGAGGTACTCAAAGACACAAAGAAATCAACAGGCAGTTATTATAGAACAGTCTGAGAACTGCTTTGAAAATGGCACTCAAACGAATCAGGGGATTTGATGCATCCCTGAAAGAGAATTCACTGTCCAAAGTTGATAAGACCTCTTTAGAAGTGCTGGTGTCCCAAAGAAAAGCCTGTCCTATCACATTTATGTACAACAGGACACCTGAAGCACTGCTGAACAGTAAGTCTGAACAATATACAGGAGATGCTCCAAAAGTAATGCCTCCTGTTTTTATGATGGTAGTCCATGGCATCAGAGGCAAATGTTGGTAGTAGAGCAGTAGGGGTGGATCCTTCCCATCAGCATCTCATTGCATGTTGCTGCTGCGTGACTGATGGCAGCAGAGGAGCACTCTGAGACAGTGGTGTCTGAATGCAGGAGTGTGGGTAAAACAGAGGTGTGTAGCTTAATTCCTTCATATGGAAAAAATGGCACCCACTGACATTCATCCATACTTGGTGAATAATACTTGGTGAATACTAAATACTTGGTGAATACATACTACATACTTGGTGAATAATAGATATGGAGACCAACTAAAAAAAAGAGTGATTTGTAGCTGAGAGTGTGCTCTATCAATTAGTGTTATTGTACTCTTTCAATCTGTTGTCATTTCTGTGAAAATAAATAGGAGGCATTACTTTTGGAGCAACCCACATAAAAGGTGAGTTATAAAAAGTAGATTATACTGATCTATACATAGCACAGTAGATGTATGCTTATGTAGGATGAACTTTTCTTTTTCTATTGACTTTAACTACAGTAACATTAGTGTAGTTAATCCTGAACTCTGTAACTTCCTGCACTCAGCCAGGCAGTGCACAGCTAGTGTAACTGCACATCTCAAGCAGACAGTAATCACTCCAATATACACTCAAGGTCTGCTTTGAGTGTGCTCTTTTAAAGCATTTTCTATTTTTGTTCCATTTGATTTCTGTATGTATCTTTCTGTTTGTTTTTCAACTACAGTGAGTGTTCTGGGCTGGTGGATGAGAAGAAAAAAAAAAAAAAGACAAATTTACAGGCTGCAGAACCTGTAGCTGAAGGGTGGGGTTGTTTTTTTTGTTATTTTTCAGTAAGTCCTTGCATTTAGCTATAAATATTCTTCAGTCTGGGTTTTCCTGTCACAGGAACTGTCCTAAACCATGCTTGATCCCATGCAGTTCTAGGGTGGAAGAAGAAAGGAAAGTAACAGTTTGCACAGCATGATTTCAGTTTGGTGGAGATACTTTTCTTTTTCTTATCATCACCACAAATGAAAATGAGAAGGGGCAGTTAGTTAGTGCTGTGCCACGCTGTGTTACGGGGGGAATCTGAGAGCACCGTAGCCATATTGGTGAAATTATCCCACCTCTCCAGTTCAGTTGCCATGAGGAAGAGCTATCAGCAAAGATAGAGCAATGTGCCAACCTATCTGGTTGTTCTCCAGGCTTAGCTTCATTAACACAGTACTATGATGTGTCCTTAGTGCTGCTCAATGGCACCTACTCTGTGTATTTTATGGGAAGAATACCTGCCATATTCTTGTTATTAAAACCTAGTTTTGCATGCAATTATTGGAACTTGCCAGGGTAGGATGGCACTGATGCTGTTTGATCATCGTGCACAGGATTAGCTTTAATAAACGTTTAAAGTATTCATTGGCGTTCAGAGGTGGAAGGCTCAGGCAGAGCCATTCTGACCCTGATCGTGCTTTAGTATATGGCTGGGCACAGCATCGGACAGGCAACTTTCTCTTCATACTGTGTTGTGTTTTTTCAACTAGTTACAAGCAGCAGGAATGCCAGAAGAGCCTCCTTGGTTTCCATAGCTGTGTTAGTTCGGAATGGTGCCCTGCAGGACGTTATGCAGAAAGGTCTAAATTTTACTGAACAATGTCTGAATTTAGGTTTTGTTCAAAGCTATTTCGTCTCTCTTTCGAATTTTGACATATAATCTTCCTGTTAAGAGTTGCTCTGGCAAAGATGTTTGCCCCATGAATTTGCACAGCTGTGAGGAGAGGCAGCCTTACTGAGCTACTTTGCAAATGCCTGTACTGTTCTCTGTTGTCTTTTTTTTTTTTTTAATGATAATGTTATCTGCTTTTTAACTTTTCTTCTTTATTCTTTATTTGCAGTGATGTGGTTGCATGACCTGCAGCATTATTATAACAGGGACTGTGCAGTGCATTACTTGCTTTTCTGTCCAGACTGCATAACCAAAACTTAACCAGTTCTACACTTACGGGCATCTGATTTCAAAGGGAGATCTACTTGCAGAGAAGCTTGCCATCCTGGGGAGTGGCTTTCCCATTTTCCGCTTCCATTTACTCTTTCTCTTCACAAAAAGTCTCCTATGGGGCTAAAAGAGCAGAAATCCAGTATTCAGAACTCTACAGGAGGCGTTCTGCAAACTGACAGAGCACTGTCCGCTCTACATTTACTTCTGTCTGTCCATTTAATTCTGATCGATTAACAGCATTAACACACAGAGTTCCTGCAACATTTGCATATTCTGAACTAGAAAAATCTAGTCTTAACGAGTTCTTAAAAATGCCTTTTGGTGACTCTTAAAACTTCAAAGCACCTGCACCCTTAAAGGATATACCTTGAATCTTTAAATAAATTAAAAATGAAGTCAAGGAGGTGTGTTACTAGGAGGAGCGGCTGCCTGGCCAGCCCATCTTTCTTAGGAAGCCGAGCAAGGTTCTGCAGATAAACTCTGGGACAGGCAAACGGCTGTGCAGTCCTTTGTTCACAGACACTGCCTGCTTCCTTACTATGTACATACACAGTAGATTATGGCTGTTGTATTTTTCTCTATATATTTTAGCTGTGTCGTCTCTTTCTTTCAGAAACTTTTTCCTTCCACTCTGTGTACAATTGTTAAACAATCCAAGGAAAGTACGCGAATGGGGATAAACGTGAAAGCTGGCCACACTTTCAGTATTATGCAGATTGTCCTTGACAGTTTATAATTTGGGTTGTTTATATTTTCCCTATACTATTTCTTTTTTCTCTCATTATTGCAGTCTTAGCTATTTCATTTCCAGTTGCACTAGTTTGGCTGTTTCTTTGTATTACGAAGTTTAGCTATAAGATTTTTGCAATATTTAGACAGTATAACTCAAAATGCTTCGTGCTGCCTTTATTAATTTTTAAAAGCTGCTTATTTAATATTTTTAAATATCTGCACATTTGTACTACTGTATCTTTGTTCTGTGCTGGATGCCCAGTACTGGCAAGATCCAGAAGGCAAGGGAGTACTGTTGTGGTGTTAGTTAGGGTGTTTGTTGTGTAGCAGTTAGCATGTAACAGGTCAGAGGAGGCCATAGGGCCCTCCACAACATCTGAAAGGAACCCGAACGAAGAAAACCATAAGTTTGTTCGGTTGAAATCCAGTTCTTGAGAAACCCCATTCTTGCTCACTTGGATCTTAATCCTGCAAAAATATATGCATGAGCTTACTCCAGGAGTAGTTTTGCTTGTTTTTCAGGCAGTAGTGTATCAGTGAGCCCTGTTTTCCACCAGAGCACCCTATATTGGAGACACGGTGCGCCCGTCGCTCCCTGCAGGCACCTGGGGCCTTGAAAGGCTGCGCCCTCGCGTTGGGACACCAGAGGTGCTCGGCCCTCACTGACCCCTGTGCTGGGACACCTGAGGTGCTTGGCCCTCAGGCACTGTGCCTGCTGCAGCAGAGAGCTGGAGAACAGGAGGAGCCCGTCCCCGTGCCACCTCAGCAGGGTAGGGCAGGTTGGGCTGCAGCAGGACCTGCAGGAGTCAGAGGGCCAGTGTGAGGATCCCAGCGAGAAGCGTGTGCTGGGTTCCCTCCTGGACACCGAGCCAGACACCATAGCAGACAGGGAGCCTGCGGCTGACAGCCCGTCGGGACTCCCACATGGGGATATGTCTTTCCGGGTCCACGGGACCTGGGGCAGTGACGTCTGATGTGACCTGCAGGACAGATCAGGGCCGTGACGTGTCACACGTTCCTGCAGCAGTGCCAGCAGCACTTCCATCGGACTGAGCCTAGCAGAGCTAAAGGGTTTTCATCTCTCCAGGTCCTAGCCATCGATCCCTCGCTCTGTGTCAGGGCAAGCTTTATAGAAAAACCTCCTTTCTGTTGTGTGTGAGGCATAGTTTGTTTCCCATTGCCAGCACGGCTTCAGCTGGGAGCACCCTTCTCCAGGCCGAGCTGGGTGCGGGCCCGGGGTGGCCCTGTACAGGGTGTGCGGGGATAGCTGTTTGTCACACCTGCCTGCAAGGGCATCCCAAGCTGAAGCTGAGCTGTACCTCATTTCTCCATGTGGTCTGTGCAGTTAGAAACTACATATCAGTTGTTCTTGAGCCTGAAGACATTTATATGTAATTGTGTTTAGCTTGACAAAGCGTGTTTGAGTTCACTGAAGCGGCGGCAAAGTGCCACGTCTCTGTGTGACCTCCAGCATGTCTCTGGTGTACTAACTTCATTTATGCTGCGTAGAAACTCTTCTACTTCCTTCATAGCAGCTTGTTTGACAGTCCCAAATTAAGTGTTGACCAATTATCAAAGTAACTGTTTGTGAAGTTGACAGTGATATATTTTCTGTAAAGTATTGGATTTATAGAGTGTCAAAACATAAATTTCCCATTTCCGTTCATCTATGAGTTGTGTAACTACCAGATTGTCATGGTAGCAGTATTAATATACAAATCTGTACATAGACAAAAAAATACTCGGTAATGGTCATTAGAATCAAAAGGTTTAATATTTTTTCCCAGTCAAATACACTAATGCTTCCAAGGGTACAGAAGAGTGTACAGTTGTTAAACAAGTTGTAAATAAAGGCTTATATAAAACAAAAGTGCTTGTTTTGCCTTTCTTTGGTACTGAATTACTGAAACTGACACAACACACGGTTCCTGATCAAGTTTCCAGTTGGAGCCTGAAGTGCCGTTTGCAGTAAGCGATGATGGGTGCTGGTAGCAGCCTTTATACTCAGTCACTGCTTAGCACAGACCTCAGCAGAGTGGGAAGAATGCGGATAATGTGAGCCTTGCCTTGGAAGAACACTTACAGTCAGCCACTGCAGAACAAACTACCTGCATGCTTTGCTTCTGGAAAGACCGAGGCTGACCTGTGAAAGTAACAGAACTTAGTCTTGCTAATGGAAGTTTAGCTCTAGAGGTGACAAAGCATGAAAAAACCACTCTGCTGATATGGATGGGAACAATTATCCTTCCTTTCTGCATTAATAAGTGGCTTTGCTCTTCGGGGTGGGAGGGCTGAAGAGGAGGGATCAGGCAGGCGGTGTTAGCTGTGAGCGAATATTGCTTATGAGAAGACAACAGCTAGTGAGCGAGATGGGGCCCGTGTGCGTGTCATGTGTGATACTGGGGTGTGCAGAGACCCTGAAGCCTCCTGCAACAGCAACAAGCTGGTCCTTGCACTGCAGCAACGGAGAAACGCCCCAGGTGAGGGTAGGGGCAATGGATGAAGGGCTAGCCACAGGGAAGAGGAGACAGGCCCCCAAAGTGGAGTCCAGCTCTCCTGAGCCTTGAGCAGTGTGAGCTGGAGGCAGAGAGCTGTCAGAGTCTCATCATGGGCTGGGCTGTCAGCAGAGATGCTGCGTGTGGCCACTGTAGGGCTCCTTGGGGATGTAAAGGTCAAAGGCAGCCTTGGTTGTAGTGATCATGAAGTGGTGGAGTTCATGATCCTTTAGGGGGTGAGGAGAGCGCACAGAAAGCTCGCAGCCCAGGACCTGGCTTTTCAAGGAGTCTCTTGGTAAAGTGATGTGGGATGAAGCCTTGGAGGAATGAGAGGAACAATAATGTTCATCAGTAATCAAGGTCATCTCCTCTAAGAGCACTGCATCCCCAGGAAAAATGTCAGGCCTGCATGGATAAGCAAGGATCATGTGGCCAGACTCAGACATAAGAAAGAAGTACCCAGGGGGTGGAAGTAAGGACAGGTAAGATGGGAGAAGCACAGAGCATCCAGGGCTGGAGTTAGGAAAGCTAAAACCCATCTGGAGTTGAATCTAACAAGGGAAGGCAAGAAGAGCTTGTCACAATACGTCTGTTACAGAAGGTAAACTGAGGAAGACATGAGCCCATTGCTGAAGCAGAACCTTCTCGCACAGGGAAAAAGTTACTTTCTTCGCCTCAGTCTTTAGCAGCAAGGAACCTGGGACCCTCAGGAATTCTCGGTCCCAGAGGCCAGTCTGAAGAAAGATGCATCTTTGCTGTAAGAGGATCGGGTCAGTTGAGCAAACTGTACGGTGGGCCCTGATGGGTGTGCCTACAAGTGCTGAGGGAGCAGGCGGATGTGACTGCAAAGCCACAGTAGATAGTATTTGCTTGACCATGGCACCTGGCTGGGGGTGTAAGACCTTTAGTGAAAGCCCAAGCCAGCAGCTACAGTTTTCTTTTACATTTCTCCTTTTGCTTTTCCCCAACAGCCTTTGAGGACAGAACAGTTGGAGTCAGCTGCACATCCTATTTATGTGGGTGAAGACAGGCTCAGATGGGCCAGGGTAAAAGGACAGGAGAGGAAGTGAAACAAAAAAAGCTCTCGATTAAAGCAGATCACAGGAGTTTAAAACACATCCTGATTAGAAGATGGTGGAATTCCAAATTGCCAGTGGACACTCAGCTTGCTGACTTGCTTCCCTTGCACCATCAAATAAGCCTATGTATCTCAGCTGCTATGTTGGTAATGAAAACGTGCCTTCCACCTGCCCCAAACGCACTTATTTGCAGTCTTGCTTGCTCCGGACCAACATCTGGCTGAACTGCTTCCTTGCCAGCAGTGTGAGGAATGCTGTGTGCCGCTGCTCAAGGCACAACTCAGCTGATGATGGGCCCAGCAAAGCGCTGTTGCCCAGATGTGAAGCTGCACATTCAAAACCTTTGTAAGCACTTCCACCAGTTTTATAGAATGGTTTGGGCTGGAAGGGGCCCCAGAGATCATCAGGTTCCAGCCCCCCAGCTGCAGGCAGGGTTGCCAACCACTAGATCAGGTACTAGGTCAGGTTGCCCAGGGCCCCATCCAACCTGACCTTAAAAGCCTCCAGGGATGAGGCATCCACCCCTCTGGGCAGCCTGTTGCAGCACCTCCCCATCCTGAGTGAAAACTTCCCTGTCTATCTAAATCTTACCTCCTTTAGTTTAAAATCATTCCTCTTTGTCCTATCACTATGAATGCATGTAAAAAAAAATTCATTTCCCTCATGTTTATAAATCTCTTTTTTAATACTGGAATGCTGCAATGAGGTCTCCCCACAACCTTCTCCAGGCTGGATAAGACCAGCTCCCTCAACCTGTCTTCAAAGGGGAGGCTGCAGCCCTCTGAGCATCTTCATGGCCTTCTTTGCACCGCCTTCAAGAGCTCCATATCTTTCCCATACCTGGATGAAGTACTCCAAGTGGGGCCTCACAAAGGCAGAGAGGGACAATCCCCTCCCTCTCCCTGCTGCCACCCCTCTGCTGATGCAGCCTGGGACACTGTTGGCCTTCTGGTCTGCAAGCACACACTGCTGGCAGATGTCAGTTTCAGACTCCCAAGTTCTTGGCAAGGCTGCTCCCAAGGAGCTCCCCCCATTCGTGCTCATCCCTGGGATTGCCTCAGCCCAAGCGCAGCACCTTGCCCTTGGCCTTGTTTAATTACATCTGGGTCCCTCTGGATGGCACCCCTTTCTTCTACTGTGTCATCTGTACAGCTCAGCATGGAGCCATCAGCAAACTGCTGAGGGTGCGCTCAATCCCACGTCATTGATACAAACGCTGAAGCGCACTGGTGCCAAGACAGAGCCCTGCGGAAACCACTCATCACCAGCCTCCACCTGGACGTCGAGCTGCCGACACAACGCTCTGGCTGCAGCCTTCCAACCAATTCCCCACCCTTCAAGCGCATCTCTTTGCCATTTAAAGAGTCTGTGAATAATAGTGTTGGTTGAACACACAGGCTCCACTGAACTCCAAGCGTACGCCTTGGCCTGAGATGGCAGGAGGTGGTTGACTGTTTTCTTTTAACCCACTGGTTATGGGCGTTGCCTAGGCATACCTTAAACTGCTAGTCTCCATCTGCTCTGCTTCTGAGCACAGACAATATTGGTTTACACCCCCTAAGTGGAGTCCAGAAACGATGCTCATGTTAAGAGAGCAGCCACACATGCAGTCAGGGCTCATGCTGAGGAGAGTCTGCTCTACGCATACTTTTTTCTTTTGCAAAGTTGGATCCACCTACCTGTGGGGAGGTTGGGATTGCAGCCCTCTTCATCTGCCACAGTGTGCAAGTTGCTAACTGCACGCACATAAATTGCCCAGCACTTCTACATGACCTCGTATGCAGCCACAGTTGACAGTTCAGAAAATTCTGGAGCAAAACTGTGCATAACACATCAACAACAAAGAAAATCAACCGAGCAACAGTCTTGAAAATGCTTTATTGAACCGTGTGTCTTACTGTAATGTGCAGAAGATGTGGTTGTAAAGACTACAGCTTGAAAATCTTTTGAAAATCCTCAACAATCAATCAAAAAAGAAAAAAAAATCCCTAGTTGGGGTAACCTTAGGGATAACCAGAGGGCTTAGGTAAAGTTCTCCTCCAAACATTTTCTGTTGCAGAGACTAAAAGAAAACAAAGCTAGTACTGCTCTAGGGGGAAACAATCAGGATTTGAGGATTTAAAAAAAAAAGAAGATGAACTTGAAGTCAGTATACAGGGTCATTTCTTTTGCTCAGTTATTTTGGATTAGCATACACGTCACAGTTGTGCTGGAACACCACCCGGCGTCCATGTCTGTAGGTTTACTCTAATGCTAGCAGTGCTGCAGAGACGGATGGACAGAGAAAGAGAGCGGGGGGAGGTGAAAAAAGCTGGGAAGACATTATGAGATAAGCTTATGGTTTCTTTGTTATTTTTGTTTTTTTTTTTTAATATCTGAAGCTGTGTGCACTTCTGTTTTTATAATCTAACTTTACATTTAGAAAAACAGAACAAAACAAAGAAGGAAAGAAAGCCAAAACCAAACACTCTTTCTGTCCCTGCCTTGGGGCTGTTATGAATGCACAGAACACTGCAGTTTTTGTTTAGACCAGGAAGGCTAGCAGTATAGGCATAGAGGTGGCACAATTCCACTAAAAGGCTTTTAAAACTTTTTTTTTTCTTTTTTTTTTTTTCCCACCAGCAAAAGTAACCAAAAGAAACAATAAATAGAAGGTGCTAAAGTTAGCATTAATAATTTGTTTGCAATATACGAACAATCTGGGGATCCAAATCCTCAAGCTCTCCTGATACTACCAGGTCTCTGCAAACTATGAAGAGAATACATAAATAACTCAAAATATGATCGAGGCTGTGAAAGGCTTTTTAAACTAAGACAACATGTTCCAGGTTAACTTTTTCTTTAAAAAAAAAAAAACCAACACAGTGAATATATGAATCATCTACACCTGAATAAAAGATGTTTAACAGTAAAAAAAATTAACAACCACAGAAAACAAACTTTAAACAAAAGTGAACATCATTTGATTTCAGGGCACACAAAAGCCCTTTGCAGTAGCTTCCAGCAGTGGCCTTATTGTTGTGTCTCCTAGGGATGCATAAAATGCAGTTCAACTCCACACTGAGGCGACGGCCGACAGGGCAACATAGTGATCACATACAGCAAAATGCCACACCCTGGTCACGACAATACAACCCACTGCAGTTTCCATCCTGTGCAGAACAGCACGTAAGATGTCATTCTGTCACATATTATTCAAAAGCTACTTTGTGGCTACAAGCCACGCTAACTTTTTTGTTAGGTAACCTCTGAATAATGGGAAAGCTTTGGGTTTTATAGTTTTACTTCCTTGTATTTAAATTTTTAAATGACAAGGTCACTAAAACTCATGCACGCTGCAAAAAACGTCATGCAGTAGTTAAGGTAAACCATCCAAGCATTTTTTATTCATTAATATTCATAAATACACACAGCAGCTTCATTAGAGATTTTTCATTTTTTCCTCTTCAGTTTGAATGTGGAGTATTAGGAGAGCCTTTGCATGTCAAGGTACAGGACACAGAGCCTTTTGCTCTGCACCGCAACCTACATTTACCTGCTAGAAGTAAAAATTAGTTAAGTGGAAATGATTATCATATATATCTTTTCTCTCTTTCTTTTTAATGTACACAACGTAACAAGAGTGACAGACCTGAAATTACAATCACCAAAACAAACCCAAGATAGTTGTTGTCCACTTTCATTGGCAAATACAGCACAGAGGACATTGTCTGCAAAGTGGGATGTCATCAAAGAGGAGGTGGAGGAGGCTCGTTTCCTTTATTACTCTCTTTTAAATTTAGGTTTTCTAAAGCAACATCTAAAGGCATAATATCTACACAGCCCATAGCACCAAAATCGGCAATCTCCCCCCTCTCATCCTCATCTGAGGAGGAACTTTCTTCCTGCATCAAAGTGGACAGTAGAAGCTCTTGAACAAACAGGCTGCGGTCCGCCCGTTCGCTCTCCATTGACTGACGCTCCGCTTCCGACATCTTCGGATCGTTCAACCTGTATGGCAGCAGGAAAAGGAGACAGGCAGTTGGTGAGAGCCCGTTTCTCTGACGACGCTTCTGACACGTGCGCTCAGAGCCCTGCCCCTCACTGGCACTCACAGGACACTGCTGCCGGCCCTTCTCACACGCACAGCTCTGCGCACCTCTGGCCAACAACCCCTGCCCACTCACGACGACAGCCTTCACCAGAACGAACCCTCAAGATACAAAACCATAGCAAGGGTCCCTGCTACCTACGAGAGTCTTTTAGGGAAGGTTGGAATCTCCTGCATACCTGTTAGGGGCTGGGTCAACGCCTAGCTGTACACATGTGACAGAATACATCACTCTGTGTGTACCACCTCTGGATTCCCACCAGACAGTACAATCCACACAGTCCAAACAAAGCACAGTATGTTAAGAGATCTGATGAGGGATCTGGCAGAAGCCCCCTGCCTGAAGTAGCTTACACAGCTAAAACTCAGAACTAGCCTCCTTCTTAAGGCTTGCAGAAATCCATATTCACATCTGTTTAAATACATTCACCTCTTAAATACATTCCTAGATGCAAAAAAGATATACAACGCAGCTGTGAGTTTGTCTCTCCTTTCTGCAACCTTTAGGGCACTAAAGGCCATTTCTGCAGCCAGCTTTCCAGAAGCAGAGTAATTCCCATCAGGTCACCTATGAACTGCTACTCTTGGATATTAAATTACTACTAGAAATATGGATGACGCAAGTTCCAAACATTTAAATATGAACACCCAATTACATGTAAATACAAGGGTAAAAGCTTAAAGCACGTTTCTTATAATCACAGTATACAAAGTTTCACTGTACTCCGACTCTAGCAGGACCAAGAAAGAGTGAAATGCTAAGGGACGCATGCTGAAGCAGACAGAACAAGTTACCTTGTAAGAAGAAACTGGGAATTCTGGATAGTCTGCTGACTGTTTTCCGTGTTAGATGTGTTGGTTGTTGTTGCAGATTGTGTAATAGTGGTGTTGACATTGATCGTGTTGGTGCGTCTAGTTGCATTGCGTGCAGTCTCCAGTTGTTGTCTCGCTGCCTGTGCATGTTGTCGTTCCAACTGCAGTTGCATCTGCAGCTGCTGTAACTGAGAAGCAGAAGGGCTAGAGGAATTGATCTGTCCTCCTGCAGAACGCCTCACGCCTGATAACTGAGATAAAAGCTCTGCCAGAGAAGAGAAAAGTTTCTGTGATGAAATATCTTAAGTGACTGTTACACAACAGAATGAATACACCCTGAATTCCAGGGCATCAATTCATTTTTTTCCATCAATGGAAACGAAGTAATTCGTTTAGTAAATTAGTAAAAGTAAATTATGTTAGAAAATTCATGAAACTCTTCTAGAAAGTCTCAGTGTTCGATGTTTCAAAGCGTAAGGAAGATGCAGATTTGTTATAACAGGAGAGCCGGTCTACAGAGAATGCCTGGCAAATGATGTCTTCTGCAGCAATTCTCTCAAGCTCCACATCACAGCGTAGTACCTGACTAGGAAAATACTTAATTTTGGCTTTTGTTAGTGATGTTATTTTCTTCTCAATAAACATGCCCCCACAACACAGGTTTTACCATCCAACAACCCAAAGGGAAGATACGTTCTGTAAAAGAAATACCACGCCATCACTTCTAACATTTAGTAAAAGTTATTTTGTTATGAAAACTCATTCAAGATCTGCCTCACGAAACCACTGTCCATTTCTGCCTGAAGATAGGGAAGGCCCGACAATTAAGGAGTACAACCATAAGTCTTCCCTTCAGTGGTAGGTTTATAGCAAATACCTGCTCTTTGAAATTAAAACCAGCAGTAAAACACTGCTCAGGGTATCACAGCAGAATCCCTTAGGTGTTTCTTTGCTGTAACAGATGTAAGGGCAGACGTAGGAGGCAATACTGCCAACCTGTAATAGTTTTCCTTCCATTGCACTAATAAAAAACAATTGCTTTTAGGCAAGCTTTCATGGGAGGAATACAGAAAAATGCAGTTATTTTCTATGTCAGAAACTCAGGATAGTCAAGTTTTGCTTTTCATTTTTGTTTCTAAACCTGCACTATCAATTCCACGTCTTTAATTCAATTATAATCACTAGGCAGTATCACAAAGGAGAAAAAGGAGATGTGAAAACGTAGCAGATGCTGTGTGTTTCATTATTTTCAAACAGAAAACCTGCAGTTATCTTCTCAGTTCATCATTTCACTGAAAGAGAAGACATATCAAACTATCAGACAAGAAACAGATCAATTTATTCTCACTGTAAGTTAAGCATAAGTTGATGCTTAATAGCTAGCTGTACTTGGAAGCAGATGAGAGCTTGAGATAAAGGCCTTGGTAAGAGAAGACAACCCCAGCAGATAACAACTGAACCTTAAAAGCAAAGACACAGCATCAATCAAGAAAAGTTCAGAGGAATACCATTTCATCCAATTTTTAACTTCCCTGTGCTTGTGGCATTCCACAAGGAATGCCTGGTGAGGTACTGACAAGCATCAGCAAACACTCCACATTTATCTGAACTGAACTACGAGGGCTGCACCAAAAGTAATGCTTCAGTTTTATTATTCAGTCCACAGTCTCAGTGGGCAGAAGTCGGCAGTAAGGCAGCAGAGGTTGAACCTTCCCAGCTATACTCCATTACGTTTTGTTCTGGGTGACAGATGGCAGAAGGGCAGTCTGGAGGAATGATCTGACATGGAGATGCTGATGAAGCAGGTGTGTCACTGAATCCTTCCATGTTGGAAAAAAGAGCACCCAGTGACATCAACTGACACTTGGTGAACGTTTATGAAGATGAAACAGTAGATGTGAGCACAGTGAGGCAGTGGGTGGTGTGCTTCAGCAGTGGCAACAGCAATGTACAAGACAAGAAATGATGTCAGAATTGCTGTCACACCATAAAATGAGGACTGCCTGAACCAGCTCATCCCCATGAATCAGCAGGTTACAACAAGGGAACGGGCTACAGAGCTGAATATCAGCTTCAGTGCACTGGAAACGGTGGCACATTGGAATATCACGAAGTCTGCAGCAGGTGAGTCCCATGGCTGCTGATACAGGAGCAGAAGGAACAAGTCAGGGCCTACCAAACCGATATGAGGCTGAAGGCGGAGGTTTCTTGGATCACATCATTGCTGGTGATGAGATGTGGTGTCACCACTGTGGGCCTGAGTCAAAATGGCAGTCCATGGAGTGGTGATGTGAGTTGCTCACCAAAGAAAACATTCAAGGTGAAGCTCTCAGAGGGTAAAGTAACGCGCACAGACGTTGGGATAATAAAGGGCTCCTGGAACTGCAACAAACCATCAGCTTTGACCACTAAATCGCAACGCTGACTAAGCTGAAGGCGGGAACATCCAGAGTCAGGTCAGAGAACAGGTGATCTTTGTTTTGCAACACAGTAATGCCAGGCCCTAAAGCAGTCTGAAGACTGCAGAGCACGTTGCCCATCCTGGCTGGGCTGCCCTAACAACGCCCTCCATATAGCCCAAATTTGGCCCCTTTTCACTTCCGTCTGTTAAGGCCAACGAAAGACTGACTGCATAGGCAACGTTCTCTTAGCAACAGCACTGTGACACAGTGGATCATGTCCACTGGTGTAGATTTTAATCAGCACAGCATGCAGGCTCTTGTTCATGACTGAAATACACAGCTATCAGTGGTGATTGTGTGGAAAAAAGAGTTTTGTAGCTGAGATTTTGCTCTATTAAATAGTGTTATTGTACTCTTTATCTGTCCTACTTTAATTAAATAAGCATTACTTTCAGAGCGATATACATTCCAGGAGGTCTTCCACTCCAAGATCACTGAATAATGATACACAAACATCCTCCCTTCTTGGATGAACTCTAGTTCTTCTCAGACCCTTTAGGAACCTCACAGAATCATACAACAGCCCAGAATGAAAGGGATCTCCATCACGAGGTACAACTTCTCATGAGGAAAGGGAGCCTAGACAAGCTTATGTACCATCCTGTCCCCTCTCACCTTGAAAACCTCAAATTAAGAGAGTCAGCCACATGCCTGGGAACTGTTCCCAGTGACTGATGGCTCCCCCTGCAAAAATGTATTTTTTTCCTCTGTATCAAGATTAAATCTCTCCTGGTGCATCCTGTTCCTCCTGTCCTCTGTTCTTCCACATGGCTCCTTGAGAAGAGAGCCTCTGTCTTCTTTGTAGCTGCCCCTTAAGTACTGGAATCCTGTGATGACACCTGCTCTGAGCCCTCCCTTCTCCAGGGAGCAAAGACCTAACTACTTTCCTCATACAACAATTTTTGCAGCACTCAGATTATCTTCATGGTTCTCCTCTGGATCCTCTGGCCTGACAAGTCCTTAGTGAGATGATCAAACCTCTCTCTCTGCTACTAATACCCTGGCAAATGCAGCTCAGGATTCAGCTTGCCATTCTTGCTGCACTTGTGCCCACGTTGACTGATTCAGCTCTGTACCCACCAGGACTCCAGGTCTCCTTCAGCAGGGCTACTCCCAGCCATGCAGATGCAAGACTGTTCTCGGCTCTTTGGTCGTGGTCATGACATTCTAGATGCAGGACACAATCCATCCCATCCCCCACCCTGGTGTTTCAGCAAACATGCTGAGATGATTTATTAAAGTTGAATAGCATGGGGTTCAGTACTGATCCCTGGGTGACCTCACGTGTGAGAGGATACAACCAGAGCAAAAGACATTGACCACCACTGTCTGAGCATGACCTCATTCAACTTTCCCTCTTTTGCCAGGATGCTCTTTCAGGTCACAGAAAGCCAGGAGTACCAGAGCCAGCAGAAGGAAGGCTAGGGGATTACATTTAAGCAGACACAGCTCCCCTTTCACGTGCAGTGGTTAATTAAGCTGGATGGCTACCTCTGAAGAAGTCATGATCTTGAAGTAGGAAGTTCCAGTTTATACATTTATGCATACTTAGCAGCTGAAGGTAGATTACGGCAGTTCTGATGTTGCCTTGACGCAGGCATGGTCAAAAGATCACAGTATAAAAATGCTCAGATTTCTAATAAGGAAAAAGCTGTATCTGCTATTTTAAGTTGTGTTTACCTATTTCTAATTCCTGTAACAAATGTTTTATTTTCAAATTAAACACACAGTAAACAAGTTTTTCTAAAAATCCTAGACACATCTTGATTTTCTGGCTTTAAAGGTGAGATGCTCTTCCTCCCATCACAGGATTTCTAAACCTGACCAAAGCATGCTACAAATGCTTGTAACAGTACATTTGTGTAAGAATTTACAAGTACATCATAAAAAATAGTGATATTACAAAAAAAAAAAAAACAAAAAAAAAACAAACAAACCAAACTTGCTAAAGCTTGAATGCAATCTGAATGTGTTTTCAATGTCTGTTAATAATATTCATGTAATTTCACCTTTAGAGTCCACAGCTTGTACTAAAACAAATCAAGACAGAAAATCTTGTCCACAAACACCTTCATCTCACAACAAATCAGGATGATATATACTCAAGTAATGGATAGAAGCTGGACACAACCACAGTCAAGAAAATAAATAGTGCCTGTGAATAACAAGCTTTGGGAATACATCCTGCACTGTAGAATTAAAAGTACTGCCTACTAGGGCAGTGACTTCAGCTTCAGAAGACCACAGGCCAGAAAACTGTTCATCAACACACAGCCAGTCACACCTGCATGTATCATGAGTGCAGTTTCAGCACAACAAAAAGCAAAGCAACCATTATATCACATTGGATTTTGCTCCTTTGCATAAGGAGGGTAAAATCCACAGGCACAACAGCTCTTACCAGCTATAGGATCCATGGCTTCTCTATTGCTTGGAGAATACGAACTCTGAGAAGATGAAAGCCCTCCAGGGGAACTGCTAGTAAAGTGCATGTTTGATCTACGTGCACGAGGGCCCCCCAATCCCCGACCTGGGTGAAACATTCGACGTACATGCCGAACACCACTGGATTCATCATAATAAACAAGTTAAGAAAATAGAACTACATGGCATTGGTTATTAAATGACTAGAATATCTGCTGTGTAAAGCACTCTAGTGTACGCTACGTGAAAGCTTCAACTTCTAGAGCATAGCTGAGATGCTGTAGCTACGGAGCAAGCTGGGCATACAGACATGCATTCAAGACAATCAGGGCTGTGTACAGTAAAATGCCTCACACTCTTCAGCTTTTTAATACATCTAAGAAATATCAGGATTGATTTTTTTTTAATCAAAGTTTTCTATCAAGTAATATTACACCTTATCACACCTTTTGCCAAACTTCTTACACATGGGTTTTACTCCCACTTCCTCATTCTTACATTAAATACTAAAGATCTTACGGCCATTCCTACCCGAAGTAGATGGCAATTACTGCATTCCTTTCAATTTCTATACTATAAGCAACTTGATCCCAGAATTTTCAGCACTTGAGATCTTAAAATTTTGCACGTTTCCTGAATATTCAGCACTTTTATCACACCCCTTCACTTCACCTTTCTTTTTTTAGCCAAACAAATGGCGTAAATTCTACGAATGACTCCTGCTATTTCCTCATTTCTCCTTCCTTGCCATCTCATGCTTAAGTTTCAAGTCATATTTTTATAGGCTTGCAAATTATGGCAAAAAAATTATTTAAAGAATATTTTTGTCAGAAAGTTAATACACATTTCCAAAGCAGTCAAGAATTCCCTTCATTTTGAAAATCACTCGTATAATTATTGAAAATGAAATAACGTACTTTGAAATTTACTAAGATTTCAGCTTAGGTCCCCTGGCTTGGCCAGAGCTACCACAGTCAGCACTCAGGCTTCTCGTGACTGCTGACAGTCCTGCTTATATCCACAAAACTAGGGATGACTGCTCTTCTGCAGTTTTGCATTACTCATTAACTCCTTTACAGAAGCAATAAACACTCTAACTCCATTACAGTGATCCAACTACTGTGTAGCTATTAACACTCACATGTAATCTGTCCTGACTCTAAACCACAATAAACACTATCAAGCTAAAGTTGAAACACAATCACAAATGAAATGCAGCCATCTCCATAAAATCCTTCTGTCAGCATTTTTGTTTCCCTTTAAAACGCTTTGAACAACAACAACAACAAAAAGATGTCAACAGAGCAGTATGCTTATTTGTTTAATGAAAAAATTCAGAGAGAAAACTTTCTGTAGGTATCGTACATAATCTGCAGGTCATTTAATAAATAAAAATCAATTAACCCTAGAAAGCAATCCCTTCAACAAAGGACAAAAAGCAAATTTCAATACTTCAGCCATCAAATGTAATTAACCTGCATAATCTGCTACTAAGATAACTGAAAGACAGCCCTTTATTTCCCATGTTATCTGGAAGCTTTCCTAGCCATTACAGAAATGTCAGTAGGTAATACTATGGAAGTATCTTAGTATAGTGAATGAAGCAGGTACACAAGCTTATGTGTCAAAAAACAGCTAAGCTCAAACCATCCTCAGATCACTGTCTGTGTCATAAATTGTTTCTACCACCTGGATACATAAAAAAGGCCTCAAAACTAATGATAAGGCAGGATAAACCAGTGTCAGTAGAAAACAGTTTGTTATAAAAGTTCCTTAAACGTTTCTGCTGCTAGGCTAAAAATCACTGTCAAACACACATACAGTTCATTCATAATTTGGATATTGCTTTTAAAACTAGAAAAATTACCTTTAAATTTTGCATACAGTTTTCCAGCAACTCAAGTTGCAGGGAAATGAGAGGTATAGCCCCTTGAATATCAAAATCAAAACAGGTAATCATGACTACTCAATGAAGAAGTCTAGACTCTGCATCATCTCAGGAAAGGATATTAAATCTCTAGGAGCTCTGTGTTCCAGTGTAAGATGAGCTGCAAAGTCATCTGTGACGTGATTAGGATCCCCTCCAGGTAATGCTGCACATATTGGACAAATCTGAAATGACAAAGAGGAAAAAGAAATACTTTATAGAAAGTGGAACTCATATTGCTATTAAAAACAGCAAAAATCATTTTCAAGAGAAGATGTTAATTTCCATTTCTTTTATGATTTTAGTGATACTACAGAAACCAGATTTTGCAGTGCTTTATAAATTAGTTTTGTATGCAGTATTTTGTATTTTATACAGTCTCAGACAACAAAGTGATTACAAAGGCCGACTATATGCCTGCTTGTCATTCATCTCAGCAAAAGAAGTGCAGGAAGCAGACTGAAACTACACAAGCATTTGCTCAAGTATCAAACCGAGACATACCCAGGCACTGCACAACTACAAGGTTTGGAAAAGAAAGACTGATCTCCATATCCCTACACAAAAGGATTTCAGAAGATACCGTTTCCTTTATTAGTTAATGAATATTTCAGCTTAAAAACACAAAGACAAGCAGTACCATTACATTTCTTCCAACTGTGACACCTTGAAACGCACCTTCCATTTTTAGTTCCAGCAGTTTTGAAGCTTGATCTTAAAGTTTTACAGATTTTAGATTAAAAATATCTCCAGCCCAGAAAACCCTCCCAAAGCACTAAATGCTTATATTAACAGCTCCTGGATGGCTAAATACAGCTACTATCCACAGATTTATCTCTGTACTACTCCTACTTCCAATAGCCCCCCTGCATTCATGGAACAATACTGGTTGCAATAAAGCCCAGGTTTCTGGTGGTCCTCATGTTTATATACAAGTTATTGACTGTGGAGCTCAAAAGACTGCACACAATATGGATACTAATATTCAGGTTGCTCCAAAAAGTAATGCACATTAACACTATGTGACAGAGCAAATCTCAGCTATAAAACAGTATTTGCAACAGCCACCAACATTAGCCATGCATTTCTTCCAGCAATGAACAAGAGCCTGCATGCTGTGCTGATTAAAATCTACACCAGTGGACATGATCCACTGTGTCACAGTGTTGTTGCTAAGAGAACGTTGCCTATGCAGTCAGTCTTTCGTTGGCCTTAACAGACGGAAGTGAAAAGGGGCCAAATTTGGGCTATATGGAGGGCGTTGTTAGGGCAGCCCAGCCAGGATGGGCAACGTGCTCTGCAGTCTTCAGACTGCTTTAGGGCCTGGCATTACTGTGTTGCAAAACAAAGATCGCCTGTTCTCTGACCTGACTCTGGATGTTCCCGCCTTCAGCTTAGTCAGCATTGCGATTTAGTGGTCAAAGCTGATGGTTTGTTGCAGTTCCAGGAGCCCTTTATTGTCCCAACGTCTGTGCGCGTTACTTTACCCTCTGAGAGCTTCACCTTGAATGTTTTCTTTGGTGAGCAACTCACATCACCACTCCATGGACTGCCATTTTGACTCAGGCCCACAGTGGTGACACCACATCTCATCACCAGCAATGATGTGATCCAAGAAACCTCCGCCTTCAGCCTCATATCGGTTTGGTAGGCCCTGACTTGTTCCTTCTGCTCCTGTATGAGCAGCCTGTTCCCTTGTTGTAACCTGCTGATTCATGGGGATGAGCTGCTTGAGACTGACCTCATGTTGTGCTGTGATGGCTGTGCAAAGCCACCGCTGAAACACACCACCGTGCCTCACTGTCTGCACACCACCAGTTGGCATCTATAAATGTTCATCAAGCACGGACGGATGTCAGCGGGTGCTGTTTTTTCCCACATGGAGGAACTCAGCAATACCCCTTTTGCTTCATCAGCACTTCCATGTCAGACACCATTCTGTCAGACTGCCCCTCTGCTGCCAACTCTCACATGGCAGCATCATGCAGTGGAATATAGTTGAGAAGGTTCAACCTCTACTGCTGTACCAGCATCTGCCCCCCGACACTGTAGGTCAACATAATAAAATGGGAGGCATTACTTTTGGAGCAGCCCTCGTCTAATACTACACCCATCTGGCTTACTTATATTGAGGTGAGGATGATGTCTTAAGTACATTCACTGCAAATTCTCCGCTGCTTTTGACAGCAGCTTACATCTTCAATGACATTTTAATTAAGCAGCCTCATGCAGAAACTTAGGCTTTTTGAATGGTTCTTGCCACTACATCTTTCCCCCTTTATTTTCCACATGATGTACTTTTCTTCAGAGAACCATTTCTCAGGTTTTCCATCACTACAGATGCAATGCAAGCAGACACACTGCAGAGCAATGACATTACAGAATATGAGGGAGGACACAACTACTGGTACCGCAGTGGGTCTGCTTAAGTTACTCATTTCAGATGTCAGATAATAGCTTAACAGAAGCAGAATGAAGTGTTCCAAAATGGTCTACAATTTCAAGATGAAAAAAGAAGAAACAAAAAGTACCTCTCTACTCAATTTTAACTTCTAAAAGCCCTTTAAGGACTAACGATTTAGACTAACAATTTTGCTTCTATCTATTAAATTTGATGCTAGCCATTGCACTTCTACCTGCCATAAACACACAATTTCAGAAGAAATTCACCGTAACATATACTCTTCTAAAGTTACAAATAAACTGCTTAATCTTCAAACAAGAACACAGTTCAAATCAAATAAACATAATCTTCAAGGTACTCATTTTTCCAGCTACCTATGAAAATGGAAAAAGGAAATAATCATGAAAATAGAATTTAAAAAGCTATACAAAGTTCCTCATATGTAACATGATGAAGTCTTCATGAACAACAGACATTTCCTTGAAAAAAGGGACTCCTCAGAAAAACATGAGATAACAAAAAGTTCTGCAGAACAAAATATTCAAGGGAACTTAGTAACTTAAACCTAATTCCAAACATGAAATTTCCTACAAGAACTCTCACCAATAAAACATTCTAAAGCATTGTTAGACACAAACAGAAATTTAGTTAGGCGTTAGCTTTGGCAAAACACCCTATGTTATGATGACGTCAGAAGCATCACTGATTAAGTGTGACAAAGCTGAAAATTGTTGCTAATAGAACTTGTTTAGTTTTCATAGCAAAAAAATACAACTTAGGATAATGGGTTTAAAGTTGAATTCCTAATGTATCTGGCTGTTTTGTTGTTTTTTTATATATTTTAAAAAATGATGATGTTGCTCTGAATGATGTCCAAAAGATGACTTTCAAGTTCTATAACAGTTAGGAATTAATCCTAATATCTGCTAGCTTCTAGAAATGTTGTTCTACTCCTTACTTTCCTTATTACTGCCTCCTATTAACATGTAAGGCGTAAAACGACACTGATCTTACAGAAGTCCTGTCACTAAACGGAAGACACTGAAATCTTCAAGAATGAAGCAGAAGATAATCTGAAAGGTTTCACTACTGCAATAAAAGTTCTAATCAGCTTAATCAGCAATATATTTACAACTCAGACCTTACAGCTCCAAAGCTCAAGGTATGAGCTTAGTTACTGCCTTGCTAAATGTGACAAATCTGATGAAGAGTGACAAAGTAGAAAATCTATTTTTATTCTGAAAAGAGATTCAAGTATGACATTCAATAGTTTCCAAAATCTTGAGCTTGTTTACAACACTGACTTCTAGCTGAATGCTGAATCATACTCAGTATGTTAGGCTGAACTGAAACCCAGCACCAACAGTGTAATTACTCTGATACCCATATTCCTTGGCACTTACTTGCCCTATAAAACTTATCCTTACTCTTGGACTGGTAAAGAAATACTGGTAATTACTGAGACTTTACATCACTTTTTCACCAATACTGCCAATTCTTTTTTTTTTTTTTTAGCATGCAACCTTAGGGACCTTAATCAATCTGAACCTTTCAACTTCTCCCACAGACACCAGTACAATTTTTTGATTCAGGTACCCATCATTAAACTACCCTTCAATATAATACTGTCAGACTCATCCTGTTCACAAGTACCTAATATTGCTATATTTACCGCTGCCAAATACTGAGCAAAATTACCCTCTTATCTTCAACAGTCCAAATACAAAAATGTTAAAATTCAACTTGTCAGAAATATTAATGGTGCTTTTTCCTCCCCCTCCAGTGGATCAGAACTCTTTGACTTATTCTCTTAGAAAGATAGGTAAGGAGTAAAGAGTGATCACCAGCAAAATAAAAAACAGTCTATCCCTGGAGACTTGAAGATCTCAGATACGGTCCACCTGTCAACAGCAAGATCTACTGCAAGTACTAAAAGGTCAAGACATGAGCAAAAACAGTTGTCTGAATGCCCGGAATAACACAATTGATTATCTTAAGATTTTTCTTCATTAATCATGTTGTCACCTTTCGCTATCAAGCATCCAAGCAGCCTTACATTTTCTGCACACTGAACTTTGCAACTTGGCACAAACATACGCAACCATATTAAAGGATTGCCTTCTATTATTACTTGAATCAGGATAAAAATTTTGTTTTTGCAGGCTGACCCACAAAAATCAAAGGCTCCTTTTAACACACAAAACTTCTTCAGAAACCAGCAGGGTAGCAGGCTCACAAATTTAGGCTCTACATACTGAACTCTAGAAGCTGCAGCTGCAAAGGAAATGCCAGATTAAAAAACCTAGAATATGAATACGGTGTTATGAAAATACCACTGACATCAAGTGGTGCAAATCAGAACTGCAACACTAAACCATGAAAGAAGTCACCCTAATGTGAATCTCCAGTTGATGGTATGTTTGAAAGGTGAAGCATTTAAGAAAAAAATCTATATTATTAAAATTCCAAGTGTATCAGTAAGGCAACTTATAATCCTGCAGTACCACAGACAGAGGTAAACTGCTTCACTTATCTTTTCAACAAAGATTAGAGCTTCAAAACTATCAAGTTACCTCCCCTCCTTCATTCAAGATCTTTAACAGGCTTGAAAGCAGGGTTCATCATCTTCAAAAGAACTCCACGGAAAGTAAACAAATAACCCAAAGATCAGAACAGAGAACCCTATGAGTAATTCACAATGTTTTACTAATGAGTAATCCATTTCAAGCAAACAAGTATTTTTGGGAATCCGTGAAAAAAGTCAACTGGACAAGAGGATTTTGGAAGTCACTCTGTTAGCCTTGCTTCACCTACTCTGAAAGGCAGTCGGGAAAGCAGGAACTAGCACAACTAAACACCCAAAAAGGTACTTTAAGGAAGTGTGTTTTCAATGGTGTCAACTGTTCTATCAGTTAAGAGACGGAGAACACTTCCCTTCCCCTCCTGCTGCCTCGAGAACAAGTCACAGCAGAATTACAGCTTCTGCTGCTTGCAGAATGTAATTACAGCAACAAAAGACTGCCATAGCTATGGTCTTACCCAACTGTAAACTCATTTGGCAATTGCACGCTGGTTGTAAAAAGGAAGAACAGCCACAAGAATGCTTTAAATGTTGCTTTACAGCACAAGCTCCCAAACATAGCAACCTTTACATCAGACTAACAAAGCAGCAACCATAAAAGCAAAAAGGAAGCTCATTATCTGAGCATAACCTCACCCCAGAAAATCTGATATCATGAAGTGTGACTTCTTCGAAAGTATTTAAAAGAACTCATGCTTCAAGAATGACTTTTTACGCATTTTCCTGAATATTCTTTTTAATGAATTTTCACAATTAAAAGAGTTCTAACGTTTCTTACCACTTCTGTTGATGTTTCCGCATGCTCAGAAGTAACATGTTCTTGAAGAGTTGTTTCTGTATGACCCATTTTTCCACAATAAGGACAAGTAAAAGACTGTGGCTGCTCTACAGAGAAAGCTTCTCCACCATAGTACAAATCTGGAACACAAAGTGTTTAAACAGATGTTACTTCAAAGCATTATAGTAAATTACTTTGTTCATGTAACGTTTCTTTATGTACTTGAGTGCAGTACCACTGACAAACTAAAATTTAACTGAAATTGCTATTTTTATCCTCCACAAAGGCCATATGCTGACATTCATGATGCTTTCAATTACTGATGACAGAACAGCCAGAATACAGTGCATTAGTTCATTTTCATTAGTAAACATATTATAATTTCCTAATAGTCAGTAGAAGCAAAGAGTCCTGGCTGCTGCTGTTGCCAAATCTTCACTTTTCTATCACCCTTGCTGTCCTCAGTACAACATCACTACAGCATTCTTAAATCACAAGTTTTAGATTTAAATTCAGAAGTCCTCTGTGACTCCATAATCAATATTTGTGCCATAACTAAGCAACTGTTTATCATACAAGAAAGAAATCTAACTGCTACATGCTGGTTTTAGTAGTATGGGTTGAAGTCAAGCACTGACAAAAACACAAACTTTGAATGGCTAACTGAACTTAACTCTCCATGCCTAGCAGGACAACGTAACAAATTATGCAGTAAATAACGCTTTTCCTCTCTCTTTCTCTGCAGAAGTTACATGTTTTACAGGAAACATGAACAAACTTCACATCCACATCAAGATTAAAAAACACATCTTTCTTGAGCAATTTGTTTAAGATTCATTTACTAATATTTTTCTAGGACTCAATCATAAATAAGTGGAAGATATTTTCAGTGAATTACAAATATTGTTCTATAAATTTAAAAAAGGCTAAAACTGTAGAGCTAGAAGAACATGTCCTGCATCCCAAGATAATATCAATCTAATGTATTAGGGATATTTCCTTCTGGGGACATAAGTCACCGCTTCCCAAGGTTTATTTCATCTTCTGCTGGTGGCCTGTTTTTAAGAAATGATGAGGAAGAAAAGCACTTCTGTTTTTGTAGCCATACAGACATTACATAAATTATGAGGGCTAACACTCCAAAACCAACACAGGGAAACACGTATTAATAACATGCTAGCATAAAGATACCAGATGAACAAAGCTCTGCAGATAGAACATATCACAAAACAGAGTTCATGTTCAGTAAGTCTCTCTTTCCCTTGCTCTGACAAAGGCTTCCAGAGACTTCGAGTGCTGGAGAGCAAGAAATTAAAGATGCCTTTTCAACAGGTATGTTAAAGCAGATAGGCAGCTATACCAAAAAGGAAACACTTCCTAACAAATCCAGATGTTTTTAAAGTGGTCCAACAAATTAAGCGTCACAGTTTGATACCGTGCTAGACCTAGGTTAATTTATTCTCAAGTGCAAATGGCAGAAACTTACGTCCAGCTATCCAAAGCAGAAAGTTCCCTTCCTAAGTGATGAATCAACCATGCTTACAGAAAACGCAATAAAAAGTCAAAATAAAAATCAATGGTCTCAGGACTGAGGCGCTGTAGAGAATGCTCTCTGAAATAATTCAGAGAACGAGGGGTGGAGTCCCCACTGCCACTCCAGTAAATACATTTAATTGAGAACTCCTAAAGTTTCCCCAAGACTCACATTCAGACTTCTGATGTTGCTAAAAACAAGAGTGGAGGTATAAAAAAAAAAAATGCCACTATGCTACAGCATAATCAAATATAAAGGATTTCAATATACCATTATTTCAAACAGAGAAAGAACAAGGTTTTTATAGAAAGTTCTGAAAAGTTGCTAGATTGCCTGTGACTGCATCAACTGTATGCAAAGGAGAACAAATACACTTACAGAAGAACATATTCAAAAGGAAAAAATTCAAAGATGATTGTTGACTAAGATAAATACAAAAAGCTTCAGTGACAACTGAGGAAAGAATCTTCCATAATACTTTATTTGGACAAATTCTAGGTAAAGAGGCTGATCACACAAGTTGTTACTGTGTGTACTGATCTTAACATAGTTATGAAGAATTCCAAATTTAACTCTATTTAATCTCTTCACATGAAAACATTATGCTCTTCTCTTAAAAGTAATTCAGCAATGACTTCTGCAAATAAATCTGTATACCTGTGTGAATAGCAAAAATGCCAAACGCACACACTAGAAACTAATGACTGCTCATTCAGTTGATCCTTTGATTTCCCTGAAGTATTAGTAGGACCCTCATCATGATGATTAAATATTAACATGATTGGAATATAGATTTTTTTCTGTATACACGCACACAGGAGCACCAAAGCTCTTTTCCTTTGAGGACCCTTCTTGGCCAGGGAGTTTTATTCCTGCATATTTTCAAGTAACGGCGCCTTTTTGTCAGTTTGAATGTAGGAAGACAACAACTAAAAATGGCAGGCAAACAAAAAGGAGCAAATATTACTGCTTAGAAGACTTGTGTATCAAAGTAGCTTCTGTATCTACAAAAAATTCCTTGAAATTATTAGGTGGTCTGAAAGCCTCTATGTATTTTCAAGTAATGGACTAAACAACATGGAGCCTTTATGAATCTAAAGACAGTGGTAAATATCTCTTTCTTACATAAGCTGTTAGTTCAGTACAGATGTCAAGACTCCCAGCATTATACACTCCCAGCATTCTACACTGTCACAGAGAAGAGAGATTTCACAAGTGCTGCCAAACTCTTTCTGACCTTTAGAGAATCTCAAGTGAGCCATTTATTAATTAAAACAAAAAAATTAAAAGTTTGAGTTCCTTCCAGCCTCCTGATTACACTATGGTCTCCCACGTTTTTCCACATCCTTTTCATAAATCACATACAACATACATGCCAAACAAGCACGGCTTTCATCTGCAAGAACATATTTCAAAAAGTACTTATAAGAAACACAGTAATTGGTAAATGTAACTTTTTTTCCCTTCAGAAGTTCTTATCTGCATTTTTTCCTCCTTAACTTTAATCTCCTTCCACTGCTTACCATCAAGCTTCTGCCTTTTTTAACCTAAAATATAGAATGTTTTATTTTAAACTATAGCTAAAATTTACAAGAAAACAGGATGATTAAGTGGTATTATGCATCTTTTTTACTTAGAGTTAATTATTGAATGGATATTTCTCTACTGTATTTTAACAAGTACATGAGGAGTCCTAAAAATAATTACTATAGTCAGGTTACTTAGGCTCATTTACTAAGAAAAGCCCTTATGATTAGAAGCAGTTCAGGGATAAATGAGGAGGCTCCACAAATTACTATTCTGATGCAATAGGCCCATTACCAATTATCATCCTTTGTGGCCACAAAGAAATCTTTCAGATAATGCATTTTGACGGTTTCCATATGCCTTCCTACAAAAAAGTCTGAGCACAAAGCTCTTTGAACTCCCCTGGACCTCTTCTCAGGGGAGCTAAAAGGCAGGTAAGGCTGCTCAGTAAAAAAAAAAAAACAAAACAAACTAACAAAACCAACAGATGAAATCACATTCCTAGAGGAGAAGACTCATAACCCCACTGCTGAGCAGTTAGGGGAAGAACATGAAGAGAGGAAGAGGACTGAAATATTATTTAAAAAGACGACAACCATAGTTCATGAAGTTAAGACTTCAAGCTCAACAATGTTTAAAAATTATAGCTGCTCTTGAACAAAATTAATTTTATGTGAAAACTCAAGCGAAAACGAACAGCACTGTGTTATTGTTCATCTGTAGTCACAGGCTACTTGCATTAAGCACAAGTCCTTAACTAGTACATTCAGAAACTTGGCAGGAGGCTAGTAATGAAACAGAACTACAATAGGGTCCTTCAGATAAAATCTGACTTTGATAAAGATGATTCAAGACTATGTTTCACAACAGCTTGTACTTGCTTTCTGTTTAAATATATTCCTTTACAAGGACACACATTTTAATTTTACTTTTTTTGTATGACCAACTTCATTTCAATGTGGTATATACATATAAGTAAAACTACTGGTCTTAAATTGCAGTGTGCTTATTTACTTGAAATATTTTTTGACAGTGCATCATGAAAATAAATGGTGTTAACAGAACCCATTAAAAATAATTAGCTGTTTCTGTGCCATTCATTAAGAAATCACATTATTCAAAATATTATTCTTAAAATTGCTGTTTGTTCTGTTTTGCCTCATGTTTTCTGAACAAAACCATTCTAAAGCGTGTCTTCATGCCTGCTATAGACATGAAGAAAAATTTTTTATGAACGCTCTGTTTATAAATATTTACATCAAGGAAGGGACTGACACTAATCTCAACAAACTGCGCTCAGCCTACTCTGAGCAGGCAGTGATTGACAGTTCTGGGAGCAGGCGCTCCGCCTTGGCAGAGGAGAGCTGGGCAGGGCCAGCCACATACCGGGGAGCTGTGAGCAGGGCAGGGGCTCCCTTTTGCGCAGGTCCAGGCCCTGTGTCCTGTCTGAAAACACCACTGAAGGACAACAGGTTATCAGAAAAACGTTCCCCCATCACCCAGACAAGCGGTGAAACAAGTTATCAAAGAACAGAATCCATTAAATTGAGTTGTCAGGAAACTACAAAGGTCACTGAATCCAAGTGCCAGACTACTCTGACACCGACACAGTCAAAAACATATCACTGAGAACATTCTCCAAATGAATTACACAGAGAGGAACAGAGCAACTGCCTCTCTAAGAAGTCTGTTCTAGTGTCAAACTATCAACAGTATTTTCTTAATGTTTAATCTGAACCTTCTCTAACATAGCTTTGAACCATCTCCATCCTTGGAGGCAGAGGACTGGGCTAGGACCTGACTAAATTGGTCTGATCTCACAGTCAACCCTGCTAGCAGAATCGTGGAATAATAAAGTGGTTTGAGTGGGAAGGGACCTTAAGCCCACCCAGTCCCAGACCCGTACACGTGCAGGGCTGCTCCCCACCAGCTCAGGCTGCCCAGGGCCTCATCCAACCTGGCCCTGAGCACCCCCAGGGATGGGATACCCACAGCTTCTCTGGGCAGCCCATGCCACTGCCTCACCATCCTGAAAGATTTCCCCTTAACACCTGATCTAAATATCTCCTCTTCTAGTAC